GCGGGAGAGGCTGCGGTCGGGGACGCCAACGACCGCGAGGCAGAGGAGGCGGAGGCGGACGCGAGGCCCGCGAAGAAGGAGGCGGACGCGGCCGCCGCCGCGCACGTGGCGGCCCCGACGGCCTCGGCTAGCGCGGCCTCGCCGGAGTCGGACGTCGCTGCGGCGGAAGAGGAGCGGTAGGAGAGGTCACGCAATGTGGAGGCGAGGCGGGAGAGGTCGCGGTCCGAGCGGCGGCGCGCGCGCAGCGCGGCGGCGAGGCGGGTCGCGTCGCGGCGGCGGAGCGCGGCGTGGGCCTCGGCGAGGAGCTGCTTGAGCGCCAGGAGCGCCTCGCGGAAGCACCCGTGCGCGTCGGCGAGGAGGAGGAGGTCGTCGAGCAGCCGCTCCGTCCACGGCGCCGCCTTGCGCGGCGGCCGGAGCGGGTCCTGCGCCTGCGGGTGGTGGAGCAGCTCCGTCAAGCCCGCCAAGAGCCGCGCCAGGTGGCCGACCCCTTCGCCGATCCACTGCGTGCCAGCCTGCGCCGGCGCCTCATCAGTCCACCCGAGGAGAGCACTCGCCGACTCGTGCAGGCCGGTGACGACCGGGTGGAAGCGGCCGGGGAGGCTAGCGGAGCGGGCGCGGGAGTACGATAACTTCTTGTGCCTCGTCCGGCGGAGGTAGGACGATGCCTTGGGGATGGTGAGCGCGGTGAGCCGTCGGCGGAATCCCGCTGCCATTTGCTGCGTCGTGCACCTCCGGCTTGCTCGAGAAGCTGTTGTGTTCTTCCCGGCGCTCGCGGTGGCAGTATGGGCTTTTTGCTGTGCGATCGAGTTGGTGGTGGTGGCCGTGGTGTGGCAAGTGGATCGCGGGCGTTTTTATAGGGTGGTGTGGTGTGGATTGGTAGAGCCCGCACGGGTGGGAGGGGGTGTGGTCTTGTATACTGTGTTCGGCAGCTAGCCAGGCGCCAGTGGCGGAGTGGCGCGAGTAGGAGTTGGATTTTTCACTCCCCCCATGAGCTTTGGGCAGCATCAGCTTACGATACAAGGTTCTGAAGTCCGTCCTGAAGGGGTATAACCACCGTGTTCAACAAGCTAGGGAGAGCAGCGGACTACAGGATTCTTCTGGTAATCTGGCCAGTTAGGACAAGATAGTGTACTGTGCCTGTTTTTCGTACTACTGTTCTGGGCCACTTCAATAAGTTTATTTGTTTCTTTCTAGGGTAAATTTTCTCGTTTAACGAACCATTTGCTGTGGCCTCATTTCCTTTGCTTGTGCAGCAGGGTAGTACATTATGGAGAGTGAAAATTTTTTTGAACTGAATGGAGAGTGAAAATTGAAAAGTCAGTGCCAACGTCCTGTGGCTTGCAAACAGTAATGCCGTTTTTTAGCTACTTAGATGGAGTAACTCCTTTTTTTTTTCACGACCGACATACTCCTACTATATTAGCACATGGAGTAACTCTTATGTACCAAAATATCACATGTAACATAAAAAATATCCCATGTAAAAATTGCTCACATGTACTAGAAAATACTACCATAGATGTAAATGATTCTCCTATATGAGGAAGTAGGATAATCCTACCATCCGGCCACCCCGAGCAGATGCCCGGGCTTATCGAGGGATAATCCATTAAAATATCATATAATTAGAAATTTTCAAATAGAATTCCTATATTAAATAGTAGTACTAGTTATAGTGAGGTTTGTCCGGACTTCAAAATATTTCAGATCCACGCTTGCGCCATGCTTGAATTGATAGGTCATTTTCGTTTTTGGACTAAATATTTTTATATAAATTCAAATTCGCAAAGGCCAATAACAAATTCAAACTCGCTCCAAGCGTCTTGGACTCTTGTTTGGATTACACAGGTAGTAGTATACAGGTGCAAATTGGCAGCACATCTATCTTGCATTGCACGGAGAGTAAAGTTAGTTTAGGGCCAGTACCTGTGGCGCGGGCCCTGCCACCCGGTGTGGGAGCACCTGGCGTGTGGCGCCCCACGGCGCAACGCGCGGACACGTGCATGCGCCGGTGCGTGCCTCGGGGACCCGCGCCCCCTCGCGCGCGCCGGCCCACCTCGCTCATCACAGCTCACTCCCCCGTCCCACATTCAATGCCGTCATGGCCGCGCGCGCGCGTCGGCGTCGCGCGCCACAACGCCTCCTCGCTCGGTCGCTCCCCTAGTTCCCTCCTCCTCCTCCGCACCGGGGCCCCTCCGCTCCGCTGTCCCGGCCAATATGTGCACTCGCCAATATGTCGGGTCGATCGATTGGTGGGGGCGGAACGGATGCGGATGGGTGCACCGCACTGGCGCAGCGTCCCATCTGGGGCGGGGCCTCTCGGGCTCGTGCGATTGGGACGTTTGACACCGGTTGGCCTGCGCTGCAAGGAGAGGGATCGATCGATCGCCATATCTCGCGACTTCAATGCTCATCTTCGTCTGGTGCAATGCAAATGGAGGGGGGCGGGGCCGTACGAGCAGCAAATCATTGCGATCGACTTGCCAGCCGCTGGCACTGGCCTTGCTGCTACTCCATACCGTCCTCGATAGTTCCATGTGGGGTTCATCCCTACATGGATCGATTGATCGATCGGACTGTGAGACGATGAAATCAATCATTGGGTTTGGGTTGGTGTCCCTTTCTGAATCCATGCATCTCGCGTAGTACTATTATTTTCCTTTGGTGTTATTTGGCTGGGTCGATGTGATCAACTCTATAGATCAAGACCTTTGGTGTTCTTTCCTTTGGTGTTATTTGTGCAGAATTAGTTCGCTGCAGGCTTGTTTCCAAGCTCCCCTGCATGCAGGGTGGTTGGAGTATCTAGATAGCTGATCATCTCCCGTTGCCCTGTCACGATCCTTTTCGTCCGTTTGCACGTCCGCACTAAGATTTTCCAGGTTTTCCTATGTCCTGCTTATTACTGACGATGCATTTGACTCCCCCTGAATCTGGAAGGAAGAATCCATGACCACATGTTAGTGTTTGCAGACTACGGCTGATATACCAACACAAAGGCCGTTTGCTCTTATGTATGGATCAAATTATATTATACCACTACGATTTTGTGCTACTACAAGTCTACAACCTATGCTCGTGATTTTTAGTACTTGCCTGCATCACACCTTTGTTTAGGGATTCCAATGAGATACTCCAGATAAACAGATAGATCTACACACATGAAAGCGTGCAACAAAAGAATTGCCGCACCATGGCCTACCAGGGACAATGAAGAGCATAACAGGCGGTACAATAACCGTGTATCAGATGCATTGCACTGCAAATAATTTAATGAACGCTAACTGTGCTCTGATTAATCTACAAATCTCGAGGTGTTTTTGTAGAGTGGGGCTCTCGATGTTAAAAGCTAGCATGCGACGTGTCCTCCTGCCAGCAGTGCCATCCATCCTTGTCACTTAGCAGGTGACATACTATCTTCATCATCATCATCGATTGATCATTGATCAAATTGGTCAGCATGATCAGCTGAACGACCTGTTAATTAATGACACCCTCTTTACGCACATTAAGGATCACGAGATGCTGATGTAAAGCATTCTAGAGACCGGATAATTTATGTACTACTTCGGCCTGGTTTAGTCCCAACTTTTTCTTCAAACTTTTAACTTTTCCATTACATCAAAACTTTTCTACACACAAACTTCTAATTTTTCCATCACATCATTTTAATTTTAATAAAACTTTTAATTTTAACGTGAACTAAACACACCCTTCTTTTCAAAATTTATGTACTAATACATAGTACTAGTACTTTATATTGTGCACGAATTAAAGCTTAGGCCGTGTTTAGTTGTAAAATTTTTCTTCAAACTTTCAACTTTTCCATCACATCAAAATTTTTCTATACACAAACTTTCAAATTTTTCGTCACATCATTCCAATTCAACCAAAATTTTAATTTTGATGTAAACTAAACACACCTCAAGTTGCAAATGCTTTTCGTAGCCAAAACCGCAGAAGTTACTGACATGACTGAAGATTATTATCCAGACCAGCTTCTAGCTTCAGATCATTTACGCCTTGTTTAGTTCTAAATATTTTCTTCAAACTTTCAACTTTTCTTTCACATTGTTCCAATTTCAACCAAATTTCTAATTTTAGTGTGAAATAAACACACTCTTAGTGGATAGAATCTCCAACCTGAACGTTGAAGTCTGCAGTAGTAGTCGACAAGAAATCCAATCGTATCGTCCATCGTTTGCAGTGAAGCCAAATTGACTTGGTTGGGGTTCGTGAATGTCGTTGCATGTAGTTTGAGAAGCAGTACGTGACTGTGAGAGAGCGACTAGAATAAAAACTAGAATATTAGGGAAGAACCTAATATCAAATAATTAGGAGGGGTGAGGCTTTGAACCCAGGTCGTCTAGCCCACCACCTTGTAAAGCTAGCCGGAAAACCCCTGGGCATTTCTCGAGAGCGACTAGAATGAATATGCAGATTCTTTTATGTCAAACGCCACCGGCCGCCGATTTGGTCGGCTGAGTTAGTTAATCACGGCTGCGGCATCTGTCTCTAGAATGTGAGCATGTTCGTCTAGCGGAAAAATCTATCGATGAATGCAGCCATGTGCTGCAGCTATCAAGCTTGACAATACTAGAGAACTGGTATCCCGGTATAGCAGGAGATCGCCAGATCTGCATGAGTGCAAACAATTGTAACCGACAATACTAATCTGCATGAGTGCAAAGAATTAACTAATACCAGTATCAAATTTAGTATTTATTTAAAGCTTAGTGGCTAATTGCACACCTGCATTTTCAGTAATCTGAACATGACAACATACTTGTGTGTGGATTCTGAATTTCTGAGACTGAAATTGGCATTGGTGCAAGCAGCGGAGAACAGGTGGGCTTGAACACGAGCAACAAGAGGTCTCAGAAGTAAGAGCCCAATCTAAAACGGCCCAAGATAACGACCCACTAACGGCCCAATATAAAGCAGCCCAAGCCGCCAGCCGCCGGCCGAAACACCCACCGTCGCCGACTTCTCGTGCGCAAACAGTGCGGTTGCTCGCGCACTACGCCGGCGAGCCGCGGGCGGCGGCGGCGGCTGGGAGTACGGGAGACGCCGGAATACTAGCCTCGCATCCTCCTCCCTCGAGTTCGCTGCGGGACCGCGCCATCCTCGTCGGAGCCCCGGGCCCAGGGGACACGAGCTTCTCCGCCCTCTTGTCCTTCGGTCAGCACCGACGCCGCCGTCTCGCTCGCTCGCTCGATCGAGCCGTTGCTTGTGGCCGGAGGAAAGGTATACTCCCTCGTTTCGATTTGTTGCCGTAGCTTCGCGGCCCGTTAGAAGTGTTTCCAACTTTCCATACACGCTACGAGTATCATCAGGTTGTTTGTCAGATATGGGATTAGGCTGCTGTTGCAGTTGAGATGTGATCCTTTTGCTGTATGTTCTGCACTCTGTTTCCATGTTGGTGTAAGCAGCTTGCATTTGGATTTTGGAGAGATTTGCGAGACAAACGTAGTGATTGCCTTTGTAGGGGGTTGCTTTACTGTCTAGGTAGTTCCTCAATTTAGCGAAGCAATTTTGGCAGCTCGTTTGATTTTTTATTTGGGGATTCAAGTCGATCCGTTATCAAACTCCTCAAATTAGCACTAGTGTTTACTAAGTAGGTTGTTCATATAGATTCCCCCCCACTCTCTTCATCCTTTGGTATAGCAGTTTTTTTTTTATTTGGAACGGATCTGGTATAGAGAATCTGAAATCTATAAATTAAGGGTCCGAAAAGCTACTATGAATCTACGATGCAGTCATGATTGAATACTATTTTTTAAAACGCATGATGACTGTATTAATAAGGGGAGCAAAAGTTGAAAACTGCCAAAGCGGTATAATGATCTGCTTATCTATGTTTTGTGTTGTGAAGGAGCTTGATGAGGGTTTATGTGTAACTGCTGCTGTAGATTCGATGCTCATAGGACATCCTTGTTTATGGATGCTGTTATTGGCTGTTAAACAGTGTTTCTAACAAATGTTTGTTTTCTTAACCTTTAGGCCTCAACAGTCAATATGGCTGGCTCATTCATTACTGGGGCTTTAATGTAAGTAGCAGCAGTTTTTGTACAAAAGTACTGCAGTAGGTAATGGTTTTGGTCTGCTACATGTTTGTTATTACCTATTTTGCAGGCTTATTCTTGGATATGCATACCCAGCCTATGATTGCTACAAGACGGTGGAACTGAACAAGCCTGAGATCGAGAAGTTGCGGTTCTGGTGTCAGTACTGGTATGCTTTTTATGCCCTTTTGTTTTATTTTGGACTATCATTCTTGGATTTCTTATGCTTGATCTCAGCTGTGTGATCATGGCTTTTGCAGGATTTTACTTGCTGTTCTAACTGTTTTTGATAGAGTTGGGGATAATTTTGTATCATGGTAAGTTGACCATTTGGAATTGTATTTTTTTCAGGTGTAACAGTAAAGGGGAAATCTTACCTGCTTGCTGATGATAATTTTGTTTGCGTGTAGGTTGCCAATGTACAGTGAAGCAAAGCTGGCATTTGTCGTATTTTTGTGGTATCCCAAAACACTGGTATGGTACTCTAGTATTTCAAACTGCTAGAAGAATCTATCTCTTGTTTGTTGGTAACACAGGTTGATTTCAGGGGACTGCCTATGTGTATGAATCATTCTTTAAACCGTGGATTGCAAAATACGAAGCTGATATCGATCACAATCTGCTTGAGTTGAGGACTAGAGCTTGCGACATGGCGGTTCTTTACTTCCAGAAGGTTTCCAACTATGGTCAGACAAGGCTTTATGAAATCTTGCAATATGTTGCTTCACAGTCACAAACCCAAACATCTCGCCCACAGGTATCTTTTAAAACGTTTAAAACGTTGATGTTACTCCCCAGTCCATTTATGTATTTTTGCTTCTAGTATAGTTTGATCTGTTCATGGTATTTTTTTTATATTAACACTAGCCTCATTCTTGTTATGATCTTTTACTACAGTAGGTGACTTGAGAAGCTTGGATTACCTCCTTATTGAATTACTAAATGTTGCACTCTTTAACCATGCCATTTATAAGGCGGTGTCAACAATTTTTGTTTGTTAGTGCACGATAGAGTTGTTATTTGAGCACATTGTGATGTTTACTGTTCTAGTATTAATGTCCTGTTTACCAGTTGTAGGATTCAAAAGATTGTTTGCACCTCTATATATTTATTACTCCCTCCGTCTCATAATATAAAGGATTTTGAAGGGATGTGATACATCCTAGGACCATGTATTGTGTCACATCTCTCCAAAATCCCTTATATTATGGGACGGAGGGAGTAGCGAGCATGTGTGACAGTTTATATTTGTGTGACTGACATACTGACTTCACTGCAACCCTTCTATTCTGCAGGCACGTGAACAGCAGCAGCGCCCACCACCAGCACAGACTCGGCAAGTGAACCCTGCACCTCAGCCTGTTCCTGCACCTTCGGTGCCTCCACTGCCACCACAACCCACCCAAGCTCCTTCTGCTCCACCAAGGAACCAAACGCAGGATACAACTCCAGTTCCTGTTCCTCCTCCTGGTGCAGAGTCTCTTGCCCAGCCACAGGCACATGCTGGTCCTCCTCAAGCTAACGCCAGCGACGGCCCTCAGAACACTGAAGCTATGCAGATTGATCCATCTGGTCCATCAACAAGCAACGCACGTCAGTCATCAATACCAGACGAAGATACGCTCATCCAGGAGGCTATTCGGATGACGAGGGGCCGGCTTAGGAGGCGCACGGCCGGGTCTGGACCTCCACCAAGTTAGAACCTACACCAAGGGTGATCTCGACACACCATTCGCTCTATGCTGGGATGATTCTGCACCTTCGGGCGTTCAACTGATAACAGAAGGAAATGCTGGGTTGGTGAAAAGTGATTCAAATATTTCAAATCCTCCTGGAGTGAACGCACACATTCCTCCTCTTGATGTGATGCCTGTTGCTGTCGTCTCACTACTCCCAAATGTGCATAATAGAGGCAATGATGACACATATCAGTAGCTTGGCATGTCGAATGCATCAAGATGGGTCGAACTTGTCCATGAGGAGTCAGGTCCGTCATATTTGAATTTTGAAAAGTTCAACATGCCAAAGTATGCGTGACTGACTTGCCGAAAATCATCACAAAAATCAAATGGGTAATTAGTATAGTTGATCTTGATCCCTTTGTTTTTAATTGATCTTTTTGTTCCTGTACTCTTATTTTGTCTGATTTCCTACTAACGTGAGCAAGCCAAATTTGGATGAATCATATCGGTGGTAAGTAACTGCGTACAGGCTACAGCCAAAACCAGTCATTTTCAAACCTCAACACATAAACGGACAAGGATCTTGAAAGGCCGGATAAGTATTGGATTCTTGGCCTCTCAATGGTACTGTTATATCTTGGCCCACTGACGTCAAAACGTTTGTATCCTCCTGGCTGCAGGCTGTAATCCGTAGATTAAGGCCCAGAAAAACCTAAGCCCGGTTTTTTTTTTCCAGATTCCGGTTTAGATCAATAATATTTTTCCAGATTCTTCTGCTGATTAAACTGCTTCATCTGAAATTAGGTGTTCCAAATGGAGATTCATGCACTGTCTAGAACATGGTATTTATATTTTGTTTCATATATATGCGGTAACAGGTAACTGAACTGTTCCATATAAATTTCATCTGAGTTGGCAAATTGTTCCCTGCCATGTGGCTGATAGTAGGCCGATATATGCACAAAGGCTATAGTCGATGTGATCTGAGAGCATCTTCTGCAAGGTAGTTGCGTGCTGATCAACGACACCAAAGCTTTCTTTCCGAGCGTCTAGGTTAAGCGAGATTTATCATGATGTGGCTATGTCATCTTGAGGTAACACGTCTGAGCCTGACTTATCACTATGTTTTACAATATAAACACCACCTAAAATCAATCATTGCCCTATTCACTGTTACTTTGTTTTTGCTGGCCCAAGTATTACCTAGTCAAGCTATGAACACTGGTTGGGGTCCCGAGAATCTGAACCCAAGTCATACTGAAGATGAAACAACATGTGTCGCCATAACAACATAGTATTTACTGATATCATGCATACACATAAAATTTCTGCAAACGTCAGATCGTTATTTATGTCTTCACACTTCAGTCAATTTTTTAAAACTAAATATTGTCTTCAGTCAAATTAAGAGGCTCTCTGTTCATATTTTCTCTTCAGGTTTTGTTAATACAGTCGCCACCAACTCCTCCTGCTTGAACAACAGTGACCCACTTATTCGTGATTGTGTGACACCGCATCCTTCAGAAAGTAACATCACCGATTTCTCTGAAACATCGTCTCAATAATCTAATATAGAGTTGCTATCGTCATCATTTAAGTAGCATCTTTGCAAACTTCAGCTTGAATACTTGGGCTAGCAACCTACGTCGGCAGATGAAATAAACTATCAGTTTTATGCTGGTGATTCGTTAGCCAACAAAGTGAAAAAGAAATATTGCAACCATTTTGTCACTTGGCTCTGTTCGTAGTAGTTATATTCGATTGGGGTTGCATGATATATATTTCTATCTTGTCATGATCAAAACAAAAATGTCACCTAATAACTGTCACATTGGTGTTAGCACAATTACAAAACTACAATGGAGATACCGTTGGTTTAGGTAGGCCACCAATTTCTCTTCACAAGTCACAAGATGGAGTTCATGGCTCCCAAATAAATCCACTCATGAAGCTGATGCGTACTTGCCCCATCTGTTTCACTAGTTGCGTCCTAATATTTTTAGATAAAGAAAAATAATAATAAGAACGCCCTGTCCTACTAATGGATAAGAAGCTCAGAACTATGCACAGTACTCATGATTCTGACCTGTGATTTCTGTTATCCGAAACAGAATCAGAATATTACAAATCAGCTGTCCATTTTTTTGTTCACTGAACCAAACGAGAACATTATTAGCTTCGGCTCTTAGGATTATCCTAATGTCTGAATGCATGATAAGACTTAATATATATCTACTAAGTACAAGACTTGCCTCTGCTAACTTGGCAACAGCTCTTCAATACTACTGTCACTAGTATTTCTGTGCACCTAAATGAGCAACCATCTGAAACACCTAACCAGAATTGTACTTCTGAATCTAATTGGGCAAGAACATGGACCTCAAACCAAAGGCTCATGTGTGGAAACAAGCAAACAGAGACAGTAACAAGAACTATTCAAAACTACCCTTCGTGATTAAAATTCAGTTGTTCATTTGGAGTTCTCCTAACCACTAGATTCGAGTCCTCTTTCTTGTGCTGGTCGGCTCGTATGATGATTGATTATACGGCAGCAAAATGCCAAGTGTTGGAGGTTACTGAATTCCTACTGCAAGCTAAGCACAAGGGGACAGTGAATTATACCGCCGGGCCGGCCGCTCTGTCTCACTCGAGGCTCTCACACATGACATACTTGCTTTAGTGATCATCGTGTTGCTTGCCTACAAATGTTGGAGCCTCAGTGATCGGATCAGATTGTTGGCTGCTGGTGCTGCAAATCGATTGATCCATGCTGCTGCACGCATGGTGTACGGTTGACCACCTAACCTTCTCAAGTGCTAGTTGCTAAGTTGCTCGGATGTTTGATTGCTTTGGCGCTGAGCAGAATTGCAGAACCCTCGGTTTCAAGTACTCCATTTTAATTTGATTTCAACTACCACCGGTTTTGTTGTTTGTGAAAAAATTAGTTCAAACGTATCGTTTTATATGCGTTCATGAGCTGTTTGATTAGAAGCCATGACCTGGTCCTAGGCCGTGGAGCGTGGACAGCCAAGTTTTGAAAAAGAAAATGGACAATTTGGGCAGCAGAAATGAAGAAATGAAGTGCTTCGAAGTCTGAATCACTGGTTCACTTGCAGCTAGTACCTAGTTTCAGATCGAAAGGCAGAAGATGCTGTGTTGATCCAACCCTGTACCATCACGTAGACACGATCACTGGCAACGTAATGCGAGGGAAATCTCACTTTAAAAGCTCACTTTCACCGGCACATTCAGTTCAGTCGGGCAACTGGCCATCATACCTCGCACCATGGACTTGTGGAGTTGCGGTGTCCATGATGGCTGTGACTGCCATTTATGGCCCACTCACCTACCGTGCCCTGATGCCCACCACATACATGTCTGAAACTCTGAATTGCAATATCCCTCGTAATTGTTCTCGTGTAAGTAATCAACCTCACATTTTTTTTCAGATAATGGAAACGGTTCGGTAATCACCTCACATTTCATGCAGAATTCTGATAAGGTTTAACGACCAGCTCCGTCAGCAAGTCTGACCACCAACAGCAACGAGCAACGTGCAGGGGCTGTATATTAGGAGGGTGCCAGTAACCCGGTTAAGAAAATTATTTTAGCTATATCTTATCTATTCTTATCATGTATGTACCCTCTCAATATAAACTTAGACATCCGCATCAGCTTAAATTCGATCTAAACTAAAGTAAATTAAGCAAGTGGTACCATCCTCCATTTCGTTTTAGCTCCGCACCTGGCAACATGACCAAGCACACCGTAGGCAGAGGCAGCCGAGCAAGCCATGTGTCAGGGACTCAGGGTAGAGAGGAATGTTGCCGGAAGCAACACACCCAGGCCAGAGGCAGCAACAGCATGTGAGCCCTTTGAAACTGCGATACGTTGGTTGTTGCAAACGTTCTCAGGAGAGTTGTTGCTTCACGGCGGCGCCAATTCGGTTCGTTTTTCGTTAGTTGTTTAGGCTCCCAATGGGACGGGACGGTTTGTAACTTGCTTTAATTTTATCTTTACACATTAGTTAGTAGCTCATGTACAAAGTTGGAAAAGAAGAAGAAGAAACGGAGGAGGAAATTCTGAAGTTGCCGAGGGATTAGGAGGACTCTAAATCGGGTCAGTGAAATCTCTACTGGAGGCGAGCCGAGAGACGTCTTCTTTCTCATCAAAGCCCAACCAAAATGGCCGTGACGACAGGAGAAGTACGTGTGGCTGGGCTTCTACTTCCACTCGTGCGTGTCGCAGGGGAAGCAGCCTTCCTGGGCGATGTCAGTGATCTGGACCCCCGTGTCGTAGACCTCGCCGGCGCGCCACCGCCTCGGCAGGACCTCCCGGTCGGCCCACACCCACTTCCCGTCGTAGCCGCCGGTCACCACCAGCCTCATCTGCAGCGGCCCCGGCGGCGCGTTCGCCATGCTCCACGACGGTCCGTGCTCCCTCGTCATGAACTTCCAGCTCGACGACCCAACCTGCAGCTCCCAACACACGATTGTTAGATTCTGCGACACAAACACTTGCAGATTGTTAATGATTGTTCTGTGCTGTGCTGTGTTTTTACCTGGGCGACGTCGACGGCGACGATGTCGGTTTGGCCGCCTTGGTAGAGGAAGCTGATGGTGAGCTCGTTGGGTCCGCGACTTCTCTCGTCGACTCTGACAGAGAGGCTCCTGTGCCTGTACTCGCACGGTACCCTGCACATGCACATCGCTGACGAATTTGAGCCTGACTTCCAATTCCGGCTTAGGACAATCGTACGTGTTCACTATCTATTGCCTCGCCTAGCACTTGCCAAACATTTCGTACGTACGCTTTGCAACTGGTAAACTACAGCAACGGACCGGTGAAACTCTCTCTGTTGAACAGTGGTAAAGTTAATATTTATCTATATATGTGTGGAACACGAGCTAAGGTGCGGTTGGTGAAAAGAAAGCGAGCTGGGTAAAAAGTAAAGCTTGGTGAGCTTTGCTTACCTCTTGTACTCGACGTCCACGGCGGCGAGCTCGGTGAGCGACGCGGCCATGCCGGGGCGGGCCATGGCGGCGAACGCCGGGCTGCTCAGAACGAGGCCGGTGCGGTTCGTCCTGGCGCGGTCCGTGACGACGACACGGGCGCCCGCGTTGCTGCACAGCTTCTTGTCCTTGCATCTCACCTGCAGCAGCGAATCGGTCAGGATGGGGAAGCCATGGACATGGCATATGCAGCTAAGCTAGTTGCCTATCTTCGGTTGTGTTCTCCTTCTCGATCGAGCTTGATTACCTGGTAGCACGCGCCGCAGCCGACGCCGCCCCGGTACAGCGCGGGGCCCGCGGCGGCGAGGAATCCGCCGCCGTTGAAGGTCGCGGCCGCCGTGCCATACCCGCAAGAACCGGCTGTGCCACGCAAGAACAAACGAACAGAATCAATCAGTCGATCCATAATCCGGCCGCTCCCTCTGCACGCAAAACCACGAACAAAAACAGAGCCGTCGTGTCGACATACCAGTCAGCGTGAGCGAGGAGGTGTAGTAAGCCGCTCTGGAGCGGCGCACGCAGCGGTCGCAGCCGGAAGCGAGCCGAGGCGCGAGCAACGCAACGATGACGAGGAGTAGTCGCGCGTGGTGCGAAAGGGAGGAGGAGCCGAAGCAGCAACGGACAGAGACGGCCATACTCTCTGGCTCGGGCACGGGGAGTGTGGGTCGCTTCGGAGAAGAGAGAGACCGAGGTGGATTCGTGTGCGTGACGACTGGTTTTATACACCCCCCCCCCCCCCCCCCCCCACACGCCCGCGCCCGCGCCCGCGCGCGCGCGCACACAGCCAACCCCGTATCTGCAACTGTAAGTAGGTAATTAGGCGCCACTTAGTAACCAAACCAATAACTAATCCCACAACGAGAGATATACATAGAAGAAAAAAGTACGGATCCCGCGCGAATCGGCTGCGTGCGTATGTGTGGAGGAGGAGGTGTACGTCGTGACAGGCGGGTGTGTAAAAGGCGGTGGCCGCGCCCGACAAAATGGAAGGGAAAAGGAGGGGATCGCACGGGACGGGAGACGACCGGCCACCGGCTCCACTCGACAGCGCGGCACGCGCGCGAAGTGGCCCGCTTGGCCGCTTGCGCCGATGCGGCATCGAGCGGTCGATCTCTCGACGCTGCACGGGAGATACCCATAAGATTTTGGCTCCACGCCCCGCTGCTGCTGCTGAAAAATGTACCCAAGTTTCGTGTCAAATCGTACGGGCGCGGCTGGGGTTTGAGATACGCGGCCATCTGAAAACGATTAATTCACGGGAGGTTATGAGGTAATCGTGTTAGTAGATTTTGCGTGGTCTTGTGCACTCGTTTCGTAGCTCGGTAGATTGTTTTCCGTTAGGAGCGTAGAATCATCGTAGTACGGTTGGACGTCGACTCCTGGAAACGGATGTGGACGACACAGCTAGCAGAGCCGGTTGCAAATTGGAGAGGAAATAATAATTAATAATCGCTATGATTTTCGATTCTATTTGTCCTTTTCATGTGCTTGTGAAATTAATATTGACGGTTACGTGACGCCATATGAAAATCGATCTTTGCTAATCCTGGGGCGTTTATACTAACGGATTAACCCCTCCTGTCTCTGCATCTGTGCGCATTCAGAATCACCTGTTTCCGTTGAACGAGATCTATTTGTGTAGAACCCCAGGATTTTAATTATTAGTACCATGCATTTCACGAATCTCAGCTCAAGACAAAAGTCGAGTCCCACGCAAAGAAAAACCAAATACTAGTATTACTGATGAACATTGAGCGAGTAGGTCGCCTAGCTTTGCTAGCTGGTGTTGGCCGGTGAGCTTCCCTTGTTGTAGAGCGTTGGATTTATTCAGTTTCTGGTCCTCTCCTGTCGCTCTTCTGCATCAATCGCTTCTTGATCACTTAAAAAACTACTAGTACAATTAAAAGGGCAGCTTATTGTGTGACTCACAGAAAAGTTTCAAGTCGGCCATGAACAAACAAACAAACAAATTAATTAATACTATAAGATTGTGGCATCCAATTAATTAAAGATTAGTATAATAGCTAGAGGGAGTGGCGCCGTATGATCTTCGAGTTCGTGCGCAATCGCACTACTGAAAAATTACGATGTTGGGGGTTGGTGAATGTGTCCAATTATTTCTTTTTAGCTGGACCAGTGTTCAGTGACTCCAGGTGAATGTGCGAGCAGAAAAGAAATATCAGAGAGACCCTTCAGGCTCAAGATTTTGGGCAGGGTAGCGATCACCAGCATCATCATCTTGACGCAGAATCGACATTTCCCTCGCTGCATCTGCGACTAATTACGTACGCACACAGTTCAGCAGATTTTACTTACTGGTCGTTACGACATGATTCCTAATTTATCCGTTTCATAATATAAATCATTTTAGTATTTCGTAAATAATATAAATATAAAAAATGCTAGAATGATTTATATTGTTAAACGAAGGGAGTACCTTTGAAAGGTGAAAAACAAAAACCTCTGTACTGCTAGCATGCTTATTCCATAGAGTCGAACCGCAGGTTCACACGTTGCGACACATGCTACTTGACAAGTCCTCAATAGTACACAGTCACCCAGCTCAAATCTCTTGTGATGTTACGTAAGTATGCAGATCAGCTGTTGATTTATCACCTACCGGTTTTAATTATATTCGTTTAGAACTCACGAACTAATCAGTGGAGTTGACAGAAATTTATGAGCCAAGCATGCCTTAACTAGAGCCAATCATGTGTTAATCCAAAAAATAAAAGAGATAATAATGTACTTGTACGCATCTCGTCGATCGTCGCTTTTCTAATAGTATACCCATATCACTAACACTGGTGGTCACCATGCACGCACATATACATTTTCCTACAGGAAAGTATAAGACGGATGGCAGAAAGACATGGTAGGAAAAGAAAAGAAAAAAACAAAGCAAAGAAAGAAGCAACTGTCTGATATCTGAAGAATTTAGGGCGTGCGAGAAAAGGGATCAGACAGTTGAATGGAGTTGCAGAATGAGGCTGAGCTGAGGTGATGCTGAGTAGTGGGGGTTGGGGGGATAAGAATGAACGGAACAGAAGTGGCTGCCTTTGCATGATGTGGAGAGGAAGCAAAGCAAAGCCGATAAAAGATTAGGGCTTATCATGTTCGTACGGCACGCACCACCAACGCCGGTGCGGTGAGATGCGCTGCCACGCCACACGACCACGAGACTGGCTGACTGACTAGCTGAAAATTCATTTCCGTTTTGTTCTATATAATATCATCATAAATGTGAATTATGAGTGCATGCATCATGTATGGGTATGGCCCCTCTGATAGGTCGACGTTTTTGGATGGATAATGCCAAGCTTTTAATTTCGTTAAGCATGTACCGCATTTTTGAGTTCTTATTTCGTAGGCCACATAATTGGAGGAATGGAGAAAGGGACTTGGGAGCTAGCCAGGATGCTCATGAGTCATGACGGTATAATTTCGTCAACTATGGAAAGAAAGGTCTTAATTCCAAAGAGGAACTCAAGTCTTAGTTTTGTGCAGTGTTATTCCCCTTTCTTTTCCTTTTCTTCTTCACTTGCAAATAAGCCAGCAATGGCATGCATGTATCCGGTGTCCAAGGATCATGGCTACACAATGGAGTGACGTGCAACTCAGTCGCAATTGACAAAGGCTAACAACTCCATTGACTGATTGGTGTTCAATTTAATCGACCTTAGCTCCAGTAAACAACAGTTTCCGTTACGTCCTTTGTGATATATACTAGCACGTTCTGGTCGGTGTTTCTAAAAATTAACTTGTCCATATAATATAAGTCTTATACTATCATCACGAATCACAACATACAAAAACAAGATTTGTCCTTTAAATTAGAAGATGGTGATGTAGAACTGCCCCACTTGGGTCTAAAAACTTGATAACCACAGGGCATCCACTATTCCGTTCCATGCCGTCCCTTGTCGAACAGCCGTGCACGCATTCAGCCAGGGTATGCACGAATGAATGCATCGAGGAATCAGAGGGCTTCTAGTAGTAGTATACTACTGTACGCTGTGATGAGGCAGCAGCTAAGCTGTCAATTTGTCACGGAATTTGCAGCTCGATGGGCGCTGGCCCGTGACACAAGCGAACAAGGGGCGCCAGATGACCAGGCCGAGCAGCGGCGACCCACCGTACCCCCGGGCGAACACCGATGGATCCAGCAAATCAAGCGGCAAGCAACGCGACCCGTCGCCACCCGGCCGGTTAATCATGGGACTCTGCCCCGTCTCGTGCACTTCGCTCTCCGATCCTGACCGGCTAACGTGCAGGTGCAGGCCAAACTACGCGCGGGCGCGGCGTCCTGCATGCGGCAGGGTCACCCGTGGATGAGGCTGACACGAGGAAGTGACGAGGATTCTCCGTACTTTTGCGTGGTTGCACGGGCGATGCGCGCGACGGGGGATGGCTGCTTGCTCGGTTGCGATGCGCGGATACCGCAACGGCGCACGTGGGGCTGTGGCTTCGTCCGCCGCAGTTTCTGCAGCCTTCCACCCGGTTCGGGCTGCGCACCTAGCGGGTGGTTTCGCCTCGGACTCAGGTCGGCAGGCCGCAGGTGCGCGGAGCCGCGGAGCGTCAGGTGAGGCAAACGAGGAAACGGCGGGATTTGTCCGTGATTTCTCCGTGGAATCTGCGTGGTTGCGCTGCACGGGCGGCCGGGCGTGCGCTCGACTGGGGGACGTGGTTGTTCGCTTGGTTGCGCAGGTATCCAGAACACGTACTACGTGGCGTCCTCCGACGTCCGCCGAGAGTCCGAGACCGCAGTTTCTTCAGCCTTCCTCCCCAGTTTCGAGGCCTGAGGCCTCGTAGCTCGTCAGCGCGGTGACACGTCGTGCTTGTCGGGTCGGGACTCGGTCAGCGAGCTGCACATGGCAAAAGGCATGAACTCCGGGCACGGGGTAGTAGTCCTATATACGTGCGATACATCTTTGTATCGAGCTGTCAGGTGTGTGTGTGTGTATACGTTCTGCTCCGTCTACTAGCATTGAAATATACTCCTATCAACTGTCAAATAAAATGTTACGCCTTCTCTGGCTCGTTGCACAGAACATTATTTGTACCTTTTATGCACACATGTACCGAGTTTGATCCTTTATTCCATCTCCTTGATCCGACGAGATCTTAATGGGCTGACTGATGAACAATTCGAATTGTGGTCTTGTTTGTCCCTGTCACCGAATCCTATAATGCCTCTCCCCTGCTTTAACGCCTTTATCAAGTCATTTTCCTCGCTGTTCCAAAGGTTGCTCTGCGTCGACATCCTAGAGGCCACTTTAACCGCCTCTCTAGAAGAGATCCGTCCCAATCGATTTCACCTTTTATCTTGGTCGGAGAATGGGAACAGAAAAAAGGCTCAAAAGCAGAAGCAGACATGCGTGCGATATATGCTCAGCCCATCATCCTATTGTAGTGCGAAGAATGTTTGGGCCATAGAATTTGCGTGATTGGAGCAGCAAAGCATCGGTCAGGGCCGGCTAATATTCAATGTACTCCTTAGCTCAGGTCTGATGCTTTTTCTTTCTTATTTTCCCGTTTGGCATTTCTCACGGACAAATCAAATGCAGGCGGCTGTGTCGACCACCTACCATCATCCGTACCATTTTCAAGTGAATATATAGGTCATTAGTAGACTAACGGTCGAGTTGTTGGCAATTAAAAACTCAATAATTGTGTGAACGCCTCCAAATTAGAACAAGTAGATCAATCCACCTCAAACAACTGTAACAAGTTGTGTTCTGTATAGGCAAACAAAATTGCTCAAACCTTAGAATCGCTGCCCTAACTAAGGTCTGTCTTGGCTGTAACTCTAACTCTTTTGAGTAAAGACCGGGATGTTCTATTTCGTTATTGAGAAAAAAAAACTAAGGTCTGCCTGAAACTATCCAAAAACAAGGTCGTCCTGATACGCCATTACAGGCTGGAGGCCCATCAAGGCAAAGAAAGCTGGTGATCACCGAACTGATCAGACCCAAAACAGGATTTTGGACAGATATGAGTCTCTGTTTTTCCTCTTTTTTTCTTTCTGCGATGGGCAGACATGAGTGTACATCGAAGGCTCGAACTCGGAAATTATTTTTTATTTGATTATACAAGAATGGATACAGTGTAACTCTACCAGATCATGTATAGAAGAAATGCACATGACTGATGATATCTTCATTTACAAATACCCACCATATTGAGAAAGAGGGTACACAACAACTAAAGTGTCTATGCCAATTCCAAAACGTATTCAATATCTTGCCGAATGCATTCTTGACAAGCTTAATATATTGTGGAGTAGTAGATAATTGATTGGCATTTCATAGTTTGGATGTGGCAAGCTTAATAAGATCCTTCCTCAGTATCTTCCCGGATGCATTCTTGGGAATGTCCGTCACAAACGCCACCTTTCTAACCTTCTTGTAAGGCGCAACCTGCGTATATTATATAACAGAAGTTCAGAGAAATTGCGGGATTGGTAAGCCAAATCTGAATCAACAGTGAACACTGAACACTGAACATGATGTTTCATTTCAACTTCTATTTTGGATCTGACGATCGAATCATGCTAACCTGTTTTGCCACAAACTCCATCACCTCGCGCTCTGACAAGTTGCTTCCTTTCTTCCTCACTATATAGGCCATCGGGAACTGGCCGACCTCCCTATCAGGAAACCTGCAACAGAACCAAACACCAACCCATTGAGAACCTAGCATAATTATTTCTATAGAAGTGATAACTGGCATCTATATGAAGCTTACGGTATAACGGCAACATCCGTAACCTCTGGGTGCGTCAACAAAAGAGCTTCCAGTTCTGCCGGAGGCACCTAGTGATACACAAATTATATTCAGAGTTACAGATATAAGAAAATGCGTAGCCTAAAAGTCTTTCAGGAAACCTAACATATCAGACATATCACCCAGTGATTTTTACCTGGTAACCTTTGTATTTGATCAACTCCTTGAGGCGGTCCACTACGAAGAGATATCCATCCTCATCTATGTAGCAGAGATCACCGGTCTTTAGCCATCCATCTGGTGTCAGCGTTGACTGTGTTGCCTCTGCGTTCTTGAAGTAGCCTGAGGAGAACCAACTTTGAGTTACACCCATTATTTTTTTCTATAGCAGGAAAATATAAAGCACCAATTTTGACTGCAAGCTTTAGCTGGCTAAGGGTATCTCATGTGTATAGAGATTTTTACTCTGGTCCAACCAAAAGTACCTCGAGGTACCGGTACGTGTACCTTACGGTACCAAATCGTTTCCGATCGTTGGATCTAGCTGGCAGCATGGGGCATTGTTAGATCCAACGATCGGAAATGATTCGATAACGTGAGGTACCGGTATCTCGAGATACTTTTTGTTGGACCGGAGCAAATCTCTTGTGTATAACTGCCTGAAACACCTCTTGTTTCTTAAGCAAGTAAAATGTAAGCTCTGCCATTGCATAACTTTATCACGTAGTACTTACTGATTCCATGAAACTCATTCTGAATAAATATGCTTGCAACTGAATGTAGTGAACACATGCTTTGTTAATATAACAGGCAAATCCTTTACCTTAATTTTTTTTTTAAAAAAAAGTAAAGGAAAGAATGGAGATACACTAAAATATGTTGAGGTGTGGAAAACTGAATGCACGACTCATTTCAAAGTGTACTATAATGCCACAACATAGCAAGATATTCATGGCATTGAACAAGAACCTGATGTTCCACATAATGAACATAATTCTGCCACTCACTGAACCAATCTACTTGCCAATGATCCTTAGTACTAGAAAAAGGTGAAGTTACTTGCCGAACTAAAATATATAAATCATAATTCTGTGTTCACAATTGATTTCCTCTTCACGATTAAATCAAAGGCAAATGCCTCGAACAGCATATGCATGCAAACAGGAATTAATGTCAGGGGCAATTCATTCAGTCGATGGTTCTGGTAGAGAGCACCCGCGAAAGATCTCACCTAAAAGATCACTCAACATTATAATAGTTTGACTGCACAATGCACATGGAAGCCTACAGATAATCAGATGTAAACAATGTATAATCTATACATATGCATTATGCATTTCAATTCTTTTCCCAACACTAACTTTATTCTCATGGAAAGCTACCGCCCGATCGATATAGTAAATTAAACAAAGTCCTACGAACTGGCACCTACCATGTGGCCTTAGTCAAAAAAAAATGACGCAGGGGTCTCAATTTATATGTTTACGTCCAAATGACGCGGTTATAACTTTGTTCAGGCAGCAAGCTCATGACAGTTCAGAACACGGTTATAGCTCAATTTATATGTTTATGTCCAAATGACGCGGTTATAACTTTAATTTGTTTAGTGCGTTTATATTAGTGATCCACAAACAGACAATTTCTAGCGTGCAACTCGCTAATGGAATAAAAATGCTGCCAAGTCTAAATGAAATGTAAACAATGTTCATCAAACCTTTCATGACGTACGGTCCACGGATCCAGAGCTCGCCGGTGCGGTTTACCGGCAGCGCCTCGCCGGAATCTGGGTCGACAATCTTAGCCTCGGTATTGGGAGACAGAAGCCCGGCCGTCCCGTACCGGCGGCTCTCCTCGGCGGAGTCCGTGGACGCGCCGATGGCGGTGCTCTCTGTCAGCCCGTACCCCTGCAGGATCTCCACCTGCGGATACTTCTCCCTGAACCCTTCGATCAGCTCCTTGCCCAGCGGCGCGCCGCCGGATAGCACCTTGCGCATCTGCCCGAGCGGGAGCGGCTTCGGGTGCGCCACCATGGCGACCAGGATCGGCGGCACGAGCGGAAGGTAGGTCACCCCGTAGGCGTTGATCGAGCGCAGCATCTCCGGGAGCTCGTACTTGGAGAGCACGACCACCGTGGCGCCGCAACCGAGCAGCCCCGTGGCGAAGGCGACGAGGCCGTAGACGTGGAACATGGGCACCGTGCAGAGGAATGTCTCTGTCTTGTCCGAGCCCTCGAGGCGGAATCGCGTCATGATGATCTGGACCATGGAGATGAGGCTCCGGTGCGTGGCGACGACGCCCTTGCTTGGCCCCGTCGTCCCCGAGGAGTAGAGCAGGGTGGCCGGATCGTCCTGCGTGACGCGGTCCTTGCGGCGCGCCGGGTCGGGCGTCGTGGCGGAGATCTCCTCGATGGTGGCGACGATCCGCGGGTCGGAGCTGTCGCCGGGGAGGCGGGCGGATTCCAGGAGGACGACGCGGAGGTCGTGGGCACGCGGGAGCTTGGGGAGGAGCTCGCGGGTGGTGAAGGCGAGGACGGGGCGGGCGTCGGCGACCTGCTTGGCGATCTCGGCGGGGGTATTGAGCGGGTTGGCGGTGGTGAGGACGGCGCCAAGCGACATGGCGGCGAGGGCGGCGACGGGGAAGTGGACGGAGTTAGGGGAGAGGATGAGCGCGACGTGGCCCTTGCGGAGGGAGACGGGGTGCGCGGCGAGGGCGGATGCCGCCCCGGCCACGGCGCGCCAGAGCTCGGTGAAGGTGATCCGGCGCCCAGTCGCGGCGTCGACGAGGGCCACAACGCCCGAGTGGCGGCGCGAGGCGAGGAAGCTGACCACGTCGACCTCCGGGTCGGCGGGCAGCGGCACGTCGGCGCGCCTGCTCCGGAACGTGCGGGTGGCGGCGCAGTAGCCGCTGCGCGCGTCCACCTCCATCTCCGGTGAGCGTCCCATCGCGATCAGACCCACAGATCACCGAGCTCCAGCCAACTGCCCCTTGCAGTTGCTACCTGCGTTTGTTTCCGGTGTCGCGTCGCGGCTGTGGAATGTGTGGCTGGTTCCTGGCTGCTGTGGGGTAGTAGGCTAGTAGAGTAGTACTAGTAGCCGTGCCTGCGGCAGGTGGAATCGCCCGTATCGTCGTCGTCACGTGGGGATAGTGCGGTGCGGGCATGTGCGAAATCGAACGCAGACTGTGCGGTCAGTCAGACTAACGTGTGAATCGGTCACCGACGTGTGGGCCCACCCGTGCGCTTGAACCACCTGTAGGAGAGAAGAACGGTCACCATGCGGCCTGAATCTCGGCGGCTTCGAGAAGCGCTAGAGCGTTTTGAGTTTTGACAGGGTTGTGCAGCTGCGGAGGAAGGGGGATGACCATTTTGCTCGCAGCATCTCGCCCGGAGAATGGGGCCGACACGACGGCGACACATGTGCCATCAACTACAAATGGTTAGTAACAGTGGCGCGGCGGCTCCGAGGACCGATGCTTCACTGCCAAAACGAGTTTGGGTGGTGGGTGCCGTCTGCCGTGTGTTTCTGCCTTTCCCGCTTTCCGGTCTGCCGAATCGTTTTCGGAAAAGCAGGGTGGGGGCGGACCGGTGGAGTGATGGGGGCGGCTACAATGCTGAGTGTATACGCACCGGATTGAGATCCTCTCCAGTAACTGCACCGTGTATTTTTTTACTGACATGTGAACCCAGAGATTATCAGGCTACATAATCGGGCTATATATCAGTGATAAAGATACGGTGCAATTGATTGCAGAGGATCTTGATTCATACGCACCGGTGGCTAGACTCCCGGCATTGCCACGACCGACGAAGATACAATGAGGCTATTCACCAAACGTGGTTGGAGATATTATTTTTTTTCCTTGGGACATTTAGGGTGCGTGGCTCTAGCCTCTGCCCTAGCATCCACATAGATTCAGATGCCGCCATAGAGAAAAGAAGTGGCCTCACAAGGTTGTTAGGCGTACGTAGTATAGAACACACGGTATTTTGGAGCAAGGATAATAGTGAGCTTATGTGAAGGAAAGATGTGACAAAAAATAAAATGTGTTAACTCTCATGTAAGAGCTAATTTAACACGTGCTCAAATACAAATACATTAAATATATGAGTGAGAAAAAGGGAGAGGAGGGAAAAATTGAAACCAATCTTATAGCTAATATATTATTTATGTTGGCTTTAAAATATGCTAATAGCTATTAGTGAGCTCTACTATTAAACTTGCTGAAAAACTTGTGACGCACCATAGACACAGACACGGAAGCCCTCCTCCTCTCACATCGTCCTCCCCCAGGGGCGGCGCGGGAGGCGACGCCCCGGCCGCCCCTTCTCCCTCACCTCCCTCTTCCGCCTCGCCGCGGGGCCCCTCATCTCTCACGTGCTTGGGTGACTTGGGGAGTCACCTAGGGAGGCGGTGGCGAAAAACCGCCAGATCAGCGCCGCTCCGCCCAGATCTAGCGGGGACAGGAACAGCGTCGGTGGCAAGGATTGCGACGGCGGTGGTAGAGTTCCGCGGATCCGGCAACGGTGTGGCGTTTCAGCGATGGTAGGGGCGCGCTTCTCCAGGCGGTAGTAGCCGATGGCGGCGGGGACGGTGGTGGCGGTGGCATTTGTTCGTGGATCCGGTGACGGCGCGGCGTCCGGCGGTGAAAGGATTGTGCAGCGCCGACGGCCTCCATTGCCCGATGCTACCTTGTGGCGTCGGCTGGCGATGGTGGTGCAAGGAAGACGGCCGGATCGGGCTCCTAGGTCCAGATCTAGCGCATCCACAGTCGGGGTCGGGTGGTGTGGAGTCCGGTCGTCGTGCAGGTGGTGTGAATATTGTAGGTACCTTTCGGTGTGCAAGTGGCATTTGGGAGCTTCCGTTGTGGATGCTTTGGTTGACAGGGTCTCCGAGGTGAAAACCTTGCTCTGCTCCGGTGCTAGCAACGGCGACGCCCTCGGGTGCCATTCACCTTCTTGAAGGCGTTGCTTTTAAAGCCCTTGTTTCAACTCCACTTCAAGGGAATTCTCCGAGTGAAAACCTTAGATTCGTTAGGATCGGACGTTGTCGCCGTCTTGTCGGCGTTACCTTCTTGAAGGCTTCGTTTTAGGAGTTTCTTCTCTTGTTGGACTACTCTTATTTGCGTTCAGTTTGTCAATGCCGGGTTTTCGCCGGTTTTTCTAAAATTAACCGTGCTGTTGTAAAGTTTTTGGGTCTGATTTTTCTTATATCAACTATCTTCTTCTATAGTGAAATTGTAGGAGCTCTCTGCATGTCCCTAAAAAAACTATTAAATTTGCTCTTAAGAAGAAAATGTGTGGATCTAACTACCCAATTAGAGAAAGAGGAGGGAGATTTTTAGACGAGGTCTACTCATTGCCTGGAGATGAAAAAGCAGGTCTACGAGGCAGTGCCAACAAACACCGTCAAGATCAAGATCAGCACATGTCGTTCCAACAATCCCCATTTATCTCACTCCTCTCAATCTCTTTTGCCGATGCTTGCTAAATTATTGCCATCACGTTGGTTGCCCTTTTTTTCGCTCAGTCCCCACGGCAAAACTCTAGCTCCCCCTGTGCCACACTGCCACATAACTTGCTTGACGGCCTCTGTGTCAAATCCGGCATGTTTGGTTTCTTGCCGGCATGCTGGTCAGCATCGGAAAACTTCCCCTTCAAGAGAGGGAGAGAGCTACAAATCGGATTAGGCGGATCCAGCTCGTCATGCGAACCAGCGCCTTCGCCGCCAGATCGATCTCCTTGACCGGAATCAAGTCCAGTCGATGCATGGATGGAGCTTCTTCTTTGTGTTTCTGGACGTGACCCACCATAGATTTTGCTCTGCCATGAATCAAGCACCGCCTAGCTGCACAAGCTTAACTTCTAGTTTTTGTTTATGTTGTCAATCGATTTTAAACTAAAACAGGGTGTTGTGATCTGGTCTAGCAAGAAACGGAGAGAGGAAATTTGGGTTAAGAAAGATGAGCTAGCATGCATAAAACCAAACGCACAACTGCCAATAAGGAGTACACTTTTGATTGTACATGTTAACATATTTATACAAATTTAATCATCTAATTATTAATATGTACTTACTTCCGTTTAAAAAAAAGATAACATAGTACTAGAATATCGAATTTAGATATAGAGGATGTGTCACATTCTAATTCAATTGTCATAATTTTTTTTTAAGTAGTTGGCTCTCGGTATAGCTGCAAATCTAAATGCTACAGTAGCTAGTTTCCGCGCGCGGCAACGGGGACCCGAACCCCGATCTCCGGTGGGAAATGGGCATCATCGACCGTTTGGCGGATGTGAATAGCACTACTCCATCTGTACCGTCCATGCCACAAAACGAGTGGCTCAGATCGCACACAATCCAAGAGACCCATCACCTTATCCTCTTCTCCCTCCCGAATCCAAACCCATCATCCTCTTCCCTCCACTCCACTGCCACTCGCGCCACAAGCTCCTCCCACTCCAATGGAGGCTGTCCTACGACACCCATCCCTTTCCCGCCTCAAACCCCCCAACCCCAATGCTCAGAGAACTCCAGCCCTCTCCATCACCGTCCCTTTCCGGCTTCGTCTCCCCAACCGGCGGCTCACCGCCGCGGCGGTGTTCCAGGACCAGACCAACCCAAGAAACCCAGCGAGCAAGGGAGGCGACGACGATGAGGCGTACGGCGAGGTGGACCGTATTGTGTCCAGCCGCACCATCAAGAATCCGGTGTTCGCGGAGGACGGCTCGGCCACCACGGTCACCGCCACGGAGTACCTCGTCGAGTGGAAGGACGGGCACGAGCCTTCGTGGATCCCGGCGGAGGCCATAGCGGCGGACGTGGTGGCGGAGTACGAGACGCCGTGGTGGACGGCCGCCAAGAAGGCGGACGCGGCGGAGATCACTGCGCTACTCGCGGACGAGACGCTGCGGCGTGACCCCGACGCGGAGGATGCGCAGGGGCGCACGGCGATGCACTTCGCCGCGGGGCTTGGATCCGAGGAGTGCGTGCGCGCGCTCGCCGAGGCCGGGGCCGACGTGGGGCGACCCGAGCGCGCCGGCGGCGGGCTCACGCCGCTGCACATCGCGGTCGGGTACGGGCGCCCGGCGGCCGTGCGCGCGCTGCTGGAGCTGGGCGCCGAGCCGGAGGCCCCCGACGGGCAGGGCCGGACGCCGCTGGAGCTGGTCCAGGACGTGCTCGCGAAGACGCCCAAGGGCAACCCGGCGACGTTCGAGCGGCGGCTGGCGCTGGAGGCGGCGGCGAAGGAGCTGGAGAAGGCCGTGTACGAGTGGGGCGAAGTGGAGAAGGTGGTGGACGGCCGCGGCGAGGGCAAGTGGCGGGAGTACTTGGTGGAGTGGCGCGACGGCGGCGACAGGGAGTGGGTGAGGGCGGCGTGGGTGGCGGAGGACCTGGTGAAGGACTTCGACGCCGGGCTGGAGTACGCCGTCGCGGAGGCCGTCGTCAACAAGAGGGAGGCGGCGGAAGGGGAGGGGAAATGGGAGTACCTTGTCAAGTGGGTGGACATCGAGGAGGCGACGTGGGAGCCCGCGGAGAACGTCGACGCCGAACTCCTCCAGGAGTTCGAGCAGCGGCAATCTGGGGTGGCTGCTGGCGGTGATGCTCCGCCGCCGCCGCCGGTCGCCGGGTGACAGCGTGTCGCCGTCGACGGAGGGTGTTCGATTCTTCCTGGTTTTGCTGTGTTTAACAGAACGGGATAAAATGTTTGTGCTGCTGCAAAATGTATCATTAGCGCTTTGATAATTTTTGAGTTGAGCAGAACTTTAACCTCAGATTGCAATTTGAGAATGTGAAGAGTTTCAGAAAATGGTGATGCATATGGATCCTTCATCAGTTAAGTATGATTAGGATGGCAAAATTCAGTACTCTCTCAAGATTAGAAGAAGAAATGCTTGCCTCGTATCAAGGCAGCCGATCCAATTGGAAGACATTCTGAAGCCAACGACTCTAGCTAGACTGCACAACAGGATGCATAAGATTCAGGCACAATATTGCAGTCTGACAGAGTGCCAATACCTTGCACGACCACATGAACATATCTAGCAGTCTGATGGCTCCAAATATCAGGATAATAGAAAGGAACAGCTCTTAGCATACATAAAAGTATATGTTTATTCCTTCAATGAATAAATAATAGATCAAATATCTTTATCAAAAAACACTCTTAGCATGTTACATTGTACTCTTCCGGTGTACAGATCTCACATTTGCTAAATTGCACCAATGATGCAGAAACAAAAGGAGATTTGACTCTAAAAGTAAATACTTTACAGGTGGCCTTGTGTTCATAAAGAACCAAAAGAAAGATGCCAGGTTGTTGGCTCCAATGTGGTAAGGTAATCATGAAATCAATCAGCAGCCTGCAAAATTAAGGTTGATGTTATAGACAGTCAAGTGCGCTAAGAGCACAACTGATGGAATTCCCTTAGAGCTGCGTTATAATTTTCTCAGCTCTGGAAGTGAAGTGAATTTTAATGTCACATAAAGCTATAAGCCTTCAAGGAATCAATAGGCATTTGCGATATTTGAAAAGGAAGGCCATAGAGGTACATCCAATGATGAATGTTGAATTCTTTATCAGTTCATATGATTAGGATGGCAAAATTCAAGAGGCTCCTTAGCACCTTCCACATCACTTAGCACTACATACATCACCTTCATGCAAACTGAGGTGATCATTAACTCACAATCATTTCACTACAAACTTAGTAGTTTTGGGGTGCTTCTTAGATCATCGTAAAACAGGTTTTAAGACCTTCAGTTTATCTTAAGAACAAGGTGCTTAATATGATCTAACGAAGTAAGGTTGAATTTAAGGTTGAACCTGATTGAGAGGGTTGTCTGGAGATTTCTTCCACAACTTCCATATCATATCTTTGTACTGATGCAGAGTCAGCCCAGGCTTTTCCTCCTTGAGTTTGGCTAGCTCTGCTTCTTCAAAAGCCTGCATTAAGATAGGATATGCTGATCAGAAGAGCACAAAAAAAAAGGGTACTAGATAGAACACACTAAGAAATCCAGTTGGTTAGATCAAGCCAGTGATTGCCAATTGGTCTCAAACTCACTATAGCACCAACTAAAACTAGGACAGAATTTCAGCCTTTGTAAAACTGTGTTTATGTACATCAACTGCTGCCTATGAACCATGAATCCAGCAATAATTGCAGTCACATCTCAATGATTCTAAGAATATTTACTATAGTCAGTATTAATTTCTCCCCGAGTACTACAAATACAAGGAGGATTTTACAGTTGCCATGGAAAGAAAAAAAACACACAGATAGGTTAGTGCCATACCTTGTACGAGACCTTGAGGCGGCGCTCGGGGTGGCGATCCGGTGGTAGCGCAGGCTCGGCAGCGATGGACATCTTGACGATGGCGTCCTCCACTGACCGTGCCTCGATGATGGAGTCGTCTCTGTTGGTGTTGGCGACGAGCACGACGCGCTCGTACTCCTCCTCTTCGGCGGTGCGGGCCTGTCGCTTCTTGGCGGCCTCAGCCTCGCGCTCGAGGCGGATCCGCTCCTCCTCCCGGCGTCGCAGCAGCTCGGCCTCGGTGACCTTGGGGACGACGGGGCCGCCGACGCGTGCGGCCTTGCGGTCGGGGCGCCGCGCGGCGGCGGCGAGCTGCTGCTGCTCGAGCTCGGCGAGGCGGCGGTTCTCCGCGCGGCGTGCGGCCGCCTCGGCGCGCTTCTCGGCGTCCTCCTCGCGGCGGCGCGCGGAGCGCGACTTGGGGCCCTCGGCCGCCTGCCAGTAGGCCTCCTCCTTGGCGCGAGCGTCGCGGTCGCGGCGATCCGCCTCGGCGGCGCTTCGTCGCTCGCGCGCCGCCTCCGCCTTGGTGTTGACTCCCATCTTCTTCGGCATTGCGGCGGGCGGAGCGGGGCGGCGCGGCGCGGCGCGACGAGGAGACGAGACAGACGTGTGAACTGGCTGCGATGGGGTTCGCGTCGCGGCGCGGATGCTTCTGGATTCGTCTTAAACGTAACCCTTCCACCTATAGATGCATCGGACCACCGATTTATTGACACGTGTAATGCGTTGTGACATATTGATACGGAAACATTACTCCCTACGTTAAAAAAAAACTAATCATAGTTTTGGTTCGTTACGTTTAACTATTTATCTTATTTAAAAAATATAAAATTATCATTTATTTTGTTTGTTACTTGTTTTGTTATAAAAAATTTAAGCATGATTTATCTTTTTTATATTTACACTAATTTTTTAAATAAAACAAATGGTCAAACATTGCAAGAAAAAAAATTAAACGACATCAAGCCCCATCGTTTGGCCTAAACAGCTAAAGAATAAGCTAAAATTTGAATTTTTGAACTTGATTTTGAAGTTGATTTTGAGATGCTTTTAACGCAATTTTTTTGGTTAATGTTGGCTTTTAAGTCGTTACGAACAAATCTATAAAAGTTTTACTTATAAATTAATTTTTATCGTCTAATAAGCCTGTCGGGGAATGAACTCCTCCACCAGGGAACCGTGAGGCCCCCCTTTGTGAGTTCGGCCGGGGGCAGCGGGTGAGATTCGAGGATTCGGTGAGCGAAGCTGTGTGATCTTGAGGGGGTTCAATCCCCCAAAGACGATGAGACAAAAGGGGTTTATACAGGTTCGGGCCGCTAAGAAGCGTAATACCCTACTCCTGTGCTTGATTGATTGAGTGTAGAACACAAGTGCTTGGGGTTGTGAGACCCAAGTGCCCGTTCGCTCGAAAGTCCCCCCCCCCCCCCCGGCCGCTTCCGTGACTTCGCGAGGTGCGGGAGTGGGGCTAGGCTGTAGAGCCACGCGGCTGGATGGGAAGGTAACTTCCCCTCACTTCGCATACCCCCGGGCCCATATCTCCGACAGTAGCCCCCAGCACCATATCAGACATTGGCCTCCTGAGGTCGGTCTGACGTGGTGCCTCACGACTTCTCAAGCTGGAGTTGTGGGCCCGGCAGGGAATCCAAGGAAATATTACCGAGTGGCCAAGTTGGCGTGCCAACCACGGCAGCGGTTTGGCCGCCACTGACCGCGCTAATGATGAGGATGCTTAAGGCGCGAAAATTAGGGGGTCGGTCAGACCACGCATCGATTCCCTCGCCTGCTACTCCTGTGGCGGTAGTGGTGACGGTTCGCTCAGGATGTGCCCATGACTGTTGCGCGCCCTACTCCGAGTGTGCCGCTGATAGGCGCACTAAAGGCAGGGCGCGGATTCCATGGGCGACGTGATGAGTGGACGCGAGAAACGAAGAGACAACCGCGGGCGCGAGAATCGTGGGGGCAATCGTGGGGGCGTGAAACGAGGAGGTGAGCGCGGGTGAGGCGAAGATAAAAGGATACAGAGGTAGGGACTTTGCCTCCTTCCTTTCGCCATCCGCCCACTCGTCTTCTCGCTCCTTAAGCCCTAACATTCTCGCCACTTCACACTATTCCGCGCGCCAAGCCCTCCGCCGCTTCTCTGCCGGCCATCATGGCTCAAGATGCTGGCGACACAGTGCTCCCGGCATCACGCATTACGACGGATAGGCACCTTAGCCTCCCCCGCAAGATTATGTCGGAAGGCGCCGTCGTGAGGGCGGGGGAGTCGCGGCTGCGGCCACGGTATCCGGAGCGATCCGTGCACCTCTTGTCCTTCGCTATGGCGGGGTTGATTCCGCCATTCTTCGGATTCTTCCATGAGGTTTTGGATTGCTATGAAATCCATGCCTTGCATCTCGCACCCAACGCCGTGATGACGCTAGCCATCTTCGCGCATCTGTGCGAGATGTTCATTGGGGGGCAGCCTCCTCCCTCTAAACCTGATACCCCCGAGCCCATATCACCGATGGGAGCCATCTAATTTAGGACGAAGCATTCTGCTTCATTCGGTTCTTTCACACACTCGGTTCTCTTTAACGAGCTTCTAACAAGCACAACTTCTTCCTAGTTAGATTCATCAGCTTCTTTCAAAACTGCTTATCGGTTCTGACAGCTATAGCATCTCTTAAAATCTTCAGCGCTAAATTCAAATTACTCCATCAAAATAAACACTTCTTTAGATTCTCGTCAACTGGCTACTCATTAACTGCCTTTATCCGAGGGTAAAAGACTGAACAATACACTTTTCTGTACAAATATCACATTGCAAGGTATTATACATTACATTATGTACCTAGGAAGAGAAGCAATGCGCCCTTTTACATTTTACATCACAATCTACATACTACAAAATGATTATACAACACCTCTCATTTGGGCTTCTTCTATCATCTCCCAATCTCCGTATGAGAGAAGAGCAGCTTTTACTGATTATTACAGTGGTTAGGGGCTGTATTAGGTAGGCTATGCAACCGTGGAACGAAAACCTTCCCTCGGTGTGACGGTATGTCATGCGGAATTGTTGTAGTCAGCCTTCACAACCTGAGTTCTTCACTAAAACCATAAAACACTCGCCTTCAATTGAATGAAACTTGCTCTCGTGTCTGACCTTATGATTGCTCGGTTCCCTCAACAGTGAAACCAGATTCTTCAGCAAGGATTGGAAGTTCCTGGTCGCCACCCAAAACCTGCATGAAGGTCAATCAATTTGTCAAGAAAGAGCGAATGCTGATAAGCAGTCAGCAGTCTTAGGAGACCATGAAGATACAGCAACGCAACTGTCGATTGCATGAACAGTACCTAAAGTTTAGCGTGCCATCTAAAGTTTGCAATGTGCCAGTATCTGAACAGTATTATAAAGTTCAGAAGGGTTGGTGTGCAATTTCAGAGTTCAGGATGCTAGAAGTGCTTCTAATCAAAGTATAGGGGAGTATATAGATTTTCAGTACGGCAAGAAGAAATACAATGGCATTATATTTCTGGATAATAGGCTCAATAAAACAATGCCATCACAATCATGAGCTTGCTTACAAACATCAAAGATATGGTAAGTACCTTGCCGTTGATAATCCATGTCGGAAAACCTTCTATACCAGCAGCTGCACATTCAGGAGCCATTTTCTTTCCCTTGCCAGCTCCATTAGGAAAACATTCAACATAGTCCAGAATTTTTGTAGCTTCTCGACCAAAAATCTGCATGACCACATGATAAGGTAAGTAAAAACTTTTCTACTTCCAGTTTGGAGATTTAGTTGTGCACACAAATAAAAAAACGAAATAAAAAATCATAGCATCAGCATATTTACAGAAGCATTAGAGTAGAGCATGTAAGAAGCTACAGAAAATCATCCGGTATTCTGTACAGTGGATTCAAGAGCTTGTGTTGTACCTGTTTTTGTTCGTTACAATGAGAACACCAGAATGCTCCATACATCTTAGCGCCAACAGAGTGCAAATGTTTTGCAAGTGCAATAGCAAATGGGGTTGATTCGGTTGTTATCTCTGTATCATATCGTTCTAAAACAAAATCATCTGTGCTGCATATATAGAAAAAGAAAACTGAAAGTCACTCACTTTTGGCGATGAAGACAATGCAATATGTAAGATAAAAGTTCATATGGTATTAATCAGGGAAATCCCACAACAAAATATTGTAATAGAAAGAGCGGTGTTTTTCTTAACATGCGTTTTAATTGTCAAGACCAAAACAGCTGCTCCAAACAAGAATTTATGATGGAATATGATGTTAGAATTTCAATGGTTACTCTCACTGAGAAGAGGATGGCACTCGAGATGGGGCAATTTTCTGATTTTCTTCATTCACTAAACACAAAAGCCATGCCTACCCGAGGGAGGTTGGATACATATATATAGCCATAGCTGGCTGCTAGCCTATTGCTGCACCCTCCTAGTCTAAAATTCGAAATTTGAATGGGATGCTGTCCTAGAGGGCATCCAAACTGAATAAAGCATAAAGGAGGCATAAAGGAGATGCTAACTGCTGCTGTCCTACTAACCGCAACTGTCCTAGCAACTGAAAAATATGCTAAAGGGTAGATGCTGTCCTGAAAAAGGTGAAACTACCCAAAAGCAAAAAGAAGAATCACGACCAAGGACCACAAAGACTTATCCAACATTCTCCCCCTAAGTCTTGTGCGTCGTCTTGCGGGGAAGTTGGGCCATCCCGATCCTGGAGCAGAGCTCGAGGAACTTGATCCTCCCAAGAGGCTTGGTGAGCAAGTCCGCAAGCTGGTCCTTGGTGTTGATGTAGCTCGCCTTGATGCTCCCTTCCTCCAAGTAGCTTCGGATGAAGTGGTACCTCACCCGGATGTGCTTGCTCCGTTCGTGAAAAACGGGGTTCTTTGCCAGGGCCAGAGCGGACTTGCTATCCACCCTGAGCTCCACCGTTCCAGTGTCTCTGCCGAGGAGATCACTAAGCAGTCGAGCAAGCCAGAGCGCCTGGGTCGAAGCGGCGGAGGCCGCCATGTACTCGGCCTCGCAGCTGGACAGGGCCACCACCTGCTGCTTGACCGACTGCCAGCTAACGAGGCACTTGCCGAGGAAGAAGAGAATCCCGCTCGTGCTCTTGCTGGTGTCGATGTCGCCGGCATGGTCGCTGTCGCTGTACCCGACGAAGTGTGCCTTGCCAGGACACCTCGGGTAGTAGAGACCGTGGTCGAGAGTCCCCGCAACGTAGCGGATGATCCTCTTCACAGCCTGCTGGTGCTCCGTCGTCGGTCGCTACATGAACCGACTGACGTAGCCGACGGAGAAGGCCAAGTCCGGCCGTGTGTGGGTGAGGTAGCGAAGGCTCCCCACAAGACGTCGGTACTGTGTAGCATCCACCTCCTCCGCCGTGCTGTCGCGGCTCAGCTTCAGTCTCTCCTCCATCGGAGTGAGAGCTGGGTTGCAATCGGTGAGCCCAGCCAGCTCAACGACACGCTTGGCGTAGGCGGTCTGTCGAAGCGTGATCCCGGAGTTGTCCTGGTGCACTTCGAGCCCCAGGTAGAAGGAGAGAGGCCCCAGATCACTCATCTGGAAGGTGGCCTTCATCTCCTCCTTGAACGCTGCGACCTCCACATCCTTGGTGCCGGTGATCACCAAGTCGTCGACGTAGACACCCACCAGCAAGGCATTTCCTCCATTGCCCCGCCGGTAGATGGCCGCCTCGTGCGGGCTTTGCTCGAAGCCCATCCCCTTGAGCGTGGAATCCAACTTGGCATTCCACGCCCTCGGTGCCTGCCGCAAGCCGTAGAGGGCCTTGTGCAGGCGTAGCACCTTGCCCTCCTTGCCGGGGATCACAAATCCCGGCGGCTGGTGCACGTAGACCTCCTCCTTCAAGTCGCCGTTTAGAAACGCTGACTTGACGTCCATGTGATGGACGCCCCAGCCTTCCTGAGCAGCCAGCGCAAGAAGGAGTCGCACGGACTCCATCCGTGCCACGGGAGCGAAGGCATCGTCGTAGTCGATCCCCTCCTGCTGCACGAAACCGCGTGCCACCAAGCAAGCCTTGTGCTTGACGATGGCTCCGGCTTCATCCCTCTTCAGCTTGAACACCCACTTAAGGGTGATCGCGCGGTGACCACGAGGGAGGTCAGCAAGCTCCCAGGTGCGGTTCTCCTGAACCGCGTCCATCTCCGACTGCATCGCGGCACGCCATGCCACGTGTTTCTCGGCCTCTGCAAAAGACCGAGGCTCACCGTCGTCGCACGCAAGGTGCAACTGTGCCTCTAGGTCGCGAGGCACCAGTCCCGGCACCGGCTGGTCGCCGAGAAGATCCTCCATCGTACAGTACCGTAGCTGCTCGCCGTCGTGGTACGCGTCGATGCGCTCCCCGTCGTGGGAGAGCGGAGTAGCGAACTCCACCGGGCTGCGCTCAACACGAGCTGGCGTCGGAGTAGACGTGCTTGGAGGAGTGGCTGTTGGTGCTGGAGCATGTGGAGTCACTGGCTGGGGTGGTGTCGACGAAGAGCTCGTCGTAGTCGAAGTCGTGGCCCGAGGGTGTGTTGGTGTCGGAGTCGGTGGAGATTCGGGGGCTGGGGTAGACACGCTAGGTGAAGAAGAGCTGCCTACTCCCCCAGCTCCCTCGAAGTGGACGTACTCAACGGTGAAGTCGTCGTATGTCGGAGTCGAACCATCGTCCACCGCCTTGTCCCATACCCACCCTCGCCCTTCGTCGAACACAACGTCGCGCGCAGTGCGCACACGCTGTGTCTCCGGGTCGAGGATGCGGTAGGCCTTCGAGCCCTCCGCGTAGCCGATGAACACCCCTGGGGTGCTCCTGTCGTCGAGCTTGCCGATGTGGCCAAGATCCTTGGCGAACGCGAGGCAGCCGAAGACCCGCAGGTGGGAGACCGCCGGCTTGCGCCCATGCCAAGCCTCGTACGGTGTTCTGCCATCGAGGGCCTTGGTAGGCGAGCGGTTGAGGATGTAGGCGGCCGTCACCACCGCCTCCCCCCAGAAGATGGCCGGCATCCCCCTCTGCTTGAGGAGGGCCCGAGCCATCCCCACAACCGTCTGGTTGCGGCGCTCGACGACACCGTTCTGCTGCGGGCTGTACGGCGTGGTGTAGTGGCGCTGAATGCCCTCATCAGCGCAGTACGACGCGAATTCAGCCGCTGTGAATTCGCCGCCGTTGTCGGTGCGCAGCACGCGCAGCTTGCGGCCACACTCCGCCTCTGCAGCAGCCTGCGCATGCCTGATGGCGTCCGCAGCCTCTCCCTTGCTGCTGAGGACCATCACCCACATGTAGCGGGAGAGGTCGTCGACGAGCAGCAGGAAGTAACGTCGTCCTCCTGGTATGGCTGGTGTCACTGGGCCACACAAGTCCCCGTGCACGAGCTCGAGCCGCTCCTTGGCTCGGAAGCTCGTCTGCTGGGGAAAGGGGAGCCGCCGCTGCTTCGTCACCACGCAGACGTCGCAGAGCTGCTCCACGTGGTCAAGGCACGGCATGTCTCGCACCATCTCCTTGGCACTGAGCTGCTTCAGGGCCTCGAAGTGGAGGTGCCCGAAGCGCTCGTGCCACTGCCACGCCTCGTCGTCCCGACGAGCGGCGAGGCAAACTGGTTGTGCGACCTGCGCGCTGAGGATGTAGAGTCGATTAGTGCCTCTGGTTACCTTGGCAAGAAGGCGACGACGGCGATCCCAAATCCTCATGAGTCCGTCCTCGACCAACACGCGTGAGCCGTTCTCATCCAGCTGTCCCACGCTGATGATAGAATTCCTCAACGCGGGGATGTAGTAGACTCCGGTGAGCAGCCTGTGCTCACCGGACTTGGCGGTGAAGGTGACGGAGCCAACACCCTTGATCTCCACGCCGGAGGCGTCCCCGAACTTGACGGAGCCTCGGACGCTAGAGTCGAACTCGGTGAAGAACTCCCGTCGGCCGATCATGTGATGGGTGGCGCCGGTGTCGAGGTACCACCCATCAGCCTTGTCGTTGCTGGAGCCGTTGCAGAGGGAGACGAGTACCTTCGGCTCATCAAGGTGGAGGAAAGCCGCTGCGGCCGGTGCCGCTGGAGGTAGCTCGATGCTTGCGTGAGCCAGGAGCAGAGCCGGCTCTTCCTCCACCCGTGCGACGTGGGCCTAGCCACGTCGTGGCTGTCGACAGTCTTTGGCCCAATGGCCAAGCTTGCCACAGTTGCGGCAGGCGTCGTCTCGTGCCGGCTTGTGGTTGCCGGTGGCAACGCCCTGGGCGCCTCTGCGGGCACCACCCTCGGCACGTCTTCGCGCCCACCGTAGCTAGACACCTCCCCGCGCCTTGCGCGGCTTACGGCCGCCTGTCGGGGAAGATGACTCCCCCTTCCTCCCGTCACCCTGAGAGGCCTCCCACTGCTCCCGAGTGAGATGGAGCTTCCCGCCGATGGTGATGGGCCCCGAGAGAGGCTGTGGCTCATCACCATCGACGACCTTGAGGCGACCTAACGCCTCCTCGATCGACATCGTGGAGAGGTCCAGCAGAGATTCGATCGAGCGAGCGATCTGCCTGTACTTCTCAGGGACGCAGCGGAAGAGCTTCTCGACAGCTCTCTCCTCGTCGTAAGTGTCGTCGCCGTACTGCACCATTTTCTGCAAGAGAGTGTTGAGACGGAGAGCAAAGTCATCAACATCCTCACCTGGCTTGAAGGCCAGGTTCTCCCACTCCTTGCGGAGTGCCTGCAGTGTGGACTTGCGGGCGCGGTCGCTGCCGATGCGTGCCGCAGCGATGGCGTCCCAGGCCTCCTTGGCAGTCCGCTTCTGGGAAAGCGAGAACTGCATCTCGGGCGGGACTGCAGCGATAAGGGCATCCAGTGCCCTCCGATCCTCGTCGTAGTCGACGTCACCGTACCGGACTGCCTCCCACATGTGCCGCACCTGGAGCCTCACCCTCATCACCGCGGCCCACTCGATGTAGTTGGTTTTGGTGAGGGTAGGCCACCCACCGCCGGGACCAAAGTCCCTGACCACCGTCTGGACGCCGTGGTGACCATGGCGCTGGTCAGGGGAGAGAGAGCCGTGCTGCCTGCGAGGGCCGCGTGCGGGCTCCGGGCTACCGCCGGCACGCCCGCGCCCGTCTGGGTTCCCGTTGGCGGGCGCGCGGTCCCTTGGGCCGCCGCCGCCGCCGTGGAGGTGGGCTGCTGCCCACCGCTCTGCTCGCTCCCGTGCCCTTCCTCTTGCCAGCTCCTCAAGCTCCCTGTCGGCGGTGATGTCGCCGGCGATGGAGCCGTTGATGCTGTTGCGCAAGGTCTCAACCTCTACCTCCGCCGCACGTGCCGCATCTTCCGCCGCCTCCGCCTCCGCCTCCGCCCTGGCTGCTGCCAACTCCGCTGCCGCCAGTCTGGCCGCCCTCGCTGCTGCTGCTGCAGCGGTCTGAGCCGTTGCTCGCCTGCGCTCTTCTGCTGCGGCGAGCTCGGCGTCCTGCTGACGCTGAGTGCTCGAGGCGACCGAACGCCGAGACCGAGCGTCGGACATGGCGCACCTCCGGGGGGCTGCTGCGTGGAGAGGGGGAAGGGAAAGGGGAAGGAGGAGCAACCGGTGCTGCTGCTGCTGCTGGCTGAGAGCTCAACCGAGCTTGGGAAGGGGTGGAACAAGAGATGTTTAGCCTACAGGAAAGTGTGGCTCTGATACCAGATGTTAGAATTTCAATGGTTACTCTCATTGAGAAGAGGATGGCACTCGAGATGGGGCAATTTTCTGGTTTTCTTCATTCACTAAACACAAAAGCCATGCCTACCCGAGGGAAGTTGGATACATATATATAGCCATAGCTGGCTGCTAGCCTATTGCTGCACCCTCCTAGTCTAAAATTCGAAATTTGAATGGGATGCTGTCCTAGAGGGCATCCAAACTGAATAAAGCATAAAGGAGGCATAAAGGAAATGCTAACTGCTGCTGTCCTACTAACCGCAGCTGTCCTAGCAACTGAAAAATATGCTAAAGGGTAGATGCTGTCCTGAAAAAGGTGAAACTACCCAAAAGCAAAAAGAAGAATCACGACCAAGGACCACAAAGACTTATCCAACATATGAAACAAAATGCCATAATAAAAGAAAAAAAATAAAAAGGTTTAACAGAAAACACATAGTCGAAATGTAATAAATGAGGATGCCATATACTTAGTCAGGCATTTCATTATTTGACGCTTAAGACCTAACCAATTTCAGAGAAACAAATACATTTGGCACCACAAATTTTCAAGAGCCTCACCCGTTTAACTGTGTTGTAGCTGAACTGTAGGAATTTGTCAGAGCAAGAGCAACAATAATTGCTACTGATAATTGAAGACCAACAAACTTCTGGACACGTTCCAAACCGAGGTCCTGCATTAATACAATAAACATTAGTAGTTGAGTAGGTTACTTAATTACTAAATGTCTCAATGAAAAATAAAGGGAAACTAAGCGCTCACCTTAACTCTGATGGAAAATAAAGTGAAGGAGAGAAATGCAGACAACAAGCAGTATGAACAAGACGTCCCAATAAATCTAGTGTTTAGAATATATAGGAAATAAGAACTTGCAGTGGCCATTGAAGTAGAGATCAGAAGTAATGTTAAACGAATATCCAGATCATCAATTCCAGGGAGGAACTTCTTCCCATTTTCTTGAAGAGAGAGCGTTAAAACCAAACCATATGCCACCAGACCAAGTAGTGGAAGAGGAATCCCTGTCAAATTAGAGAGAGACCAACTGTTAAAACTACAGAGCACATCACCAGTTTGCTTTCATCAAGGTAACAAACGGGAAACATCAAGTTTAGTCAAAACACCATCATAGATATATCAATAGAAGGATAGATAATTAGCCATATAATAATGAATATCTGAGAAACACTATCATCAGCCACTATTTCAGATGAAATTGGTACTTATACTTGGCTTTCAGTACACACTTCGATCCTTACATTGGAGAAAGTATAGTTATTCAGAATTTCCACAGTTTCAACGGACATTTAGCAGGAAGTAATCGGCAAAAGCGCTAAGAGATTACCGAAGACGACAGAGTAGTCGCTTTGGAGCACGTCGCCGCAGCCCCCGCCGCTAACCGGGCAGAACGCCTCGGAGCCCGTGAGCTTGATATAACTGAGGTAGGCGGTCTCCAGAAACCCCAGCCCGGCGACACCCGCAGACCAGGTGCTCGTGGAAATGCCCCACAGGGACGACGGCGACGCAGGAGGCTTCACTGGTGGCGGGGCCGGAGTCGAGGGGTTCTCCTGCTCCGGTGAAGAGGGCTCCGCGCAGCATCTGAACCGCGCGGGTCGCTACACAAACCACGGAGAGTCAGAGCCGCCGAGGAGGCTCTTGCAAGCAGCGGTTGGGTTGGGGGGAGTTTACCTTGATACGCCAGGAGGAGGAGGAGGAGGTAGTGGAGGTGGAGGTGGTGGCGACGGCGAAGCGAATTGATGAAGGGAGGAAGGAGATGGAGAGAGTCGCGGAGATTGTCGCCATGGCCGGCGGCCGAGGAGGTGAGATGTCGCCTCGAGCTCGGAGGCTTTCCTCGCGTCAAGGTGAAGGATATAAAATGAACTTATTCCATGTGCATAAGATATGCGCGCAGCCTTGACTCTCTGGGCCCATGAGCCGACGTCCCAGATGCGGCTCTGCGTCCAGCCCAGTAGCACACGTCTAACCTACCGGCCCGGAGGCGCAACCTGCTCGCACTCACCTAGCCGGCGGCCGCGGGCGAGTGATGACGACGCCACGACGGCGCGCTGACCCATCGCCCCCGCCTGCTCGCCGCCTCCTCCACCGCCTCGGCTCCGCGGCCTCCGGTCTGCAGGTTAGTCTCTCGCGGTCCTGCTACCGGGGCATTTCGTCGAGCGCCTTGCGGGCGACGCGCTTGGGCTGGAATCCCTCTCGTCTTACTGTGCTTCGTTCTGTTGCTTCCAGACGCTGGCGTACAGCTCGAAGAAGGAAGGCGGCGGCGGCGACATGGGCCCACGCAACGGCGGTTCCTCTTCTAATAGAAGACCAGGTGATGTTTTGATCACTCGTGATGGCCCCCGGAGAGCAGATGGTTGATGCTCACACGTGTAGATCAGTAAATCACATCTGTGCAATTCGCCCTTTCAGCAAATGAGCAAATGCTATTGATTGTGCTGCACGGTAGCTTGTTTACGTTTAGCTGGAAATGGCGTACTTTCTTTGTTGGTACACGGGAACTGCATAGTTGTTTACTTGTTTAGTATTTTGATCAAATCTCTGCTTTTAGTGGAATAATGCAGGCAGACCTTAGCTAACTACTGGTTACACAGCGGGAAACCTAAAAATAGGATTTGTGTTTGTGCAGGATTTGTTGATTCTTCTTCATGGAGATATTTTGACTCGAGGGTTGTTGGTATTACTAGAGGGGATATACCTCGCCATGCCTGGACTGTCCTACACATGCTAAAACGAAAAGGTGGGTAATAAATCTCTTGAACACTTATTTATATTTCTGAGTTTTTGTGCATTGATATTCCATACTCATGCCACCGTTTGCTCCTGTACGGTAAAACATGTATTACTACGAATGAAATTATGCAATATATTAGTGGTTGTTTCCTTTTTGTTGCATTACACCAAGTGAGCTATTGTAATATTATCCAAAGGCAAAAAAAAAAGAAGGTAATCTTATTACACTTGTCCCGGCAATGCATGAACTTCTATCTTAATGTGCCATAGTGCAGATGCCATGCCCATCCATTAAAGCATCCCCACTAATCGGAAACATGTTTGAGGTGAAGGCAAGCAATAGTTCAAAATTGTAACGTGAGATGGTTTTGGAACTCAATTTCTCAGCTTCCTTCATGTTAACTATAGATCCTTTGGGAAGCATGAATATGCTGCTTGAACTTGTCGGAAGAGTACACATATGGAACATTTTGTGGTGTTCTCACTTTTAAATATGTATAGGGATGTGTTTATGTATGCTTACTCTATTAAAGTTGTACTGCAGGGTTTGCAGCTTATCTTGTTGGGGGATGCGTGAGAGATTTGCTACTGAAAAGGGCACCTAAAGATTTTGATGTGATTACTACCGCAAGCCTCCAGCAGGTTTTGGTGCATTAATTTGTCATAAGTGTTCATTTTCTGGATAAAAGCAAAAGAAAAAAAAAAGCTAAGTTGACAGACGTTGCTTTTTTTTTTCAGATTAAGAAAATGGTTTTCCAACGATGTATAATTATTGGCAAACGCTTTCCAATATGCCAGGTTAATATGTATGGCACAAAAATTGAGGTGTGTTATTCATAGGAAAATCCACATTATGAACAATTGTCTTTGCAGCAACTTTGCCAAATGCTTATTTCTTGGGATTTCTTTTGTTCTAACAGGTTTCTAGCTTTAGCACGAATGCAAATCATGTGAAAGGAAGTAAAAATATAGGATGTTCAGAGGAGTTTAAACGTTATGATGAGGGGGATATTCTTCTCTGGCAGAATTCTATGAAAAGAGACTTTACAATAAACAGGTAATCTTCTGAATAAAATCTTGTGCCTGAAATGTTTAACAGATGTTGTTGACTTCTTTTTGAAACATTGCTGGAGGTAATTACTAACATTGTTGTAATCCTTTCATGGCAGCTTATTCTTTAATCCATTTAACTTTAAGATTTATGATTATGTGAATGGAGTAAGGGATATTAGCAAAAACAAGGTAACAATTAGCTTGGTTCATCTCAATCCATGCAGATATCCAGAAATATCCTTGTTTTTTTCCCCCTTTGGCTAACTCCTTGAGTGGATAACAGGTGTCTACAGTGATTCCTGCCCGTGTTTCATTCAAGGAAGACCCTGGTAGGTATTCAAAGAATATTCCTCATTTCTTTAATCTATCCACAGAAAATTTAGATTCTGGTTTATTTCAGCCAGGATTTTGCGTGGCTTGAGAATTGCTGCTCGCCTTGGTTTTGAGTTCTCCAGTGAAACTTCTGCTGCAATACGGGAACTTTCTTTGTCCATAACAGATATTGACAAGGTTTGTTGTATCCCACCATGGAACTATATGTATTTATTGCATAATTGCCACTAGGGCTTGCACTATCTGTCAACCTGCCATCACTTTTTCTGTAATTGCTCAAATGTCACTACTTTTCTTTCAGAGTTGTCAAAATGCCAGTACACTGTTAAGTCAATGGTTTTTGACTGTCTCTATGACCGAAATGGCTTCTTGATAGCATATTAAAAAAACAAGTTATTTCTCTTCCTTTATGCACAATCATAGGTGACTTGCAATCACCTATGAAAAATGAAAGCTAGAGAGGAGAAAGAAAATAGAGATGAAGGGAATTTGGACAATTTTTAGCCTCTAACTAGCATTTTTGCGTCACACTTGAATCCAATGAGATAAGAGCAATTGGGCAAAAACCCTGTGGCATTTTGACAATTAGAGCATGCACTGATGGCAAAATGTACCATTGTTTCTTTTTTTTCTAATGCTTTTGACCTCATTACTGTGTAGGCAAGATTAATGATGGAATTGAATTATTTATTGTCTTATGGGGCAGCAGCTTCTTCTCTTAGGTTACTTAGAAAATATGGACTTCTCGATTTTTTGCTGCCTTTCCAGGTAGGTTGAGCAATGCGATCATGCCATTGCGTAAGTAGAGTCATGCTTGTGGTACTGACCACTTCCATCTTTATCTTACTTGCATATGTAATGATATTTTCATTTTAGGCAGCATATATGTCGGATCAGATGAAGGATAAATCAAATGACACAGATTTAATGCTCATGGTGAGTAACTCTGGAAATGTGTCATACTATATGATTTTTTTTTGCTTCATAATAAAAGGTGAAATAATTTAAACCACGCACATGTGTTGGCTAGTGTTAGCTAACTAGTGTTGTTACGCATCAATATCCATGAACATGAAGTATTGGCTGCATAGTTCTATAGTTTTGTTACTGTTCATCAGCTCTTGACAGTCACTTCTTGTTAGTTGCCTTAATGTAACTATGTAAGTAGTGTCTTCCTGGTTTCCTTTTCTTTAGTCAGTGACTTAGAAGTGTAATATTTAAGTTTTAAGACTAGGGCTCGTTATGTGTTTATATATGCTGTATAATGATGTGCATTCACATGTGCAGAAACTACTGGCTAATCTTGATAAATTACTCTCTGCTGATCAGCCATGCCCCTCCTGTTTGTGGTAAGAAACTTTAAATGAATGCCTGTGCGCATTTACCTTCATTATATAAAGGGGTGTGAAAATCATTTAGTCTTTGTTCGGTTAATCCCTGTGAAGGAGGGATCGGAGGGGATTTATTCCACACCTATTGTGGTGTGGAATTATTCCCCCTCAATCTCCTCCAATACTCTTCAATCCCCTCTAAACCGAACGAGGCCTTAGTGTTCTTTTTTGTATTGGCTGGTCCTACATATACACTTTGCAGGAGATGCATAGTACTAGACTACAATCATCAAAATTCAAAAACCAGAAGTGTAGCTGATTAAAGATTTGCACTGACCAGAGTGATAGAGATGTATAGTGAAGTTAATATTCCTTTCTTTGCAGTCTTAGGGACACACTGATGTGCACTGTGAGTCTAGCGGTTCTGACTTTCCAGTTTTCATCACTAGAAGATATGCATGGATTTCTGTGAAATTTTGAGTGTCCAGTAGTATACTGGATAACTTGTGTGAGTCCTAGCCCGAAGGACAAAGTGGATTATCTTATTATCTATGTATGCCACCCTGGAATTTCTCACACACTTGCGCACGCACCTATGCACACTGACACACACATTGCTTTTTTTTTTAGAGTGTTACCTTTTTTTTCTACACTAGTATTATATACCACTGTCAATTTGCAGTTGAATGTTCCCATTTTGTGTCTAATACAATTCTTGTATATTTTGAGCAAGTCACGTCTATGGCATTTCATGTTATTCCACAGGTTAGCACTGTTGACATTTCACAGTGCATTGGTAAATTCTCCACATGATGCCCAGGTAATCAGGGCTTTTGCTGCACTAATGTATTTTGGATCATGGGAGGGCGCAGTCAACTTCTTGAATCAAGACATTGGAGCACCAGCCCCGTTTATTCCAGAAACACTAGGGCCTTCTCGGAGCAAACTGGAGAATCTCATGGAACAAACATCACATTTAGCATCACTAGTCAAGTCGTCAGTTGATACGTTGACATCTATAGATGCTCTCCAACAATCACTGGCCAAATACTCAAAGGCTTCACAAGTTTCAGGACTGGTAAGTATTTCTTTAGCATACGTCTCAACTCCCAATTGTCATATTAATTCCTGGTATGAAATCCATAGTTGAATCATTGAATGTTGCTTGGGCTCTTCTGCAAGTAAGCATGCAAATATTGACTGATCAATCATTGTTCAGAGCCACCTAATGGAGTTCTAATATTGTGTAGTAGGAACTGTTCTAACGATGCATGAACCATTGTTTAATTGGCCCCATATTTGTTCCTAAATGAATTTTTACATTATACATACAAAGCGTACTAAAATTTTGTTACTGGGTTTGTTATCAGGTGCTTGTATCTAGCAGAGAGAGGGAGAGAGTGTTGAGAATATTTGAGGGCCTTGATACTGACTTAACTTCATATGAAGGGACAAGAGGGATGCAGGAAATTGATTATAAGTTACTGAAGGATGGGCACCCTGGTGAGGTCCGGTTTGTTCTTGGGCAAGTAATCATGGACACTATGAGCGAGGAGTTACCACGTGTATCCACTGAGTATGATCAGCTCAATATGGAGGCTAGTGAAGATGATCTTGCTGACGGAAGCCGTCCTTCACTGTCCACATTATTTTCCAGTAAATCGTGATGGCTAAGCCGTAGTCACTCAACAAAAATTAGCCAGGATCTCTCCATTCCATGATTCCATAATCAACGCGCTCAGCGCATCGAAGTGCTTGGGCGTGCAGGATGGTCAGTTGGCCACCATACAATGCAGGCGAACTTTTACCGCAGCTAAACTCACGTGGATGCTGGAGAATGATGTTATTGCCCAAGTGCCTGCCTTGACGTCTTTTTGTAGTAGAACTGAGTCTAGTGCGTAGATAGTACTACCAGATAATTGTAACCTTATATTATTCACTTTGGCTTGTTAGTCTCCGCGTACTGTACCAATGTTGAGTCGTACTGCCCCTTGAACTTTTGAGCTTAGGTGAACTGAAAGTTTGAAACTGTCGCCATGGTTACTTGGGTTGAAAATACTTCATCAGTAATTTGATTACATGTAACATAGCGAACTGCCATGGGATTTGATAACCATGAGATATTTACTGGATTTCTGATTTGCAATGAGTTATATATACCCTTTCATCCAACTAGCCATTTGGGTATAAAGATTTCTTGCTGACTTATGATGTTTTTTTTTCCTTCTTAGAGGACCAGTAAGGTACTATATTGTTTTGATGGGCCGAGACTATTAGATGGCAAAAGGGGCAAAGCCCAATTACTGAAGCCCATGCATACTCTGTCCCTGTTGGCCTTGGACACAAATCGTGAGAAGGACAGGTGAGAGGATTCTCCTATTGTGAAGCCCACTACTAAATTGATCTTACTTTTTTGTTTGCTCGTTTGACCCTGTTTTTCAAAACCGAAGATCACAGCTGACCCTATTCCGTGAAGGCCCAATAACGGTGTTAACTCAGAAGCAAATTGTCATTTTTGCCCTTGCTCATTTAACCATATTATATCAAAGCTTTTTTTTATTCATTTGGACCTTTTCAAATATTTGTAGTAAATTTGGCATAGCTTGACAAATTTGAAACAAGTTTAACAGAATTGTCTTCAATTTGAAACGTTTGATTCAATTTGACATTTTTTTTACAAAAATTTCAAGCGTATTGTCGAACAGAAAATTTCAGATCCAAATACATATCCAACAGTAGTCGGCGCCGTTGCTCCTTCCTCCCTCCGCGGCAGCAACATCCATCACCTCTCCTCCACCAGTCGGCGCCGACGTCGTCCCTCCCTCCCTCGCTCCGCACGGCAGCAGCAGCCGCCGCTTCTCCTCCACGCGCCCGTGCAGACGCCCCTCCCTCCCTCCGCACGGCTGCCACCGGCGCCTCGCTCACACCACGCGGCAGCGGGCACCGCTGCTTCTACGTGCACCAGCACCAACGATGCCCCTCCCTCCCTCCCTCCGCGCGGCAGCAGCCGGCGCCGGCAGCCGCTTCTCCTTCGCGTGCTAGCGCCGACGCCCCTCCCTCCCTCCACATGGCCGCACCCGGCGTCGCTGCTCCACCGCGCGCCGGTGCGGCCCTCCCTCTGCGCTGCCACAGCCAGCGCCGCTGCTCCTCCGCGCACCACGATGCCGCCCCTTCCTCCGCGCGCCCAGGCCGACCGCCGTCCCTCCCTTTGCTCGCCGACACCGCTCCTCCTCTTCCTCCCTTCACGAATCACGCCCCGGCCAGCCACGCCAGTACGCCACTGAGACGTGGGATGATGGGATGAAGGGATTTGCAACTTGGGACAAGTAATCAAGGTCATTTTGGTCCATTCATGTTAGTAAATTTATTTTTTCTTTTTGTTAACTGAAACCCTAACGGGCTAGTGAAAACAGGGTCAAACGGTGGCTTCGATTTTGAAAAGTGGGGTCAAATGAGCAAACATGAAAAAGTATGGTCAATCTGGTAGTTTGGTTTTAAAATAGGGTCAAATAAGCAATTGTCCCTTTAGAGTATGTATACTTTCTATAAAGTTATAGTCCACTAAGTCTAAAGCTCAACATGCAATCATACCACATGATCACCCAATAGCAATAATTACATATTAAGCCTCATACAGGTATACAACATCATCTACAATTTATTTATTTCTACAAATCAATGTGTAAGCATTTCCAATCATCACCCTCACACCATTTGCACAATATTTTAACAAATCCATCTACCATTTTTATAAGATCTAATATATACTTATAATATGTTTCACATTAAGGCGCAATATCATTTGTTTGTTTCATGATTATCATTGATAAAACCTGATGCTTCATTTTTACTCCTAGTTTGATTGTCGAAAAAAATATATTGATAATTGCTTTGTAATTATCGCAGCAAAGCGCGGGGAATCACATAGTGTTCTTAAACCGTAATACCAATACAGATATAACGCGTCTCTTAACTTATAAATCGGGTGCTTTTTGCCATGTGTGGCCCGCTGCTCGACAGACGCAGGGAGAGAGGATGAAGAAAGCTAGGAGGAGAGAGGAGGAAGCTAACATGTGGGGCTCATCAGTTGTTTCTTAAAATATTAAGCTGGGTTTTCTAACTTTTTCAGATTCTCACCAGCTATCTTCTCACCGGCTGCTTCTCAGAATATTCGGACTCCCACAAACAGGACCCTATACACATTCGACAGCAGAATACGTATTATGCTCAAATACGCCTTCGCGTGGCGGTCGCGTAAGATAAACTGTGACGGTGCTAGAACCTTCTATCCACCCACGACTATATTACAGTCCGGTCCACGTGGGGGCCCACCCCACCTCCCTTCCCTCGCCTCGCCGACTCGCCGTGGGCCCCCACCGACGCAAAGGAATCACAGCCTTCCATCTCTGTCGCGCACTTATTTCCGCCGTTAATCTCTCCGCCCAAAGTTATTCCGCCGCCTCCTCTTCCCCCCCTCCTCGTTCTCCTCCCTCCCACAAGCCCGTGCAGACGAGACGCGACACGCGACACGGGAAGAGGAGGGGGGAGGGGAACACACGCCACACTCCTCTCGCCCGCATCGCACTCGCACCGCACGCGTCGAAGGATCGGGAAGGCGCAGCCCCGCGTCGGATCGAGAGCTAGGGTTATGAGCGGCGGGGACGGGGAAGAGGCAGCCGCCGCGGCGGCGGCCGCGACGCTGCACATCCGGTGCACCAACGGCTCCAAGCTCGCGGTGCGGGCCGACCTGGGGCTCAGCGTCGGGGCGTTCAAGGCGATCGTCGCCGAGAGCTGCGACGTGCCGGCGCCGCAGCAGCGGCTGATCTACAAGGGCCGGATCTTGAAGGACGAGCAAACCCTAGCCAGCTACGGTACGTGCCTACCCTCTTCTGTGCGGTTAGAACTAGCTTGTGTGGTTGATGCGATTTGCTCGGTCTGTGCCTGAGATGCGATGGTTTAGGTCCGATTCATTCTAGTTCGTATGTTTGATACAATGCGCCAATGCCGTTGTTGTAGGAGGAGTCAGGAGTGCGAAGGAAAGCTGCTCCTTTCATGCCGTGTGTGAATTATCTCTTTGATTTTCCATGTTATTACTTGGTAGACGATGGTATTATTGGGTAAGCAGCATCAGGGAGACTTGCACACTAATTTATAATGCAGCCCAGTGAAGATGCAGTGGAAGGCAGTATCAGGGAGCCTTGCTACTCTAATTTATAATGCAGTTTAGCGAACATGCAGTAGAAGGAAAACAAGCACTTCCCTCCCTTCTTGACATGAAAGTGATTCCAAACATCATGGAGCCACCAATTGCATTGTTAAGTGCACACGTGCGATGTGAAATTGTATCTGGTAATGCGTGGTTAGGGTATTTTTGCAGGAATATAACATTCCTTGCTGGATATTGTCAGCATAATGGCATCTTAGTGATTAGCGAATATGGAAGCTTTATAATGCTGTTTTTATTGTCCTGCGTCATTCGTTGCAAGTGCTTGTTATGAACTACTCGTAATGATCCACGTGTAACGTGATAACTTGTACATCTGGTCATGGCCTTATGATGTAGCATTAATTATTGGCTTGTTATGACATCAACAGAAGCTAAATGCGCAGCACTATCCACATGGGCAACTCTCCACAGCAGTGTAGAACTGAAAGAGATTCAATCTTCCAAACGTACTACAAAAACTGCTACTGTGATGCATGCTGTTTGGTGCATGTTATATTCCTTTTCAAGTAAAAGGCAGAGGGTTGTACTGTTTATTGCAGATTCTTTCGGGCCACTAGATGAAGCTTTATATGGAATTGAATTAATGAGTAAAATTTGATACTGAGCATCGGGTTTTGATCCCACCTACTGCATCCATGCCCATCATATCCTCTTGCATTTGAACCTATTCAAATCTGCACCCATGTGTTTCCGAATCATTTATATGAGGTTTCTGGTTTTTCTTTTCAACGTTGGGTGTGGATATTGGTCTTCGTGAAAGAAGGTTATCCTCTTATGCAGTCTTTGCCCACCTTTGTGCTTTTAAAAGTGTTATTACCTCTGTCCCATAAGGAGTTTTAGGATTGGACACGTGTATTAAGAAAGTTGATGGAATTAAACGGAGGAAGATTGTGATTGGTTGAGAAGAGGAGGTAGGTAGGTAATTTGAATGGTGGATGGTTGTGATTGGTTGAGAAGAGAATGTAGGTGGAGTTGTTATATTTAGGGGCAAATTTTGAAGGCTAGAAGTTGTTATATTTTGGGACGGAGGTAGTACCAATTTTTATTTTGCTCACGTGCACATCAACTTATGAGTTACCAGATATGCTAGGTCCATCTACTCAATTTTGACAAATGCTTTTAGAAATCATTACTCTTTGAATGCAGCAAGTTTACTGCTGCAGTGCATGTTTAACCTTGAGTCACAAAGATTTTCCAAATGTGCTTATTCTTATGCCTATTTTCCCTCTTGAAGGTGTTGAGACGGATCACACCATTCACATGGTCCGTGGTGCTGCACCACCACCAGCGTCAACCGCACCTCCTGCAGCCAACAATGTAACTCCTGCCATTAATGCTACCACTGCTTCCAATTCACCAGCAGTTGGTTTTGGAGGTTTGTTGCATGGTCTTGGGGGTTCAGGTTCTGCTAACAGTGGAGGGTTGGGCTCATTTGGTTCTGGCCTTCCAGAACTATCCCAGATGCAACAACAGCTATCCGAGAACCCTACGTTGATGAGAGAAATAATGAATATGCCACTCATGCAGAATATATTGAATAGCCCTGATCTAATTCGCAATATAATTATGAACAACCCCCAAATGCGTGAAATTGTTGATCGTAATCCAGATCTTGCTCATGTCCTCAATGATCCAAGCATTCTCCGCCAGACTGTTGAAGCAGCTAGGAATCCTGAACTTATGCGAGAGATGATGCGGAACACAGACAGAGCCATGAGCAACATTGAATCTTCTCCAGAAGGGTTCAATATGCTCCGCCGCATGTATGAAACTGTTCAAGAGCCATTTCTGAATGCAACAACGATGGCTGGGGAGGGTGATAGAAGTTCAAACCCATTTTCTGCTCTCCTAGGAAATCATGGATCAAACCAAGCCAGAGATCCAGCTGCAAATTCACCAACGACCACCTCAGAATCCACAACAGGTTCTCCTGCTCCAAACACTAATCCACTTCCAAATCCCTGGAGCACAACTGGTAAGTTTTGTGTACTTTGTTTTTTATTTTGGTGTATGTTTTCTTGTCCTGTTTTGGTATCCTAGATTCGCAGATGGGATTCTCTCTGACTAATACGTAAATCAACAGCTGGAGCTGCACAGGGAGCAACAAGGCCCTCTCCAGTTACCAATGCAAGGAGTGCCACAGCTGGTGGCCTAGGAGGGTTAAGTTCTACAGATTTGGGAGGTATGCTGGGTGGTGGCTCGGATACTTCCTTCTTGAGTCAGGTGTTGCAAAATCCTACAATGATGCAAATGATGCAGAACATTATGTCAAATCCTCAGTCCATGAATCAGGTTCGTTGCTCTAATCTTTCATGGAATAGTTGATGTTGTGCTTCTTGATATGCATGATACACAGTGTTTTAATTATCTAATGATGTCGTCTTGCTTGCAGCTGCTTAATATCAACCCAAATGTACGTAATATGATGGAATCTAACACTCAGTTGAGGGAGATGTTCCAGAACCCAGAATTTGTTCGCCAGTTGACATCTCCTGAAACTTTGCAGGTAAATTAGTTATACTGCTGTAGTGTATGGAAATCAGATGGCTTATGATGATTTTTTTGTGTGTATAGCAATTAATCTCATTCCAGCAGTCCTTGATGTCACAACTTGGTCAACAACAAGCTGGCCCGTGAGTATTCCCCAGTTCAACTTAACCTGTTTAAGCTCATCATGTTTATGTATACCTTTTCTTTTTCTAAGTTAATTGTTGAGTGTAAAATCAAGAGATTTTTATTTGTAAGTCTCGCCTATACTACTGCTTATTGAATCCTTTTCTTTCTTTCTTTCTTTTTTGAACCAGAGAGCGAACCCAATCAGGTGCTGGTGCAGGTAACTTCCTCTACTGATGTTCACTATCAGAACTGTCTTTCACAGAACTATCAGATACATATGTCAACTTCTAGAGAGTCATATAGGCTAAGATTTTTTTTATATTTGTTGATAAATTGCAGAATCATATTATATCATTTCTTGCAATAAGTTTTTATTTACTAAGAGAGCAATAGGATGCTCAAATTTTGCCTTTTTAGATATTTATATCGATCATGTACCTAGATGAAACAAATGAATGCCCTCCAGACCAAATATAGTTTTCTAGGAAACAATTTTAGTGATTTAATTTGTTGATATTTTGTACCCTGGTTTACTTTGTTAGTGGTAGTTGAATCAGGCATCCAACTCAAATGGGATTCTGAGTTCATCATTAGAAATCAATGTGAAATGTAAGATGTTACCATATCTTGTCAACTGGTAGTATATTAAACATGGTCAGATGTCTTATTTAGATTGTTGAATTATTGATAGTATATATTTTGGTGCTTCATTGAAATTAATTTAGAATACTTTAATGGCACGACTTATGAGAGTACTTTAATGCCAGGCAATACTAACCTCAACAATCTGATGAGCATGTTCAGTGGGCTCGGTGCTGGTGGTGGCCTAGGTGTTCCTAGTGCACCCAATGGTAAGTGATTTTCTCTAAATTTTGGAGTGCAATACTGCAAGAAATAGTCACATTAATATTTTTTTGAAATTCTTTTCGAGTTGGAGTCGGTTGGTTTGCCCTCATTAAGCAATGCCAATATTTGCAGTTCCACCAGAAGAGCTATATGCAACACAACTAGCTCAGCTCCAAGAAATGGGTTTCTTTGACACACAGGAGAACATTCGAGCTTTGATTGCTACAGCGGGAAATGTTCATGCTGCGGTGGAGCGACTTCTTGGGAATATTGGCTGATAGACTGTTGTGATCGAAGATGTCCTCGACTTGTTACCTGTAGCTCAGATTGTAAGATTGTCTGGTTCATTGGTTTTATACCGTCAGATTCAAAGGCATCATCTAGGTACATGGTTTAGATGAATAAATGAGTCAAGTGGGTTAACCTTTCCATACATGGTTGTCATGTCGTGATCGAGATATTGGTGTATTGATGGTACTTTGGGTTGGTGTATATACATATTGAGCTATTGGTGGTTACTGCAGTGTACATGACCGTTGTTTATGTTTACTTGCCTGCTCTTACAACCTATAGATACCCTAACTCTTCACTGAAGATGTGCTAGAAATTTGCTTTCTCATGTGTTGATGGCATTATTGGATTGAAAAGGGGCTCTTGTGAAGCTAAAACTCTACAATAGTGAAAGATGGAAGGTGGTTGGCTACCTTTGTCATATCAGGCTCTAACCTCTTCTGCCGGATGTATGAATCTATTGTTAAGCAGCTCAACCGGGTGACGAACTGGTGACCCCTTTGCGTTTGAGGGCGCCTTTCGGTTCTCAATCTGTTATTGTTGTTGTGGAATGTTATCCTCCTCTCTCGCGTCTGGCGTGCCAGTGGCCGCGCGGCGCAAGATGCCTCCATCTGCATGCAAGATACTTTACATCAGTGAGTGTAAAAAATCCTTGCCGGGATCAGGTGAAAAATCTCTGCACATATGGTACCCGAAAAAACAACCAATACTGTCTCAACTGGCTTTTGTCGTATGTTTTTCCTGCCTTTTGGGAAATGGAATAGTCACACACACATGGATATACTATACGTATCGGGTCAATGTGAACAGCATCTGCAGCCCGATCAAAAATTCCCATTGGCCGTCGCGTTCACATTCCAGAGGCTAGTGCAGTTCCAAAAAAAAAAATCGCTACGTTTATCTGACGAGCAGAGAGGCCGCAGCAGAAACAAATCCCGTTATTTTTCTGGACGGCGAGCGCCGGCGGTGGAGCGTGTGGATGAGGTGCGGCCCATGTCCACTCATCCCAAGCTCCCCCCATGTCTCCCATCCACCACCGCTCGCTTTGCAAAAGCACACGTCTCTCGCCGTCTCGCGTACTACTAGGCCTGCGTGCGCCGTAGCCCCACGTACTCCACATCATTTGAGCCCGGAAAGATCCGGGACGCGACAAAAAAACTCACGACCCAGAGGGCTCTTCTTTCTCTTGTGGCCCGCTATAAGTAGGGCGGTGTGTGGCGACATTCGCGAGACGTTCGTACGTAACGTGACCGAGCGCGCCGGACGCCGTCGTCGTTAATTAATCAGCCATGGATCCCTACAAGGTAACGAACGTGCTCTGCTCTGCTTCTGGGGCGAGGGGTTTGAGAGTGCGTTGGTTTTTTGTGGTTTTGATGCGGAATTTGGTGTGATGCGCGCAGCACCGCCCGTCGAGCTCGTTCAACGGCCCGCTGTGGAGCACCAACTCCGGCGCCCCCGTATGGAACAACAACAACTCGCTCACCGTCGGCTCCCGAGGTACGTATGACCACGCCAATCCCCCTTCCTCCTGTGGTTTGAGATTACTTTTTGTGTCTTCTGTGGTGTAGCCTTTGCTGCTACCAGTTTAAATTCAAGAACGTCATCCCAGTAAATCTGTGCTAGTCTGGATTCATTTGTTTTTTTTCCTAAAAAATACTTTGATAGTATTTGGTTACAACTTATAACACCATGTCCAGAAGATTAGAACCTGTTGTGTTTTCAAGCTACAGGCGGAATCATTTGAAAATTGAATTGTTTCCTAGTTCCTCCTACAAATTGAAACTGTTGCGTTTGTTAGAGCACATGAATTTCATACGATTCTGTACATCTCAGCTAGGTCCAGACTCCGTGGGGAGCAATTCACTACAGTAAATTAGTACTAATTACGATTTTACGATAGTGTTCCGTAGCATGTTTGTCAGTTTAATTCAAGTCGAGTGGTGATCGATGAACTGAACTGAACTGGGAACACTGAAAATTCAGGCCCGATCCTTCTGGAGGACTACCACCTGGTTGAGAAGCTGGCCAACTTCGACAGGGAGCGTATCCCGGAGCGCGTGGTGCACGCCCGCGGCGCCAGCGCCAAGGGCTTCTTCGAGGTCACCCACGACATCACCCACCTCACCTGCGCCGACTTCCTCCGCGCCCCGGGCGTCCAGACCCCGGTCATCGTCCGCTTCTCCACCGTCATCCACGAGCGCGGCAGCCCGGAGACCCTCCGCGACCCGCGTGGCTTCGCCATCAAGTTCTACACCCGGGAGGGCAACTGGGACCTCGTCGGCAACAACTTCCCCGTCTTCTTCATCCGCGACGGCATGAAGTTCCCGGACATGGTGCACTCGCTCAAGCCCAACCCCAAGTCGCACGTCCAGGAGAACTGGCGCATCCTCGACTTCTTCTCCCACCACCCGGAGAGCCTCCACATGTTCACCTTCCTCTTCGATGACATCGGCATCCCCGCCGACTACCGCCACATGGACGGCTCCGGCGTCAACACCTACACGCTCGTCAACCGCGCCGGCAAGTCGCACTACGTCAAGTTCCACTGGAAGCCCACCTGCGGCGTCAAGTCGCTGCTCGACGACGAGGCCGTCACCGTCGGCGGGACCAACCACAGCCACGCCACGCAGGACCTCTACGACTCCATCGCCGCCGGCAACTTCCCGGAGTGGAAGCTGTTCATCCAGACCATCGACCCCGACCACGAGGACCGCTTCGACTTCGACCCGCTCGACGTCACCAAGACGTGGCCCGAGGACATCGTCCCGCTGCAGCCCGTGGGGAGGATGGTGCTCAACCGCAACATCGACAACTTCTTCTCGGAGAACGAGCAGCTGGCGTTCTGCCCCGGGATCATCGTGCCGGGGATCTACTACTCCGACGACAAGCTGCTGCAGACGAGGATCTTCTCCTACTCCGACACGCAGCGCCACCGCCTCGGACCAAACTACCTGCTGCTCCCGCCCAACGCGCCCAAGTGCGCCCACCACAACAACCACTACGACGGCTTCATGAACTTCATGCACCGCGACGAGGAGGTCGACTACTTCCCATCCCGCTACGATCCTGCCAAGCACGCCCCCCGCTACCCCATCCCCTCCGCCACCCTCACCGGCCGCCGCGAGAAGGTAATTCTGTTGATTGATTTGCGTTTGGGTTTTACATTTCACTATATTTTCTTTCTTAATTACTACTTCCCCCGTTTCAGATTATAAGATGTTTTAATTTTAGTCAATCTCAAACTATAAGTTTAACTAAGTTTATAGATAAATATAGTAATAATTACAACACCAAATTAGTTTCATTAAATCATTAAATCTATAGTTCAATATATTTATTATGAGTTAAAAATGTTACTATTTTTTATATAAACTTAGTCAAATTTAAAACAGTTTAATTTTGACCAAAGTTAAAACGATTTATAATCTAAAACAGGAGAAGTAGTAATAGCTAGTCAATTTATTAACTGGTTTTGATCGATCGGGTTGCGAGTGCAGGTGGTGATTGCCAAGGAGAACAACTTCAAGCAGCCAGGGGAGAGGTACCGTTCATGGGATCCGGCAAGGTATGTACACACATGCAGATGCAGCAACCGAATTAACTGTCGAGAGACTGAACTAAACTGAATTAGTCAACTAGACTGATTGACTGATGAACAAATGCTAAATGCACTGCAGGCAAGACCGGTTCATCAAGAGATGGATCGACGCACTCTCTGACCCTCGCCTCACCCACGAGATCAGGAGCATCTGGCTCTCCTACTGGTCTCAGGTAAATACATCACATTACAGTTTGTTCCATAAATTGAAAAAAAAACGTACAACATGATCTGTATAATCTGTTCTTGGTTCTGAACTGCAACTTGAACAATCTACTATGTCTTTCGATGCAGGCTGACAGGTCTCTGGGTCAGAAACTGGCGAGCCGTCTCAGCGCGAAGCCGAGCATGTAAGGAGATCGATCAGCGTTGCAATCTGCTTCAGTCACGGAAGGCCTCAGCCTCACTCTATCGGATAATAATTGCTACTCATACTCTAGCAATACCGATCGATCGAGTCTATTTTGGAAAGAGGACATATATGATTTCTATCACCGCACAATTCGTGTACCACCATCATGTAATAATCTGTAACCTGAAGACACGTTTCTCCTGATACTTCATCATTATTGTAAGCACACCTTTTATCAATAATTTATATACAGTAAATTAATTATTTAATTATAATCCCTTTTTTTGGAATTCTTGCATATGGCCACTTTATTGGCATAAGGGAATAAGTTCACTTTAGATCCCTCCTGTTGCGATAGAGTTTGATTTGCATCCTTAACCGAAAATATCACATATAACGTGCTCCTTAACTTATAATACCGGAGTATCTAAAGTCCCATGGCAGTATTGTGAGCGGCTGAGATGGCGACGAGTTAACGTAGGACCCACATAGATCCCACATACAAGCATCACTTTATTTTTTTCCCTCACCCCTTCTTTTTACTCATCTCTCTCCCCAATTTCGCATCCTCGTCGCCGTTGCTACCATCCTCGTTAGAGCCCCACCAAGAAAAACAATGGAGCACAGAGTAGCGATGAAGAGACGGCATGCGGCTGTGCCGGCGCTGGCCCCGCCATGGGCGTCACCGGCCTTGGGAAGCTTGTGTGGGGCAGGGTTTCCAATTTCTATTTCAGCTGAAATTTCGGCCATTTCAGTTCTACTAAAATTCTCGAAATTTTGGTACTTTTGGGCACTTTTGGAGCAATTTTTTTTTTGAAATTTTAACATAATTTAACTGAATTAGAATGAGAAAAACAGAAAAATTTGCCCGAGATGATCACTTGCCGAGAGGAGGGGGGGGGGGGGGGGTTTCGAAAATTCCGAAATTGAAATCACTGGTGTGGGGTGGTGGCACGGCTAGCCATTGCGCTGTCGCCGATCATGTTGTTACTGGTGACGACGGCGGCCAAGGAGCAACTGGACTGGATCGTTGTCGCTGGCGGGGCCTCTAGCGAGGCAGAGGCGGCGGTGTGGGCGGCCACGATTTCCTCGTCAGAGAAAAGGGGAAAAGAGGAGAGAGGGGAGGAGGAAGAAACACCATGTTGCGCGCCCCCGGGCTGCTTCCGCTTCTCATAGGGCGCAAGTGCATGAGGACATCACAGACGGGCTCACCGAAGGCGACGATGAAGTCGTGCGAAGCCGACGCGGGGTGCGGTGGTGGATGCTGTGGCGGCGAAGGAGGCTTGGAAGAAACGGCATCGCGGTGGGGAGGAAGGAGATAAAGTAACAGCTCACAATCCTGGCATGGGACTTCAGATACTCCGGTAGCAGAAGTTTAGTGATGAGTTGTATCTGGTATTTCGGTTAAGGATGCAAATCAAACTCGATCTCAATAAGAGGGACTAACAACGAACCTATTCTAGTGGATTAAGCAGCGGCCGGGATGGGCATGAACCTACTTTGTGGGCCATCAGTTGGGCTACTGAAATTTCAGGCCTTTGCAGCAACGCAACAACAGCCCAATAATATATTTTTTTGTTCTAGTTGGGACACGATAGTTTGGCACTACCACAAGTGCTGTGCACAGCTTTTTTCCGTTCTTACAGAAACAACAACAACAACAACAAAAGATTTGTTAAAAAAAACAACAACAAAAAAAGGTCAATAGGCTAGCTCTATTTGAAATTGACCCTGGGGCCTGGGTTACTACGAGTTTCAAAAAGGAATAGCAATGTGCCGACACAGTGACTTTTACAAGTGCAACGTTGCATTTCTACGACGTACGCTTCTCTTGCACTCCACTAGAAAGCATTAGCTTCCTTTTAAAAGCCGTACGTGTACGTAGCACTAACAGTGCATTACCGACCGCCCATTCGTACTTCGTAGAGCTGTTTCGATTTCTTCATCACTCTTCTGCTTTTAGTTATGGCCATGACGCCAACGAAGCCGTCAACCAAGCACGATCCTTATCTGCGTCTGCATGTCGAAGTGTCGAGCTAAGAGGAAGCCTACTCTATCGACACTCACGTCCAGCCGTCCACATAACTGTGTGTTTGGTTCAAGGGATGAAGTGGGTTGGGTTAGGTCGAAGCTATTTTTTAAGTCATCTGGTTTGAAAATAGGTGGGATAAAATAATCTCTAAAAAGAATATTCTTTTAAGATCCGAATAAAATTGGTCACTCAAAAACTGGTGGACCAATTCATCCCACTTTTTTTTTCCCACTGACATATAGGCCATCCCCTAAAAACTAGGACTATCTCCTACCTCATGCTAAACGGATAGTGGGGACGATCCCATCCTAAAAACAAGGATGAGTCTAACCTATCATATTTCATTCCCAAACCAAACACATGCCAAGTACATACATGCATCAATAAATCAATCATCCAATTAACCATATTGTTCTGCTTTAATCCAACTGAGTTTTTCAGATATTTCCGATTATTAAGTTTTTTTTAGAGAAGGGTATTTTTATCCCGCCTCTATACCAACCAGATATATGCAACCATTTTAATTTAGGAACTTAGTCTATCAAATAGGGAACTTAGCTCTTCAAATAACCCAATCTGAAATTCGCTCTTATAGAGATTTGAACTCAGGATTTTAGAGTGCTACTCAGGTCACTGTAGATTACTCCCTCCATTCCAAATTGATCTACATATAGTTTTTTGAGGTTATTCCTAAATGATCTACATATTTGTGTACATTTATTAAGTCTATTCGTTATTTATGCATTAGAGTAAATGGATATTGATGCATGCATTCATGCACACAAATATTTATAACCCACATGTAATATCTTGATTTGCTATTGGCTAGGAAATAGTGGGGATGGTGTATGCATCTAGTTTGTTGTTAGAGTAAATATAGTATGAGAGAGATATTAGTTTTTTTTTGGTCTTGGTGTACCTATAAAATATGTAGATCAATTTGGAATGGGGGGAGTATTAAGCTACTTGGAAAGAACACAAGAACTTACCTCTACACGACCGGCCGTACATGATTTGGCTGTGGAATGTGGATTCGGGATTCCACGCGTGCTGCATGCAGAGAGAATCTACAAGTAGACGCTAAACAAACTCGAAGAGTGTTAGGTTTAGCGGAGAATTAATGGCAGGATCGTATGATCTGCGAGTTTGCAGGACAAATTAAGTGCGCCACGCATTAGCGCCAAGTTGGGATAACTTATCAATCGATCGCCTCGTTCCTTTGGTGCCGGGAGTCGAATCTTGGTTAATTTCTGCTACTGCATGCAACCCGATCATCAGGTCCATTGATGATATAATTAAAATTCAGAATCTGCGATCTGTATGATGTCTGAATTTAGTGATCCGATTAATGCAGAGATTTGTTTAGATGCAATTACTTCTTAGTGCTCACGAAGCTGTGGATGAGACGGTCTTAGCTTCAAGTGTACCAAACGGATTGATTGTTCAGACTAAGAATATATACGATCCATGCATGATCCACCAGTTGTGGAACTGGAATATTTTTTTTTAAAAAAAAAAGAAAGAAAGAAAGGGGAGAACCTAATACCATTGGCTACTGGCTGCAGGGAACTATATTTGATACGACGTTAGTTAGTTAATCGGTATTAATTTCAACGCGCAAATGTGTCACTTTAATCATGCAAGGCGACGAGAAATTTCTTGCACAAACAGCTAGCTTTAGCTTTATTGAATCTTTGTTCTGAATTCTCATATGAATATGATCCATTGGACTTTTGTTATGTCTGGACATGTCACGGTCTCTGTGTCTAGAGAAGTTCAGAAAAATCGAGTTGGAGAGATATGATCCATCTATGTGCTTGCTAGCAAGAAACTGGCTACGTGCTACAGCTTAATTTGTTCAAGCCAGAATTATTTAAGCAGTGTAGCAAGTTGTCAGTTAGCGATGTAGGGACGCAAGTGTGATTTTAATATTCCTTCGCTTTTTGCAACCTGCGTGCCGCCCACGGTTGTGTTAATTATCACAACTAATTCTGCTACTGGAATCCTAGAAATTAATTGTACTAGTACTATCGTAAGACAAGAAAATTAAGAATATGTTCACACATCAACCAAACGTAGTTAGTGTTAACCTTTCTTCCTCTTTTTTACTCCTGAGAATACGTACAAGAGCTATATGCACCAAGAGTACTCCAACTCTCCAAGACTTGAAAACCACTAATGTCACTATCGCGAGCTACTGCTTAGCAACGATTATGCTTAGCAACGAGTATTAGATATAGATATGCATGATTCATCAGTTAATTTTGCAAGAGATTCGTTGGCAGCAAGTATAATCATATCCACACATGCAGGGCGGATCCAGCAATAAACTGACAAGACAGTCCAATACCACTAGGGCAAGTATCTTCAGTTCTTTCTCCATTAAGTATTAATCAATCAAACCTAGCTTAAGATAGATACCAGTAGGCCGATCCACATGTACCGCGGGCTCACAACAAATAGGAACCAATAGCTTACCGTCAAAGGATTAACAAGAACGCATGCCTATCGCATTACTGACCAGTACTGTTAAGCTCAATCAGACACTAATTAATCAACTTCTCAGTTGCTTGCATCATCAGCTCCTTTAATTTAACCTAATCTTTGTTTGGAAAAAGTCTTGCCCCCACATGAAGACCCCCACACACCACAAATAATGGATTCCAAGTTCCCATTAACAAGTTCCCTTTGGATCATGGACCACCATGTGAAAACCCTAATGACCTTGTGGTCTGCACAAGTTTGCATATAAAAGTTAAAACTGGTGCTTAATTAATCTGCTCCCATTAATTTTCAAGGTGGATCTGCTGCAATCAGGGAATTTTTTACAGCTTACCATTGCTATTAGTGGATGACACTTTACCTACCCAAAGTCACTTTGCTTAATTATGATGTGTTCATTTCAAACAGTGATTAGCATCAGATGCAGCCTGCATGGCCCTCCTTTTTTTTTTCTTCTTCACATGAGATGGGACTTACTGGCCAATTCGGCTCACCAACCCCCTCATGTTTTGGAAGTCGCTTCACCTACCGCCAAGTTCATGCCTGTAGCAGGGCTAAATTCGGCAGTGAAATTTTATGTGGTACCACTAGTCTACTACTAGACTAATCAAATTAATTAAGCATGGCCAGCAAGCTGGTTGATTCGGAATCTTTTCTCCCTATGGAGCTGAACTTTGGGGTGTCAATATCAAAGCATGGGAGGATCTTTGATTGGAGATTTTAATCAACGCCACATACATCGATCTTAAGTCTGTCAGCAACACCAGCTCTCTTGCTTGCTTGGATTAAACTTTTGATTCCTCCTTTAATAATAGTTGGAAGTAGATAGCAAGTGAGAGTTGAAACGCCAACATGTCTCGAGATTCAGGACAGCTAACGAAGGGAAAATAGCTCGCGTAACAATCAGTGTACTACACATGTACGAACAGGGATGTGCGTACGTGTAATTTATACAGACTTTTTTTTTAAACAAAATTGGCCGGTTGATGTCATGCAGTTGGTACTAATTTATACGCTGGATCCGTGGGCAATCACTGAAGTCCACTGCAATTGCAAATAGTCAGATCAAAATATCAGGGAATAACAAAACTTTCCTGTGAAACATTGTGCTATACGATCGACAGAATAGTTTCAAGATTGTACTAAACCAAATGCAATTTGTCCACTTCCAAGATTACCGGTTTCAAACCTAAATCCCATAGTATTCGTCCCAGGCATCAAATTTCTGAAAAATAATAGAAGTATAATATATATTGCTGATTGAAACATTAACCAGTAATCTTGAAGTATTATATCTTGTTGATTGAAACCAATTTCTCCACTTCAAGATTGTTACTAAACTTTTCTACAAATTTCAATCTCGAAACATTGAAAACCAATTTCCAAAAAACATTGTACCATCTGGCCAAGAATGAATTGCTAAAAGACTATTACAATCTTACGCACATAAGAAATACTCCATCAGTCCCATAATATAGCAATCTAGCTCTAGATGAGACGTTCGATAGTATAATAAATTTGGACACTCTTCTATTCAGATTCGTTATATTATAAAATACTATATTTGGTCCTAGGTTTCTATATTATAAAACGGAGAGAGTGCTCATTTTGAGATTTATTTATATATGAAAATTGATTTATTTTGATCACAGAGAGAGAGAGAGGGTACAGGTGAATAGGTGATCAGGTGAGGGCGTGAGGCGAAAGTCACAGCCGCACAGCGCACGGAACGTCGCCGTCGTCGTCTTCCCCGTGAGCACGACATGCCATGTCCCCATGCATATCCTCTCCCCCACCCAAAATTACCCGTCCTGCCCCTCCCGGCCCCACCCAAATCCGGTTGACCTCAGGCCCCCACCAAGCCCATTCCCGCCATTTCCCCCTCCCTCCCGCCAAATAAACAACGTGTTCTCGTGGGCCCCACCCCGCGCCGAGAGGCTGCAGCAGATTCCGTCTCTGCACAAACAAAAATACAGGAGATAGAATCAAAGAGAGCGCACTGCGAGGAGGAGCGCGAGGCCTACTCAAATACGATTCCACCACCGCCTCTCATCTCCTCCTTTCTCGCTGCGAGAAGAATCCCTTACGATTCTCGCTAATCCGAGTGGCCAAATTGACTGTTCCATTGGAGGCCCCCTCTTCCCCACTGTTGCTGTGTTCGATCGACATGCTCTGCTTCTGCTTCTGAGATAGCAGGTGGGTCAACTACTCAACCGCGATTCGATTTGCAGTAAACCGGGTGGTTTTTCGCGTGTTGGGCTAGCTTAGCTATAGCTAGTAAATCGCGGGGGGTTTGGGTTTGGGTTTGTGTCATTGTGGCGTGATGGCGATGTGCCTTTCCTTTCCATGATGGGGATGTCTCGTCGGGTTCCTCAAGGCTCGCGTCTTGCGGCGTTTGTGTGCGTGTGTGGTAGTGGATTCCGCTGTGGCAGCCATGCTCGATTCCTTGGATTCGTAGAGGATTTGGCATAAAAAAGGTTTCCTCTCTGGTTTTTCAATTAATCCCAGGTTCGTGGCTCGTGTTTGTTCGCCTCCGCGCGGCTGCGTTTCGGCGGATTGGGGGTATGCGAGGGCTGTGAGGTTGGTGGTGGTGCTTGTCCGGTCATGGAGCAGAAGCCGTCGCCGCCGCCGCCGCCGAGGAGCGACGAGGAGGAGGATGGATTGATGGGATGCGGGATGGGCGGGACGGGGGATATCGCCGGCGGTGACCTGGATCTCATGGAGGAGTTCTTGCTGGCGACGCCGGGGTTCGATTTGTCGGAGTTCTGGCATCCGGGGGCGGCGAGCCCCTTCTCCCCGCTGTTCGACATCGGCAGCAGCGTCACTACCTTGACTACCCCCGCGCCGGCGGCCGGCGAGGACGACAGGGACGAGGCGGAGATGCCCAGCCGTGGCGGCGGCGGCCTCGAGGTGAGCCCCGCGCACCGCGGCTGGACGTTCCAGACGGCGCCGCAGGAGGTGGCCGTGGAGCCGACGGTGAAGGAGCGGCTGCGCCGCGCGCTGGAGCGCATCGCGTCGCAGTCGCAGTCGCAGGCGCAGCGGGGCGACGGGGAGCTGCTCGTCCAGGTCTGGGTGCCGACGCGGATCGGCGACCGGCAGGTGCTGACGACTTGCGGGCAGCCGTTCTGGCTGGACCGCCGGAACCAGCGCCTCGCCAACTACCGGACGGTGTCGATGAAGTACCAGTTCTCCGCCGACGAGAGCGCGCGCGCCGACCTGGGGCTCCCCGGCCGGGTCTTCGTCGGCCGCGTCCCCGAGTGGACGCCGGACGTCCGCTACTTCTCCACCGAGGAGTACCCGCGCGTCCAGCACGCGCAATACTTCGACATCCGCGGCAGCGTCGCGCTGCCGGTCTTCGAGCCGCGGAGCCGAGCCTGCCTCGGCGTCGTCGAGCTCGTCATGACCACGCAGAAGGTCAACTACAGTGCGGAGATCGAGAACATCTGCAATGCTCTCAAGGTAGATTTGCGCAACACTGCTCCATTTGATTCTCCAAAGCCGAAAAAAATGCCCATGCTTTGCAGGCCACCATGTTATGCTCTTAACGTATTCGATGAAATGTCATTAGGAAAAGATGTGATAACTGCTGGGCACACCAATCCCCAAAGTAATAAATCTTTTCACTTCTCCTACCTTGGTGTCATCCTTGTCTTAATAAAACTACATTTCGTGGAAAATTGCAGGAAGTTGATCTCAGGAGCTCTGATGTTTCAAGTGATCCTCGTTCCAAGGTGAGATGAAAGATATTAAAGATCAGAGTGCTTTGCTGAAATGTTGTTCTCAGTAACAGATGCTGCCCGCTTGATGCCAGGTTGTTGATGCTTCTTACCGAGCAATTATACCTGAGATCATGGATGTTCTCAGAGCTGTTTGTGATACCCACAATCTGCCACTAGCCCAGACATGGATACCGTGCATCTGCCAGGCCAAGAGGGGAAGCCGCCACTCTGATGAAAGCTACAAACATTGTGTGTCCACTGTTGATGAGGCATGTTATGTCCGTGATTGTTCCGTATTAGGCTTTCACCAGGCTTGCTCCGAGCATCATCTGTTCAGAGGTGAGGGTGTTGTCGGCAGGGCATTTGGGACGAATGAGCCATGTTTCTCCCCAGACATTACCACCTACAGCAAGACCCAGTACCCTCTCTCGCATCATGCCAAACTTTTTGGCTTGAGGGCAGCAGTTGCCATCCAGCTGCGAAGTGTCAAGACTGGAAGCCTGGACTTTGTCTTGGAGTTTTTCTTGCCAATGAAGTGCATAAATACTGAAGAGCAAAGGGCCATGCTCAATTCTTTATCTAATACCATACAACAAGTATGCTATACATTAAGAGTTGTGAAGCCAAAAGAGCTGGTAAATGATGGACCATTTGAAATTAGTCAACCAACCAGGCCAGAATTTTATGCCAAGTCTGTGCATGAAGACTTGGATGAGCTCTGTAGTGGTATTAATGTTCCTGGAAGGACAACATCATTGGAAGCATCTGAGGAGGTATCATCATGGATAGCGAGCTTAGTGGATGCTCAGAATAAGGGAGGAAAGGGAGAAATAGATGTTGACTTGCCATTCGGATTCAGCAAACAAGATGATGAAGGATTTAGTGTTACAGCTGGCTGGCATACTTCTCCAGTTATGGCACCTGACGGTAGCATGTTTTCAGGGTTTAAGCGGCATGAAGATTATGATGTCAAAGAAAATACTTGTTCCAGTGATCCAAGCAATTCAAACTCGGACAAAGCAGTAGAAAAACGGCGCACTAAGACGGAGAAAACAGTTAGCCTGCAAGATCTTCGGAAGCATTTTGCTGGTAGCCTGAAAGAAGCTGCAAAGAATTTAGGAGGTATTTTAATGACAAATGATCTCTGAAATGGCTGGCTTCCTTACCTTTTTTAAAATTATTTTTTGCAGCTTTTCCTGTACATTTATCTCCTTGAAGCATGGCTCAAAAGAAGTGGGATAAGTTTGCTCATAGTAATAATCTGCTTACAGTGCATGTAACCCTTTCAGATAAGTTCCAGGATAAAAAAAAATGACAGGTGTACAATCAGGCGGGGAACTTACAATGTAATTAATTGAGATAAAATTGATAATTCAAATGTCTTGGTTTTTGCAATAGATCCAACTGAAAGTATATAGGACTAATGCTTCATTCACTATTTGCATAGATATAAACTGCAATATCTGTGGCTGACTATTGATCTTATGTTTCTACCGTTTGTTCCAGTGTGCCCGACTACACTGAAGAGAATATGCAGGCAGCATGGAATTAATCGTTGGCCATCACGAAAGATCAAGAAAGTTGGGCACTCCCTGAAGAAATTGCAAATGGTCATTGATTCAGTACATGGTCCTGAAGGAACAGTTCAGCTCAGTTCACTCTATGAAAATTTTACCAAGACCACATGGTCAGAAAGAGAGTTACAAGGAGATGTCCATTTTCCAGCATCTGAGCAAAACTTTCAGCTGGAACCTTCAGTTCCTGATCGTCCATGTGAGGGCAGATTCACTTCACATACTTCTGGCTCTAATTCCATCTCCCCATCCTGCAGCCAGAGCTCAAATTCTAGCCTTGGTTGTTCCAGTGTTCCAAAGACTCAGCAACAGCATGGTAGTGCTCCTCAGCTTGCAGTCAAAGAGGAAATATCTATGGATGAGAATCAGTGCTCCACACTAATCAAATCTGCTAGCCATGCAGAGGCAGAGCTGCAAATGTTTGTTGAAGAAAGACCTACCATGCTATTTAGGTCTCAGAGTCAAGTACTTTTAAGTGAACACAAACCGATAGAAAACATGTCAAACGTGCAAAAGGCTAGGTCTGATTCTCTCAAAATAAAAGCCATCTATGGCGAGGAAAGATGTATATTCCGTCTTCAGCCTAGTTGGGGCTTTCAAAGGCTAAAAGAAGAGATCGTAAAGCGGTTCGGCATTTCTCAGGATACTCACGTGGACCTCAAGTATTTGGACGATGAATCTGAGTGGGTTCTTTTAACCTGTGATGCAGACCTGCTGGAGTGTATTGATGTATACAAGTCATCAAGTAATCAAACAGTTAGAATATTGGTTAATCCTAGCATTCAACCGTTGCTCAATGCTTCCTTCGGTCAAACTGGTCTGTCTTGACAGTGGTGTTGCAGCACTGAAAACAATCATCTCATTGCTCCTTCAGGTAAAGAATGCCTGACGCTGCCTTTGGTTGTAAGTCAAGATGGCGTATGCAGGCTTCAGATTTGGATACTTGGGCTGAGGTGCAAATTAATGGACAGCTGCCTGTTGATGTTGCAGTTGAACCGTGCTGTGTTCTTGAATTGGAAATGAAGTAATTGTTGATGTTCCCTGTCGGTGCTTGGTATTGATTTGCATGCTGAAGTTCATGCAGTGGAGTCCACGGGAATAGAAGATGGAGCTGTATGCCTTTTGTTCAGTTTCATAACCATAGGAACTTTGTGTAGGCAGACTAAACTAGTGTACATAATTGTAGGTGAGTAGGTCAGAGGATGAAAATAATTGGCATTTGTCGAAATGAAGCTTTGGGATAGATTTAGCAGTCAGTTACAGTTCAAAAGTTTGTAGCTCTTTTGGGGTTTCATCTGACTCAATAGTTCTCAAGTGTTCACTTCAAGGTTTCAGCATTTGAAAGCCTGCCTCAGGTTACCCGTTACAGCGTGTCTGTTCAGCCTTCATGGGAGCATTTTTGCAATTCTGAAATGTCTTCCCACCAGTGTAAGTATTGATGAAAATATTAGTGTATATTTTTCCTTTCTTTGTTCATCTCATTAGTTGCATGGTAAGCTTATCTTGCACCCACATATTGCAGAAGCGAAAGGGTTCACAAGAAAGCAGTTGCAGTGCTGGCAATGAAACAAGATCATCATCAAAGTCGAGATGAATTCTGTTGTTTTTAGATCAGTGTTAGCATTATTGTTAATACAATGTTATTTATATGTTGGAGTAGTTTCGATGTTGCTCGTGTAAACCTGCTCTTTTACGGGTGAAGATTTTTTTTTTTGTATATCATGTACAGTACGGTAGAAATGTAAGAATTGTGCTACTTTGGCCTGGTTTTTCTTCAAACTTCCAACTTTTCTATCACATCAAAACTTTCCTACACACATAAACTTTCAACTTTTTCGTCACATCGTTTCAATTCCAATTAAACTTCCAATTTTGACGTGAACTAAACACACCCTTTCCTTTGTGACATTGGAACAGATCGGAAGCTCTCTTTTTCTCCCTTTTATAGTTGTTAAATATGTGTCTCAAATTTCAGTATGAAAATATATTTGAATTAATCTCCTAGTCGCACAGGAGTAACGTCTAATTGTTATGCTTTTGTAATCAACTCTTAAAAGTGATCTTGTCGGTTGGCGTCCGTGGTTTTTTTGGTTTTTTCATCTATCCTCTAAACACAAATTCTGGCATGTTATGGTTTCAGAGCTAAACCCGTCGTATGTTTATCCTCAAGTCTACACATTTATCTCAGAAATCACATCCTGTATATGTGCTTCTCCTGAAAGCACAGGTCTGGGTCATCTTGTCGCTCTCCTGGACAGTGACTCGATTCGGTTCATCACTACGGCTAATCTCATGGATCAGAGGAGTATAATCATTTGCAAAGTGAGATTGTTTAAAGATGACACGCGCCGTAGAAAGAAAAAAGAATCAATACAATTCAATTCAATTCAATTTCAAATCTATGTTAGTATGCAGATAATCCCAAAGCTCATCGCGGCTTGGAATAAGGATTACGGTGCGGCGACCGGTGCGCAGCGGGCGGCGGCGCCCGCGGCGGCAGCTTCGCCGCCGCCGGCCGCGCGGTGCCGACGGACTCGATCTCCTGGAGCGCGACGACGACGTCGTCCATGGACGGCCGGCTCTTGGGGTCGCCGCAGAGGCACTTGTCGGCGAGCTTGGCGGCCCGCGCCGCCGCCTTGGCCGGGTAGTCCCCGGCGAGCCGCGGGTCCATCAGCCCCGCCAGCTTCTTGCCGCCGGCGATGTACGGCCGCGCCCACTCCACCAGATTCTGCTGGTGGCTCGGCCGGTTCAGGTCGTGAGCCCTCAGCCCCGTGAGCAGCTCAAGCAGCACCACGCCGAAGCAGTACACGTCACTCTTCACGTACAGATGGCCTGAAAAAAAAGTGAAAACGATCGCGAGGAAGACGACGACGCAGCCTGCAGTTAGTCCTTTGCGATATATACAACCGAAATTTCGGGGATTTTGGCTAAATTTGAATGGAATTTGCATAGTTAAGAGAAGAGAGAATCCCTTATATGCCACTCTAAATTAACCGGCTCTCTTATATACCACTTAAAATTGGCTTCTCTCTTTTATGCTACCAGTTCAAATTTCTCCTCCTTTTTATGCCATTGCCGTCGGTCCACCGTCAGTTGGCCGTTAATTTTTTTTGTAAAAAAGACGCATTTGCCCTTAAGAATTAGTATACAACCAACAATAGGTATTTTAGTACTAATATAGCTACTGGATACAACATATGAAAAATGATTTTTTTTCTGCATCACTTGCAATTTTAGCCATTACCATCACAAATAAATTTTCAATGTAAGCATGAAACATGCATTTTTCCAACAATATTTTTAATATAAAGAGCATTTTTCACTGGTTCTGACAAAATTTTGTTCAATCAAAAAAGATTTAAAATAAATTAGTTATGATTTTTTGAAGTTTACACATTTTTTAGTTGAGAGGACATATTGGTCATTTACGAAAAAAACTAACCTTTGACTAACAGTCAACTAACACTATAGTGGTGGGAGTGGCATAAAAGGGTGAAAAAAACTTAAACTAGTGGCATATAAGGGAACTGGTCAAATTCTAGTGGCATATAAAGGATTAGAGAGTTTGGTGCGGTGCATGCTTACCGGTGGCGACGTACTCCGGCGCGGCGTAGCCGTACGTGCCGATGATCCTCGTCGTGACGTGCGATCTGCCGGCGACCGGGCCGTTCTTGGCGAGCCCGAAGTCCGACAGCTTCGGCGTGTAATCCTGATGAAAAATGCGTGTCTCAAATGATGGAGTTTGGAAGATGATCACGATCGATCTGCGAATTTCGCGAGATGAGTTGAGAAGAGAATTTACCACGTCGAGGAGGATGTTGGATGCCTTGAAATCCCTGTATATGATCTGCCGCTCAGACGAGTGCAGGAAGGCGAGGCCGCGAGCTGCTCCGATTGCGATCTTGAGCCGTAGGCTCCATGACAGAGGGTCAAATGCTCCTCCTGCACGAAGATCGGTCAGACTCCAGCAAATCAGACATGCATGATACTATTGCCCAAAATTATTTATGTGATTTGTTGATGAATCACTGTATGACTAGTCCGTAGTTAAGAATTGAGATCAACCAATGCAGGATGGTCGCGTTTGTCAAAGTTCAGATCAATACGATGAAGTACGGCACTGACTTTGCAGAAGTCAAGCCGGAATTTCGAAGGGCAAGTTTGTCTGTTCACATTCGGACAAACATAAAGATAGTTTCAGGTACTAAATGTTACTCGTATTAGAAATCGTCAAATTATGTTAGGTAGGAGTGGGAGACTAACAGCTGAAAATGAACCAATTTTGTGGAAGCATGATATTCAGACATGAGAGTAGTAGTACAATGTCAGAGTTAGATTGATGGTCGTAGCCTTACTCCTGAAGAGATGGTTTTCCAAGCTTCCTTTGGGCATGAACTCGTAAACCAGCAGCAGCTCCCTCTCCTCTTTGCAATATCCCAGCAACTTCACAAGATTTGGATGCACAAGTCTACCCAGGAAGTTGACTTCTGACTGTACTTGCACAAAACAAAGAGAGAATTGGAAATCGCCGATGAGTTCATGGCTAATCAGAGAACACAGACTCGAATTAACATGTGAGCTTGGAACAGTAAGCAATGCAGCCTTCTAATCAAGCAAGCAATGCATCACATTATACCAGGTCATCAGTTGACTTGTCCATTTGTGCGGAGAAAGCAACAGGTTAATTAAAACAAAAGCCATTTGTCCTGTTAAAGATAATGTTTTCTTAAGCGAAAGAAAAGATTTTAATAAATATGCGGTCTGTAACAATGTTGAGTTAATCTAAACAGAGCTAAGAACAGGAGCCATTCTTGAAACTATCTCGCTAATTATGGCCAAAACGAAACGCAAAATTAGCCAAGAAAATTGAACAGCGAGATCAATCGAGCAACGAGCTAGCTAGCTAGTTGCAGTGCGGTGTACCTGCCATTCGTGGAGGCCCTGGACGCTCTCCGGGTTGAGCTTCTTGACGGCGACGACGACGCCGGCGGAGCTCTTGGCCGGGTTGAGCGTGCGCTCGTCGGCCCACCCCTTGTACACCGTCCCGAACCCGCCCTCGCCGAGCACCATCTCCGGCTTGAACCCCCGCGTCACCGCCCGGAGCTCCGCCAGCGTGAACACCCTCAGCCGCGGCATGTCCAGCACCCTCCCCGTCTCCCCGCCGCCGCTCTCCGCCGCGATCGGCCACCGCCTGTACTCCTCCCTCCCTCCTCCTCCGCCGCCGCCCGACACCGCCGCTGCCGCCGGCTTCTCGTCGTCGGCGGCGTCATGACAGCACAAGCGATTCCCCATGTCGATCGATGGATGGATTCCCTCGTCGTCTTCTTCTTGAATAGGATCGTGCGTGACTGCGTGCGCGTGTTTGTATAGGTAAAAACGATGTGAGCTTGGCGAGCAAGGAGTAGAAAGAACAACCAACCAAACACGGAAATGTGGACGTGGACAGCGCGAGACACTGAGATGGCTGGCGCCAAGTGATGAACTGGTCGTCGCGTGCGCTGCTCCGTGGACCCGGTGCACGAAGGCCACTTGCTCTCTGGCCAAGCTCCTAGGGGTAGGAAAAAAAACCGAACCGAAAAGACCGAGATCGAGACCGAAAAAACTGAGACCGAGAAATTCGGTCCTAGACAGTGAAAGACTGAATTTTGTTAGGTCAATTCGGTAGTCTCCTCAGTTAACCGTATATACCGAAAAGACCGAATTTTAAAAAAAAGTCTAATTGCAACCTACAATCCACTAAGTTCAATAGGATTAAACTCTAATTTTCACATCCCTACTTCTTCTAGACATGCAATCTAATAAAAGTCTTTACTCAAACATGCTTACGAATTTATTTTGTGTTAAAAATAAAATGTCAGGACCGACAAACGTGATTTTTGTGTTAAAAAATCCATTATTTCTTTGCATATATGAAAATGTTGCGGAATTTCGGTCAGAATTGAGACCGAGACGGAAAAGGCCGAGACCGAATTTATCGATCCTAACATTTTTGCGTTGAAATTCGGTCTTCACTTTTGAAATACCGAAATAACTGAAAAACCGAAGAACGAGATCGAAACCGAATACCCACCCTACAAGCTCCAGGAGGTGTATTCTGCTGGTCCGTGGACTCGGTCCACGCAGGTGCTCGTGCCGGCGTACGTGCGTGCGTGCGTACGTGCGTCATGTGGCTCTCTCTCTCCTCGCTAGATTGCGCTGTTCACTTCGCGGAGCTGGACAACTGGCACCCCCCGCTACTGACAGGTGGGCTCCACAGTCGGGTGGGCCGTGGGCCCACCAGGCAGTGGATGATTAGGTGGCAATTAGTTCTTTTTCTTCACTAATCTGATTGGATTAGCCACCTACGTTAAACAAAGCAAAGCCCAGGTTCATGCGCATCGCGGCAGCTGCTTTCCGTTTCCCGGAAGCTGCACCTGCATCGCAGTGCAGGCGCGCTGACGTCACCGTTCCGAATATTAACACGAGAAAAAAGGATTATAAATGTGTGTAAATTTCTTGGCATCTCGACTGCTTCTGCTTCTGCATTGGGCCAACTCAGCTAGGGCAGCCATTGATTTGTCCTGATTTAAGGTCGTGATGAGTGACGACCATGTGTAAAAAAAAAAAAATCCGTCCCAACATAAATGTAACCGGAGAACAAAATACTCACTCCGTCCATAAATATTTGACGCCGTTGAGTTTTTTAAATATGTTTGACCGTTCGTCTTATTAAAAAATTTAAATAATTATTAATTCTTTTCCTATTATTTGATTTATTGTTAAATATACTTTTATGTATATAAATAGTTTTACATATTTCATAAAAGTTTTTAAATAAGACGAACGGTCAAACATGTTGTCAGGATTACGGATAAGGTATACCCTCTACCCTTGGATATATGTTGTATACCGATACGGTATACCTGTGCGTATACGGATGTTTCCTGTACACGTTAAGGAAATTCATCACATAATAGAAGCAGAATCCACATACGAGAGAAGTCTTACTCGGACAAGACTGGGTCGTCATTGTATCATGAGGGGTCCGATATCTCCGAGTCCTACTTGGAGATCCGCTGACCCGTGATATAAAAGGGACCCCCTGGGAGGACCTAAGGCATCGATCTCACCACCTACACATTCACCACAGCCTACGAAGTCGGAGCCTGCAGGAGCCAAGTCACCGGGTGATCTAGTCGAACCAACTCGACTACGGTCTCGTCGGTATCATCGAGTCCTATTATTCTCTTTGTAATCTGTGGTTTCCATCATATAATCCCATACCAACTGGATTAGAGTTATTACTTATCAAGGGGCCTGAACCAGTATAATCTGTCTTCTGCTTGTTTGATGTCGTACTACGTAGATCCTCGTACCAGCGTACCCCAATACCCTTTGTATCCGGTTTACGGATATCCACCGTCAACACATGTTTAAAAAAGTCAACGGCGTCTATTTAAGGAGGGAGGGAGTACTCCATAATCGGACAAAGTACTGTGAAATGTGAAAGCTATTTCAGCAAGAAAGGGATCAGACTTTGGGTTATGGTACAAGATGAAATCATGGCTGTCCGTTTTCTCTCTTTTGAGAGGAAATCGTGGCTATCCTTGGAGGTGAAGGAAGAAAAGACAACATGATAGCTGGCATGATGTGTGCTTCCATTACGTGACGTGGCTGCTCCGTGGACCAAATCTTCAGCTTCATCAGAGTCCACTGTTGATTAACTGGTGACATCATCATCCAGGACCTCTTCTTCAGATCGACAGGCGTCAACCTTCTCATGCACAGTTCACAATTTCTCATTCAACAAAATTCTCAGTACAAAGCTAGGAAGAGGAGACGATTTTGCGGCAGTACTCTTAACAGAGACATTTCAGATTTGTTCCAGCTACAAGATGGCAGTAATATGCAGCAAAGGCATGAGAGCTTTGTACATGATTAAATAACTTGATCAAAATCCCAATTAAGTACATTGTCCCCATGCTTCCAGGCCGGACTGATGCATGTCTGATGGCTGCTGCCCAAGCAGAGCACAACCGATGATGCTATGTACACTGGCAACAGAATTAAGGAACTGAAAACAATGAAAGGCATGAAAGAACAACAGTCATCATGGTCAGCTTCAAACTATCACCAATCTCACAGCAAACTGTGTCAATCGGGTTGCTAAAGACCGGTTCTTGAATCAAGAAGGCTTTGACTATATGGCATTTTTGACAGTTTCAACTATCTACCCGTCTCACCAGACTGAGATCTTGCTGTTCTTTTGAGACAAGGATATAGTCTAGGCTATGCATACTGAGCAACTCTTCTGCCGCCTCGCCTTCTAGATGGCGTGCCGGCATATTGTGGTGACCCGCACCTTGCTGGGGAACTCAGCGACACTGAGGAGCGCTCAGGGACATATGGCTGGCTTGCGACATGGTTCAGGCCGATTACGACATCAGAGATGATTGGGCGGACGTGGGGCTGATCTTGGAGGCACATGATGCTGATCACAACCAACTGATTTAGTGCAGATGTTGGATAGCACCCGTGCAGAGCTGGGTCAGCGAGCCTGTAGAATTTCCTCTTGTCATGCAGAAATGGTCTTGACTGCAAAAATTGTTTTCAAAAAAAAGTGAAAGCATTAATGAGCTAAAATCCTTAAAAGAATTTAAGCTTTTTACGAGGAATATAATGTGTCATCTCATATTCATATAAAAATATGCCATGGCAATATGGGCGATTATATCAGCAGTATCAACCCAACAGGAACCAGAAACATTGAAATTAAAGGATTGTCAAATAATTGGACTTGCATAGACAGCATACACCATGATACTTCATGTTCTAAATTTCTAATAATAAAACTATGACAGGCCAATTTTGAGAAGCAGCAGAACAAGAGATAGAACACTGGAAGCATAAACTAGGAGAAGGTAAAGCTGCTTACCCATGTTAGTAAACTCTGCTCTGGTTTAGGCCTTGAAGCATCGTAGATCCTTCTGCCGGTGATCAGTTCCAACAGGAGAACACCAAAACTGTATATGTCAGATTTCATGGTAAGCTTACCACTCACCACATAGTCAGGAGCACAGTAGCCATAAGTTCCCATAACCCTGGTGGAGACATGAGTTCTGTCACCGACTGGTCCAACTTTTGCTAGTCCGAAATCAGAGAGCTTTGGTCTGTAGTCCTCATCCAACAGAATGTTAGCTGCTTTCATGTCACGGTAAATTATAGGCGGATCAGCCACATTGTGCAAATACGAAAGCCCTTCGGCCACTCCAACAGCTATCCTCATGCGTGTATTCCAGTCCAGTGGCTGCTTGCCAAGAGGCACATCTATTCAAAGGTGAAATTTCTATCAATTCAATGAAATGTACAAGATGAATACTGAATAAAAAAATATTGTAGGGTGGATGATGATATTTTTACTGAATATAGAACTAGCTGCTGACAAGGAATTTCAGAATGTAGCATTAAGCAGTGGCCTAAAATACATCAAGTATATCAATACAAGCAATTGATAATGCACAGCTCCAAAATTCTATCACATAATTGCATGGCAAATTCAATTGTTTCACAGTTGCATTATGGGATGGGAATTATCAGTGATATCATATGGAATAACACTTCATCTCAACAAATTGTAAATTTACAAAAATGAGGAATCTTCAAAAAGAAGTTAAGATGATTCACATCATGTCCATTACCTAGCAGGCTAATGCTGGTATCATTCAGGAGAGCATGTGCTGCTCAGGCATGAGACAAGCCATGAAGGCCTACGAGCTTTAATAATTAGCCGTGGGGACAGTTTGGCTAGACTTAGGTATTATTTTGCTGAATAATTTGGCATCTAGGAAAATGGTTGATCAACACAAGGTGGCTTCTCTGGTTGGAGATTAAATAAACAAGTATCACAAAACTTTTGTGTTGACTGAATAATAGATCTGATTTATTTTCTTTAGTTTTGCACCCTTGCAAAAACTGGATGGTTTGCACAATCTAAATTGCAAATACAATAGAACTTCCGAACTTTGCAATAACCTAGTTCTCATTTAATAGACAATAAATACATCCCAGTCGTTGGGAGTAACTGGCTTACTGGCCTACAACCCTACGTTGATAACCCACAGCAAGATAACTAGTTTCCCTGTCATCTTACCAGCAATAAAAGTTCCTCATTCATGGTTTTTGAAAGCTTCAAAAACATATTCGGTCTTTATGTGAACAGGACAAGAAAGATGGCAAAGGCAAAGACATATGGCTAGAAATTTTACTAGGAAGAAAGTGTAGACTGACTGCGGCATATTTATTGAATAGTTCCTTTATTGTTGTTTATTCTAATATTTTACATCTTTAAATGCAGAATCTCAATTATAATAGAACTAATAAGGTGGATGCACCAATAGTCAATAGAGATAGATATCATCCTGAAATCTAGTAACACAGATAGCTGAGTTGCTCAGTTGAAGTTTATATCTCTTTGTTTTTATAAGTGCATCAATAATCTCAGCTTTATCATCATTGTCATCTACTCCTATTTCAGAGTGAAAATTTTCAGCACATAAATGATTGGTTTGTTTTTTTTATTTTCAGTGAGGCTTTGTAGCAATAGTAGAACATAACTGTTTGCACCAATAACCTCTTATATTAAAAATGAAATAATAACAACGAGCTAATACTACAATGTAACACTAAAAAAGAACGTCAATGCTACAAGATTATTGGTTAGTAGTTAGTACTACCATACGAGGATTTATTATGATCCCGCCATGGATATCGATTACTTTCATTGTACAGTCCTAAAATGTTTCCTTGCATTGTGGAACAGACATACATTTTTATGATGGTCGCTTAGTTAATAAGAATGACGATATTGATAAGTGAGTAAAACTCAGTGCAGTATGGGAGCTGCAGTAAAAGCATTTACAAACACAGCAGCAAAGCTAAAGAAACATGTCAAGAAAGTTTTTCAGGAACTGAAGGAAAAAGCACCCAATTATTCAACCAGGAAAAGGAGAAGATATCAACGATTTGCTTGTTCAGGGTTTCTCTCTCCTTTCATATAATTTCATATTGAGCTAAATAAATGTTCCATGCCATTTCTTCTTTTATCTTTTCCTCATATAAACACAGCATTAGTACTTAACAAGCAATTAGTGAGGAAAGATATCAGGATATTGCTTCTAGGCTAAAATTTTGAGAAAGCATATCACTGGAGTGGAATGAAGGAGAGCTAGTCGAGTATAAAGTTAGGCAAAAAAAATTATCACAAGCAGAGAACTACAATAAGTACAAAAAATGAGGCATTTTAACACTGGCGCGTAATCTGCCAAAAAGATAGGGAAAGTCATTTCAACAGTAACATGTAAACTGCCAAGAGCAGACAAACTCCTCTTCAAAACACCAAATCCCAACATGAACTAGGCGGCTATCATGCACAGCAAAGTTTGAGGAAAACTTACCGAAGAGATGGCTCTCCAAGCTGCCGAATGGCATGTACTCGTACACCAGCAGCCTCTCGTCACCCTGCGCGCAGAAGCCGACCAAACTGACGAGATGCGGATGGTTGAGCACGGTCAGCATCAGCACCTCCACCAAGAACTCGTTCCTCCCCTGCACGCCGTCCCGGGTGAGCTGCTTCACTGCCACCATCTACACACCACATACGAAGAACATTAAAAAAAAACATAAAGTGAAAACCAAATCTTGGAGCACGAAAGATCTCAAGAAGTAGAATATGAAGGAGTCGTTGAACTCACCTGCCCATTGATCTTGCCTTTGTACACCTTCCCAAAGCCACCTTCTCCGATGAAATTCGCCTCGTTGAAGTAGCCGGTCGCCACTGACAGATCCTTGAAGGTGAAGCTGTGCGCGTAGCCGTTCCCCCCATCCGTCGCCAACGGCGCGACCTTTCTCCTCGCGTCGGCGCCTGCAAAGATAAACAGTCACAATCCCAGCAAAAAAACCGGAACTAACTGAAAGTCTGAAACACGAGAGGAAAAAAAAATCAAGAACCTGATGATTCGTCAGAAGAGTGGTAATTGGGCTTGGATGGCTTGAGGTCGTCGTCCACCTCCGGCGAGAAGCACCCAAAGCAACCCATCTCAACGGCGAAGAACTCTTATCATAACACACAACCACAACAAGAAGAAGAAGAAGAAGAAGAAGCCAAGAGAATGGGGCAAGGAACAGCGAGCGAGAGGAGAGAAGAACTACTACTAGTTGTCCTCCTATCCAAGAAGCGGCTAGTATTAATGCACGAGCAAACCGGGCATGGAACGGCCACCCTGGGTCCCCAAGAGAAACTCCAAATCAGGAGCCGGATTGATCACCAACCGGCGAGGAGGGATTGCGGGGTTAGGAGGCAACAGCCCGAGGGATTTGGCGAAACGGGGCAAGGAATTATAGCAACGGGGGCGTCGTCGTCGTCATGCCCCCCCCCCCCCCCCTCCCCTCTCTGGTTTGGTCCCCATGCCGAATCGCACAACCCTAGCAGCACAGCAGCAGAGGAGCAATCTTGGAAGGCATTAACCACCCCAATCAATCAATTACTACCCATTTATCCTGCCAAATTTTCCTGGAGATTTCCTCTCCTCTCATCTCATCTCATCTGCAGCGGGGAATCGAGAGGGAAAGCGCCCGGCTGCCGGATTTGGAAGCCGGCCATCAGTCTCGCGGTTCGTCTAAAATTTTTGTCTAGAAAAGGTGGATTTCTTTGGCTGCTGCTTTGGCTTTTCCCGCGAGCTTGGGGATGGAGTGTGGCTGTGTGTGTGAGGGTTCTTGGCTCTGCTGATGTAGTGTGTGATGTGTTTGTGTAAAAATCGTTGCTTTCATCGCCAGCGTGATCTCCACCGCGGCAATCGCCGGTGTACAAGATAGTACTGAGTATTTGTCACTCTCACTCCTCTCTGTGGAGTGTGGGCAGCCAGGTCAGTGCAGCAGAGACGCTCGTCACGAGGTTGACACGTGGATCCCACGGACGACCTTGAGGATCCCACGTGTCACTGTCACATAGCTTGCATATTTATTTTTCTCCGTTAGAGCAGGTACAATAGCAGACTATTAGACATTTATAAACATATTTTAATAAGATAAAAAGTGAGAGATAAGAGCAGCGAGCTACAAATCTGTAACCAGTTGCAGCACGGATTCTAAGACGCAGTATATGTATGATAGGTGATACCATATATTAATAGTATAGTAAACAACTATTATATGAATTAGTTATTAGATTGGTTATATATGAATTATAGCTAGTAGTGGGCTATACTATTAAATTTGCTCTTACTTCATCCGTCTTATAAAAAATCAAATCAGCCATGAATTCGGATAAATATTTGTTTAGAGTCATAGTCAAAATTTTATTTTATTTTTGCGGGGGAAATTTTATTCTTTTTAGATAAAGGGTATACACCACTCATCACACCATGGCCAATACCTCCCTAACACTTTACATATGTTTAAAGAGGCGGATATCTATTATAAATAACTAATCTTATTATAATTCTATTATAAGTGTATCTACGTGCGTATAGTATTCGTTAGCGTCGAAATCTAAATCATATTGAATAGTCTCATACTGACACGACTTCATCCCTCACAATGAAGATGATCTCATCTCAAAGAAATGGTCATTAGATTTTGTCCCAGGAGACCAGGACCTGAACCCATGTGAGTAAGCGAGAAGGTTGAACAGCTTCACGGCGACCAGGCCATTGATCCCAGTCTGTACCAAAGGGGTTTATTAGAGAGTCATACATGGTACAACCACCAGGATCGAATTCCATTCAGAGGCAGGAGACAAGGGCGTTCAAGTAGCATGCACTACTATACGTCGCTGCACTATAGTTTCACAGGGCAAATTGTGCAATGCGAACAGTGGAGATCGTAAATAAAATTCAGCCTCTCTCTGAATGAAGCATCAATGAACACCAGGATTCAGGCAGGCGAAGTTACGCTGAATCTTAAATGCATTTGCATTGGTTAGCTGAGAACTTGCCCTACTCAGCTCATATCCCTTCTCCAAATGCGTCGGTGTGGAGGTAAAAATGTGGTATGAAGAAGTGCAGGGCTTCAGATGTGGGAACAGTGCTTGGTTAGCGTGTCAGTAATCATGGAAGATGCTGGTGCATGCATGTGTGTGCGCCTTGGGTTTCAGAAACACTATGAAACAACGTGCTTGTGTTTAGTTTTCTATGCATCAGCTTGAGCCTTGAGGGGAAGATAATGCAACTGATGGATCCGTGGCAATAATCTATATCCAATAATCTACATTAAACGAGCCTGTGATTTCTGAATTGGGGGTGGTGATCACAAGTACTACAAGGGAGTGTGGGATTAGAATGGTGTTGATAAAACCTGCTTGATCCTTGGTATTATCCCCTCTTTTGTGGCTTGTGCAATGCAATATGGCATATTATAATAAACAACATGAACTTTTGCATATTATAGTACTGCACTACTGTTCAGGGTTGATGCATACTACGATTGCATAGTAAATTGTGAAACTGTTATGTCCTCTCCAAGAGAGACAAATGCATCTTCCAAACAGAACAAACTTCTGGTGAAGTATGTACATGCAACAAGAGCTGGACACAACTTCTATGCATAGTCAAGACAAGAGCATCTAGATATACAATTAAATACTGAAAAAATATTTTTTCCTTTTAAAAAAATGACAAGAGGCCATAGCTAACCTTTTCACTTTTGACAGTGGGTAAAGGATCTGTCGGTGCCATCTTGTTCTATCCTCTTGTTCAAGTTCCATATCAGCCATTGCCTTAAGGTCAAATGTGGCCTGCCAAGCTGGGCCATGTCAGGGAGAAGTGTTCCCTGAAATGCTTTCCCAAGCTATTTTCAGTGCAGCTCTTGATGGACGCAAAACAAAATTGCTACCAAACTCTGTTGAATCTACAATCATATTTGCTTGGGGTCCACAGCCCGCATACATGGGACTTGGTACGTGGCATTAATTAACTAGTAATGCTCTGATCTAAATCGAACAAGTACCACAAAGAAATCATATGGAGCAGACCTGATTTTTCCTCAATATTAAAAATATCTGAAAACAATTATTGGCATATAATAGAGACTATAATACAATATCTACCTGAAAAATATGGAGGTGAGACATCAGACATGTCCCCTACACAGCTACCAGAGACTATTGTGTGGAGTGGAACATGTTTCAGAATTCAGAAACCTCTTCTTTTCTTCAGAGAAAATTAGTTGAGGAGGTTTCAGGCTTAAAAAAAATTCAGAAGGTTTCTGGTTTTCAGCCACGAATTGCATTTGGTGGAGGAGAGGGTCACATGTGAATGTGATCTCACATGTAAAATTGTATCAAGGGACCAACTCTTGGTCTGAACTAGCTAACTGCAGATGAGGAGTACTGCAAATTGAACAGATCCTGTTCAAGTAATAAAAAAAATTTTAGTCAAAAAAAAAAGGAGTACTGCAAATTAAAGCTGAGCCCTTGAATTACCTGTGCCTCCGGTAAACTAATTAGGAGTTAATCTGACAGTAATTAACAAGTCAGTGTGGTCACCTATGATCTCTGGATGGATAAATGTATACCAAGATATATAATCATGTACTCTCTCCGTCTAAAAAAAAGGCAAACTCTGGATTTGCGTGTCCAACTTTGACTGTCCGTCTTATATGAAATTTTTTTATAATTCGTATTTTTATTGGTGTTAGATGATAAAACATGATTAATACTTTATGCATGACTTGTTTTTTTAATTTTTTTATAATTTTTTCAAATAAGACAGACGGTCAAACATTGGGCATGGAAACCCAGGTTTATCTTCTTTTTTTTTTTGACGGAGGGAGTATGCAACTGCAACATGGACTCATCATTTGGGTCGTAGAGAGCAAGGAGTAGGGTATCATCATCGCCATCGAGCAAGTCCAAACTTTTGCAGACGAAACAGGAATCGGAATGGATTGCAGCTGCGTCATGCAATGCATTGGCCCGGGCATGCAGCATGACATGATGGACGGTGCATGCCTGCGACTTCAGGGAAAGTTGCCAACTTTGCAACAGTGCGAACAATGTCCAATAATGGCCCTAATAACCTAATGTAATTTTGGTTTTGTCATGGTCCTAGCGAAGGGTTTCCAATACCGATCGAAACACAGCGAAAACCGGGGATCATTTTTATGAAAAATGAGCGGAGTTGGTTTTCTTATGGAGTTGATCGAAAGTTATCTATTTTTATGGATTTTCGCTTGGTTTTCAGCAAACTGAAATCTTATGTAATCGATTCTAATGATGTGATAAGATGAGATGAAATGTATACTCTCTCCACTAAAAAAATTCTGAGTATAAAATACTTGTCTAGATTCGTCTAAAGTTGATTTTTTTTGAGAGGTAGGTGCGAATTTGTGCTGTTCAGTAGTCCAAAATACGTACACAAGGTGCATGAAAGCCCTGGCCCGGCCAGTCTGAATTATGAAACCGGAAATATGCATGATCCAACAGTCAGGAACGGGGCAGACAAACTGCCGTATTATTACCTGTTAAATTGGACCATGAACTTCTCAACATGTTCATGAACTCATCAAGGGCCCATTTAGCCATTTTGGCTGTACAATTCATCTCTCTTTGATGATCTTCTCTGCGAGGAGGTACGGTCACACATGTCGTGTGATCGTGGTTGTTGAATGTTGAGGGTGGATGGACAAATCAAGGGGAGTGTTCATGCACAAATGGTGGCTGGGAAGCTGTTTTGGTCATTCCAGAGGAAGTCCCCTTGTTTCTTTAAAAAACCATCTAAACAGTTTTTTTAAAAAAAATTGATAACTCGAATTAACATGGGCAAAGAGAATTAAGCGATACAGGCCTTCCAATTAATCAAGCAGGCAATGCATCACACTATTTGTCCATTTGTGATTTGTCCATTTGTGCCGAGAAAGCAACGAGTATTTGGCTCTCCCATGACCGGCGCTGAAAGGCTAATTAAGCTATGGCGCTAGTAGCTCGTCATCGTGTAACACGCACAAATGGCTGAATAGAATACGGACAATAATGCAGAACAGTGCTACACACTGCTCGTGATTACTGATTACTAGTACTCCTATTATCATTAGCACCAGGTGACGCGGATCTAGCTAGCTAGTTAGTAGAGCTGGAGTGCTGTTCTGCAGGAGCAGTCGTCAATAAAGAGATTGATTTATCAGTCAGTTAGGAGTAATTAATTAATCAGTGGCGTCAAGTGCCTGGTTAGTTTTGGTGCCTAATACTCCGACTAGTATTGTCACAACTGAACTATAGCTAGCCAAAGGGATGGAGAGTGACCAATAAATTCTTAACATTATGTTGTAAGTGCGACGACAAGTGGTAGTTGATTACTTGATTGTACTCCATACATTTTTTTTCAAAAAAATTTATAAGTAAATTTTATTTTCATATTCACTTATAAATATAGATATCGGATTCTTATTCATTATTATAAAAAACAGAGTATATTGTTTATACTTTATAGTGCAATTAGTTGCACTGAAACTGTCATTCAAAGCACACACATAATATGAATTACTGGGATAAGACAGATGCGAGATCATAAACCGGAGAACTCATACGCTGAACTCTCGCATCCATTGCAGAATTGTGGACCAAATGGCTGACGAAATGTGGGATTAAAACTTGACAGAATGACAGGTTAGGCATAATTAGCAATTGGCAAGTGGATGTGAACCGATTGTAGCTTTAGTCTCCATCTCCATGCATGTGAAGTCGCATGCCTCGCCTCACATGCGCGCACGCTCGATGAATTCACGGCGAAATTATAGCGTTTGCAATGGCCACTTGCAGTTGCATCAGGTCGTAAGGTAGCATTAGTATTCCGTGTTGCTGATGTTGTACTTAGGTTCCTAGGACGCCTGATCATAAGCAGCCAAGCTGTGTCTTAACATGATAGTACATATAGATATGCTTCCATTCCTTGCAAACCACTCAAATCCTGACGATTCGGCATGATCAGTCTATCAGAGTTTTTTGCGTAGATCACAAGCCAATCTTTTCGTCCCAATCAATCCCTACTGGATAGCAATCAAGCAGATGAATGATAGACAAAAATTGCTAGATTGATTCCAACAAAATCAAGATGTCGAGTGGGAAACCACTATCACTGTGCGTGAGATATGGTCGTGGATGCATGATTTTATCACGGATTCAATTCATGTTACCCGTAAGGCCGCTTTGAAACAAAGAAAAAACATAGAAATTCTAAAGGATTTGTTTCCAGTAGGAAACAACCCTTTGTTCCTTTCAAGGGGCAATACTTATTTCTTTAAAATTCTTATGGAATGGATCATTTTAGAGTAATAATGTACAGTTCCGAAGAGAAACATGAGGGCTCACCTTAAGTTTTCTTACTACAATGTCTTAAATTTTTATGTTTTTCTTGTATGCAAATCAAACGATAATTTTGAAAGTTTCTCGTGTTTCAAAATCCTATAAAAACCCAATGACTATGAAACCCTATTTCTATGTTTTTTCTGTGTGCCAATCAATCAGTAATTTTGAAAGTTTCCTATGTTTTAAAATCCTATAAGAATACAATGACTAGGAGATTCTATTCAGTTGTTTTTTCCTATTCATGTCTTTTCGCAATTGTACATTTCGAAGGAACCCTAATATTATTTCAATAGGAATCAATTATTTAATTGGGTTTTCGTCTAGCCCCAGGAATCAATAAAAAAATAAGTGCTAAATTTCATTTCATATCAGTGAATAAACCGAAGAGAGAGACCTTTCTCACTCCGCGTCGCACTATACTCCGCGGAATTATTTTCTTACTTTTATCTTTTGAGCACATTAAAAGAGATACTTTCGGATAGATAAGAAAAAGGAAATTTCTTGCAACTCAAAAGACGAAGGAAAATAGTCAAGTTAGCCGGTGTACATAAAAATAAGACTCCGCTAACGTACCGCTCCTGACGTGGGTGACTAACATATAGGCTCGCTTATTAGAGAACCCATATATCAGTCACCCAGTGTTAACACAGAGGTCAGTAGGTCAAAGGAACGGATTCCGTTTATATAGACACTGTACTTTTTTTTGTTTGTAACTGAATATATACACTTGGCATGGAAACAGCAGCAAGCTTAGCTGCAATTTTTGCTGGGGGGAGAAAGTGGAGGTGGAACAGTAGAGGCAGTGGACGACACTGGTACCGGAGGACAGTACGGGCCGAAACAGTTTCACTGTGAGGAAGTAATGGAATGGCCGGGGGCAGGCAACCGGATCTCGATGCTCACCATCAATGGGCCAGCGGCGCCAAGCATGATGATGATGATGATGGTATGCGACGCCATTGCCATCCATGGCGCGCAACCTCACGGGCTCTCTCCTCCTCGTTGCCGTTTTCACGTGTTGATACGGCCTCCGCGTTGCTGTGGTAGTAAAATCTACGCGATTTGGGTGCAGCAGCAGCAGCAGCAGCATCGGTACGACTCGATCGTCTTCGTCATCTGCGATCTGGACGGATGCAAATATCGGATTTCAGAGCGGGAGATCATGGAGGCCACCTTGCAAAGAATCATGCAATGTCCATGCAGATCCGCAGGACAATGGCACGGCCCAGTTTTTTTCACCTTCCAACTGGACCGATCGTGCTGTCTTCGTGATTGAAACTGTGAGTAATCATTGCCTTAGTGCTGTGAAAACCAAGGACAACAGAATGGTGTCCAGAGTTCACCTTTCGGATTGAGCACCGGGGTATCCTACCACATGATAGTACGACGGATTTCAACAAATTTCAACAAAATATCAGCCAGATTTACTGTTTCAGATTTTAATTCTCAAAAACCATTCGAAGTTTCACTCGAAATCTACTTTAGCTCCACGACAAAACTTCAAAACGTTACGGTTTTCGTCAAAAGCATGAACCCTGATGCTGGCACCGTGGGAAGTATCAAATATCAACAGCATATGTATCCGGGTATCCCAGATTCCAGAGCAAGAAGTACAGTCAAGAGCAACATCAACAAATGTTAAAACACTACATAATCATGTCAGTGAAAATGTCAACACAGAATCATGTCAGGGGCTCAGAGCAAGATTTTGGTGACTCAGGCTACTTGCTACTCAGCTCAACTGGGGTGGAGTTGCAGCAGTCGTCCATCCGCCAGTCTCATACAACCTGGAATCGGATCAATCCTCGCAGGAAAAAGGCACACCTATGCACTTGCCTCCCTCCCTGCTTGTATACCTCCACTAGTATAATGTTACACATTGGATGCCAGATGCTGCCCATCCGAAACATTATCATCGGAAATAAGATTAGAATCTATACAGACTACCTACCCTTTTACAACAAATTTGCTGGGAGTCAAACGATTCATCGGCTCTAGTTACTCCTTCCCATGACCTCGCCTCACAATGAATTATTCTTCGACGAGAAATCCATTGTTAATTCTCCCTCAGAACCACTCAGTGTGCTGCTACAATATCCATCAGCATAGCAGAAGCGGAGAATAAGGACTCGAGAAGCTGGGATTCTGAATCATGTTTCCAATCAAGGACGGCGCTAAGCTGAACTATGTCAATGGCTAATTGTCTTCAGAGCTGCAATGCCAAGTCCGGGTGCTTTTTTGGATTTGCTAACTTTTCGCTTGGCATGGAACCTGATGGTTGAACACCAGCACTTAAACTTGGAGCAGAACTAGTCATGGTTTGTGATAATGCAGCTTCTGAATCATGACCTGCATCTGGTGATGGATTAGTGGCTACCTTTCCAACATCCCCATTTTGTGGTGCTTTAATGCTATTAGCCACCAGTGGGTGCCCATGGATAAAGCCATTTGTTCTGCCATTGACTCCGGAAAACATCCCAAGAACTTGAGCATGTGTCAACTGCATCTGTCCCAAGAATCCTTGCCCTGCGTATTGACTAATTGTGTTTGGCAAGGCAGTGAAGCCATTCATATTTGAGTGGATCTCTCGACTATGGCTGTGCTGCTGCAAGGGAGGTGTCTGTCCAGTACTACCCACACCATCACATGACACATTAGCCCCGTTTTCACACTTGGTAGCTAGCTTGGTGGCAGATACAGAGTTTGTGTTAACGCATGCAGATGTAGAAGCCACTGGCTCGGTTCTAGCTAGATGCTCTTCACCAGAATCCTCGTTCGAAGTCAGTCCAGACTTCTGATTGGATTCATCATTCTTGGATATTACGTTGCTAGCTGGAACACCAGTAGACTGGATGGATGGATCAGAGAGCATGGGAACTCGAGGCCACTGAGAGTTCTCAGGTGGCTCACCATCCACAACCCATCCTGGGCCAAAATTTGTTCCAGAAGGCAGTAGTCGTCTGATTCTCTTTGCTGCTATGTCCCAGCCTACGGGACCAAATTTTGCAGCAAACCGCGCCAAGCTCCTAGCATATGCATGTTGCTGTTGAAGTCCCACCTGTTTCCATAATTAAAATAACTCAGCATTGAGATAGCAATGCACCAAGTAGTAGTTGCAAACGTTCAGTAGGTAAGTTGGCAAGGTTTATAAATCTTTTAATTCATAAATTATTCAGGACAAAATTTTCTGAACGTGCTTACCGGCACAAGTACTTTCCTCTCACCACCAAGGGCAGAAAACAGAGGACTACTATGGAAGTATTGCTGATCGTATGTACTACGACGCTCATCATCTGAAATAGTCGGGGTGGTCTTCTTTCCGTACTTCGAAGGCCCTGAAAGATACCACGATATCAAGCCATGCTCAAGCTCCATAAGTACAGCACTGTAGAGATACGAGCAATTAGCAATAAAAACAAACCTGAATAATCACCAAATCTATCTGTTCTTTTACCAGCAAAAGAACCAGGTGTATTATGTTGAAGAAAGGGTGAGTCTCTTGTTGTGATATTTGCATTTCGAGTTCTGTCCCCAGTCAACCTTTTTCTAATTGTTTCAGCATGGTCTGCAGATTTTGTTTTTGCATTGGATAAATCTGGTGAAACATCATTTTCAGTCTTCTCAATTTTCTTTGCATATTTTGGTGGTCTGCCTCTTCTGGGTACAGTCTTGGGTTGTTGTTCTTCTTCAGGCTCACTAGCTTGCCTCAGGTTCTCGAAATCCTTTTTGGCCAGAGCTTCAATAGATCGTGCCTAAGTAGATAAATGAACATCTCAGGAAATTGGAAGCCAAAAAGACCACAAAGATAGGCTAACTTGCAAAATAAAATAGTCTTAAGACAAAAGATAACAGAAAGGATCACGTCAATGGATTTCAACAGTTTCCAGATAAGAGAAGGAATTTATCCTACATACAATGCCTCGTATTTATGCAAGTGTATCGATTTCTTTTGTGCTGCAGTATAATTCCAGCTGGTAGGGATGAAAACGGAGCGGATACGGACGGATAATGCTCATACCATATTCGTTTTCATATTTTTTACCGGATACGAAAACGAATACGGATAGCTCGAATACGGAAACAAATACGGATTATCTCGAATACGAATAAGAATCAAATATGATCGGACACGAATACGGAAACAATTTTTTCTCGGAACACGAAAACCAACTCAACTTCTAATGGAAACAAATATCAACATATATAATTAGCTCATTTTATATAAAATGAGGTATAATTTATAAATATTTTTTAAAATTTAAATAATATTAATAGTGACTAGTGTTAAGAGATAAACTACTATTAAAATCTATAAAGGTATATTGAAGGTTATAGAGTTAGAAAGAAATGGGGTATGTCTCATGGGTCCTGCGGATATCCGAATAGCACCGTTCACCGGATATCCGAATTATTATCCGTATCCGACGGAAACCCTGGTACCATATTCGTATTCGTATCCGGGAGAAAATATCCGTATTCGTATCCGTATCCGAACTATCCGAGAATTATCCGATCCGAAAGGTATCCGTATCCGTTTTTGTCCTGAGCGGACGGAAACTATCCGCTCCGTTTTCATCCCTACCAGCTGGGGAAACATACTGTGGAAGATAGCGACCTAGGTGTCTTGGCTTTGTAGAAATTATCAGTATAACACAAATCCAATGGACTTCCAATGTTCTAAGAGTCCAAAGGAGTATCAAAATAAAAATACCAAAGGAAGTTGATTAAAAAAAAACTTGTGTTGGCCTTAGTGTAACAATGATATTCACACGAAATAAAAACACCAACTACAAAAGCACAACAGGAACAAAAAGAAGAATGTGCCATTTGTGTAACAGGTGCACAAATTTATAGAAGTCTCACGAAAAGAAACTGCACCAAGCATAAGAAATTTGCAAGGGTTATGAATAACCTATATAAACCAAGCATTGAATGCGTGCAAACAGTACGGCGGTATATCTACAAAATGGATCACATAGTCCTGTTGCAAAAGGCACATGCATTACAGCATTAGTAAAATAGATACCTGCCGATAGTAGACTGTGTCGTCTGAATTGTAGGACATGGCATTTGATGTAAGTAGAAACACATCATTCTGCACAATCATTAAAAAAACATTAGATATTAAGAGAAGGTTCATACTAGTAAAGCCAAAAAAAAAAAGAGATTTTAAGCGAAGATCCAAACTACTTAAGCAAAGTGTTACTCTTACTCCATTATGATTTGCTTCATGATTTACTAATTTTAGAAGAAAAAAATCCATACAGCAAACATATGCAGGACAAGTGGAAAACTCTTAACAATGTTGCTGTGCAAAGCTACACAGCAATTTTTCAAAACTCAATACATTGTACAAAATGGAAGAACAAAATATCCCACCGAGTCGTTACAATGACAGATCAATAAGTTGGCGTTAGCAGCACATTATGGACCTTTGATAGAACTCAGTGGTATATAAACACGGATAAACCCCAAAAACAAAATAATAAAGCAACCATATCTGTGTCGCTAAAAGGTTTTTTAATGGCCTGAAATGACAAACTCTCTCCTCCGAAACGCTTATCAAGAGAAAAGCGCAGAACTTTTAAGAGAAAAATAGGGCTGAAAACAAAATATAGACATTATGAAGAAAATATAATAGTGGCTGGAGAACATTTGTGCCAGAATAGAAAACATGAAGGCTATTTGAAGTCCACTTCACATGAAGATCCGTTACTAGAAAGAAACAAATTTACAAACATCCCCAGATCATTTGAGTTGATGCAGAACTTGAAAATTGGACTCAAACACCATACAGTGCAGAACTTGAATCTCACTTCTGAAGGGATAGATAGAGTTATAATCTATCCAAGAAGTACAGTTTCAATATGGACTATGGTTTACCAGTGTTTTGAGATATTGATATTTTTAGTTTAAGCAGCCAATTTGAGTATACAGAACCATCAAATTTGGGATTGCTCTTAGCCTGAGTTAGCACACAAATGAACCATGTGCTAGCCTGCCGAGAAGAATGCGAAGCTTCCACCACTAAGTTGGGCAAATCAACAGGGAAAGACTATAAATAGTGAGCATAAAGTAACTGGTAGTTATTGAATGGATACAACTTTGGAGCTAAAATAGGAGGAATCATTATGAAGTTTACTGGGCTTTCTCTTAGCTACAGTCCACGATGATCATTAAAAAGTAGCACATGCGACCTCTACATGCCAATCCAGAGAGCACTTTCCATTAATGAAGGCATTAACTCATAAAAAAAACAATAATTTGACCCTGTGTAAGAACAAGGATATACCAAATGTACTTTCTCAAATCAGGAATTCCTTGACATTGTTACCAAAATGCAGAAAACACTTCAGTGGCTTCATAAACAATACCAACAACCAGTATCAACAAATTCATTGAAAGTGAATTATGAAGATAAACTAGTTTGACTTAAAACTGCATAGACACTTGTGGTACAAACAAAAGAGAGAGAAGACATGTGAAGCTAGACACGAGACCTAGGATTTTACAGGAAAATAACAGAACTAGCCTTAGCAGATATAAAGCAATAGAAAAAACGTGAAGTACAGAACAGTAGACAGAAGCAAACATCTGTAGTGTCAGTGAATGAAAAGCCAATAAAACAGACAACACGCAAGGAGACAGCAACTCAAACTACAGGCATCATACCTCAAACTGCTCTAGGGTGGTATACGAGTCATTCAACAGCTTCTCGCGGATCGTCGAGAAGTCCATAGGATGCTCGATAATCTCATGGTAATCTGGAAGCTGCATGCAAGCACGCACAACAACAGATACACAAAACACAAAACAGTTGTCAACATCATCACTGCAAACTTCAGAACACAAATACACAGCAGACCAAGAACTGAATTGCTCACCTCCTCATGGTCGACGGGCTCCGAGAAAACTCCATAGGTGTCCTTCCTGGGAGCAGTACAAAGAAGAGATACACACATACATAGCTGAAGCAATCAGAGGCAAGCTCTTATTGGGGGGAGAAGAGAACTACATCAGGATGGGGCCGGGCCACTCACTTCTGGAGCCTGTCGAGGATGAAGAGAAGCAACTTTTTGTCCGGGAGGGGAGTCCCCGTAGTGGGCCCGCCATCCGACGCAGCGTCCCCTGCTCCCACAAGCGCAAGGAGGAGTTAACCCGAGAAAATTTCAAATTCTTTAACCACTTCAACACTAATGCTTGGCTTCCCTCCAAGCCTCACCTTTCCCGGTCGCTTTCGACGAGACCTTCTTCTTCTTCTCCTCCACCTCCACCTTCACCACCACGGCGGCCGCGGGCGCCTCATCATCCTGCAGCATCGAACAGCAGCCGTCAGAGTCGAATTCGCCATGGAAACGGAGGAACGTCAGCCTTTTGCGACTGCCAGGGCGAAGTGCTGCAAAACTCCAGACTTGGCACACAAAAAACGAAGACTTTTGGCGCTTTTTCAACCCCGGACAGCGCTTGCAACACAATAATCCGGGAGGAAAAAGGTCAAATCCGTCAAAACTTGTCAGATCCGCGTACTGTTCCCTTCGATGGAAAGGATTAAAGCGCTGACAGGGTCAAGATCCCTAGACCCGGACTCCATAGGAAAACCAAATAAAAATCCAAACCCGCCCAAAAAAAGCAACGCTCTCCAAGAAGCTAAAAATCCCCAAGTGCCACTCCCACAGTCGCACTGATCTCCCCCTCCCGCCAGATTCCCCACCACGAGAGCGAGCCGTACCACGAAACCCACCCCCCTCAAAAAAATTCCAAAATCGCAGATCCAACCACTACGGCAACCGCATCGCCGCGTGTCCCACGGCAAAAACCCCCCTCTCCTCTCCTCGGGGAGGCCCCCAAAAACCTCGGGCAAATTTCGAAAAATTGGCGCGACAGGTAAGAGGGGGGGAGCGCGCCCGACCTCGCCGCCGCCGCTGCTGGAGAGGACGCTCTTGAGCCGCTTCTGCCGTCGGCGCCCCCCACTCCCGACCCCGTCGTCGTCCTCGTCGGACGGATTGGCGTCCCGCCGCGAGGGGGACGGGGCCGGGCTAGGGTTTTGGGCCTGGAGGCGGAGGCTGCGCCGCTGCAGGTCGAGGAGGGACGGCCGCCCCTTCTTCTTCCCCTTCCTCCTCGCTGGGGTCTCCGCGGGTGGGGGCGGGGGCGGAGGTGGCGGAGCGGCCGCGGCCTTCCGGGTCTTCGCCATCGAAGGCCGCGGCGGCGGCGGCGGGAGGAGGAGGTGGTGGTGGTGGTGGTGCGGGCGGGGGGTGGCCTTGGCTGGGAACGGGTCGGGGTGCGTGTGGCTTTGCGTGCGTTTGGTATTTTTTTTCCCTTTGGGAGAGGGGGGGGGGCCTTTCGGTTGCGGCGGGGTCGTCCGGCTCGGGCGGGGGATCGCCCTACCCAATGACATGTGGGGTAGGGGGATACGTGGGGCCCACATGGAGGCGGGGTTCGGCTCGAGCGCTCCGTGTAGACGGTTTCGGATCGGCCGGCCTCGGGGCGCGTTTGGTGGGGGTGGGGGGGAGGTGTGGGACCGGTCCACCGCGTGTCGTGGGCGAAACTGATTGGTGGGTGCTCCAGGGGTCGCGTACTGAAGGTCGTGGGCCCACATGTCAGTGGAACAAAAGAATTTTGACATTTGCAACTGTTATATTGCTATTACCCGCAATTTTTGTTACATTTTTCCGTCTGGTGTTTTAGGCAGACCGTTTTTTAATTAAGAGTGCTTAATCAGACAAAATGAGTGTGAGAAGGCAGATCCTCGAGCACGAAATTTTGAGACATGATGCTGTTACTGCATGTCTAAATACATGTCTACATGTGCGTGTCCAGGGCTAAAAAAAACATGTGCGTGTTCTGTTGTGCTCTCTGAAAAAGATCACCGTTGTTAAATGGAGAAGATACTATAGTAGTATACTATGGAGATACGGATAAATATTAATGCTATACCTATACTTCTATGTGTCTCAGCATGTTGTATCGAGGCAAATGACATTCAAAAATCGCCATACTGCATGATAGTGCAAATAGTTGATGCTAAAACTCTGCCATACCAATTCACACATACACACAAAACAGTTTGCTAAAGGGCGTAACTACACAGCTAGTGATAGCTGGCTTGTCTAAATCAGCTACCACTCTATCTATAAGAGGCATCATCCACCTATACTTCAAATACAATTTTCTCTTAAACTATCCATCCGATCTACGATCCGATTACACTGTTGTGTTCGTAACAATTAAATCTTTACAACAAGATCTCACATTATTATGTTTTGATGAAAAATCACAAAATACTTTTATGATATGTCTAAATTACTTTTAGATTTCACTAAGTTACTTCTTATATATATAAAAGTAAATTCAGTAAAACTTAAAAGTAATTTACATATATTATAGAAGTGACTTAGAACAAAACGAATGTAACTTTAGCATGTTATTTGAAGTAAATCCGTTGTAGAGATAAAAACATGACTCTATCTAGAAATTAAATTAATCAGCACAAATTATGGAATTAACTAAAAAAATAAAAGTAATCATCTCATAGCATTATGAATGTATAGGAAGTATTTTAATCAAATCTAAAAGTAACTCTCTCTCTCTCACACACACATATATATGTGTGATATTTTGTTCAATGAAAAAAGGCATTAATTAAAGTTACTTTTTTTTATAAGTTACTTCTATAATATATGTAAATTACTTTTAGGCTTTACTGATTTTACTTTTATATGTCTAAGAAGTAACTTAGTGAAATCTAAAAGTAATTTAGACATATCATAAAAGTAATTTGTGATTTTTCATCAAAATATAATCATGTGAGATCTTGTTATAAAGATTTAATTATTACGAACACAACGGTGTAATCGGATTGTAAATCGGATGAGTAATTTAAGAGAAAATTTTATTTGAATCATAGATGATAGGAATATTTCCCCTACTTGCTCAATGGATTGATAGCAACCAAAACTCCTAAAGTACTAGCACGCGGATGTCTCTGGTTAAAACTAATTAGAGAGGCCTCTCTAATTAGATTTACCGTTTGCTAAACCAGAATGTCTGTTATAAGACACGTGACCCACTAAATGGAAACAATGCACGTTTGTCTGGGAAATTGGAAGCTATTTTCATGAGTACAATTTATGGCATAGCCAAAGTACGTAAAAACTAATTTTAGGATAGGATTTTTATGCTTTTACCAATAAATTACACACTAGACACTACATTTTTGTCGAGTTCCATTTTAAACTACCTTTTGAAGTGTTTTTTCTCATTAAACTAGATACTGTTGGCAATTATTGCACTTTTTAAACCGAGCGACCCACGTAGACATAAGAGGTGGTTAGTCATTGACATGCGGCCACCCAGTTCAAAGTGCAACTCCTATATACAAATTCTTTGGACGTAATAGTTTGTCGTTGACATGGCCATACAACGAGAATCCACATCCTAACATATATTAAGCATACCTAGTTCAAGTGAAAAAGGACCTTCTTATATGATAAAAGTGAAATTTCGGTAATAATATGTGACCCAGAGTGCAAATTACTTTGCCCTTTACTCGTAGCAGCCAAAAATTACAAAAGCTGAATATAAAAAGCAAGAAAATCCTCAATTAATTCTAAAATTAAGTTATTCCAATTCAAAATGAGGCAGGCCAGATAAGCAGGCAATAAATGCAGCATTTGAATTTCATCCAAAAGCATTCGATTTTGTTATATATTTGTCGACAAATTTTTTCCCAAAAATTTGACAGATGTAATTACAGTACATCAATTGAAGTGTAATTACACTGTAACTTGCATGTAATTACACTGTAACTATAGTGTAACTTGTATGTAACTTTCAAAAATCTCTCCGTAACATGTTATTTCGGTAAAATGGAGGTCGTGGGAACAAATTCTTTCACATATGTGTGTTTTCCTCACCAAAACAAATCTAGTAATAGATCTAACGATTCAAAATTATGTGAAACTTACATATAAGTTACACTGTAGTTACATGCAAGTTACAGTGTAATTACATATAAGTTACAATGTAATTACACTATGATTGTACTATAATTACATCTGTCAAATTTTTTGGGAAAAATCTGTCGACAAATGTATAGTAGTCCCAAAGCATTACTATATCTCTTCCACCTGGCCGTCCTGTACAGACGGCTGGGCCCAACATCACGTACACCACACTTTGGCCCAGGAAGCAATCATCCGGCCCATTTCATGTTTACGCCTTCGCTGGGCCGGTTACGCGCTCTCCGTGTACCATGTGGCCCATCCGCCCATGTGGCAGAGAGACAAACACCGAAACAGACAGACACGAATCTCAACGCAGCAGCGCCACCAGCCTCCCGTCCTGCCTCCGACGCCGGCGCTGCGGCCGCCGCCGGTGACCCGCCCCTCGCCGCGGCCGGCTGCCACGACCGACCAGATGGCCGCCGCGCCGTCGAGGTGCCTCCTCGTCACCGGCCCGCCGGTAAGGAATCCCCATCCCGCAAACCCCAACCGCTAAACCCTTTCTCCTTCCTTCGTCAACCGCCTCACGGCCGCCGCCGCCGCCGCCGCTCTCGCAGGGCGTGGGGAAGACGACGCTGGTTACGCGTGTGTTCGAAACCCTCCGCGAATCCCACCCGCATCTCAACATTCGCGGCTTCTACACCCGTACTGCGCTGAGTTGCCCTTTCCAGAAGCTCCCCCGCGCGCTCGCTCGCGCTGTTTCGCGATCAGAAATCTCACCTGTTTTCGTGTTGTGTAGGCGAGGTGAGGGAGAGTGGGGAAAGGGTCGGGTTCGAGGTCGTCACGCTCGATGGGCGAACCGGGCCGCTCGCCTCCTCCAAGGTTTCCAGGTCGGGTTCATCTTGCTACCATGCTTGGATTATGATTCCCTTTCTGACATATATGAAGCGAGAGATTTTCATACACTGAAATCAAGTGCATCTGGCTGTTGTGACAAGCTAAAAGAATATGTGATAGAATGCTCGCAATTTCCTGTGCCACCACCACCTACTTGTGATGTGGTAGTTTGGACATTTTCGTTTTCAAAATCTGGAGTACTGTATTCCTGCATATGATCAAGTTTCAGGCACTTTAGCTGCAATCCTAGGTAGCTAACATCCATGTCCATGTTAAATAGTGCCGCCTTTTCTTACTTATGGATAAACTCGGTATAATCTAGTTACCTATATCTGTTGTATTTTTTTTACCTGCACACTTATGCAATGACAATGATGGTAGAATATCGCCCCACTGCTGGTATCCAGCTTATTAAGCTACTTATTCATGTCTCGGATCATGTGCAGCCTCATGTCCATCTGACATTTTCCCTTGTTTGCTGAACTTGGATCCGTTTGACTGACAAATTGTATACATAGCAAGGAAATGATCCAACTAGAAAAATGGATTAAAGTTACACGCTTCTCATCGCCACCGTAGTTGCAAAAAAAGTTAATGTCACTGGCCATCACCAGGAAAATTTGATATTACTCCTTCTGAAAGTTCCGATGCAAAATACTGATTTATAAGTACATGAAATTCCGCGGTTCCTTATTGTCCTCTCTAACATTCTGCTCTACTTATTATCTCAGAACTAAATTTGTAAGGTTTGACTTATGACCTTTGTTAAATACTTATATTTGAATTCACTGTCAATCCGATTTTTATGTGTGCTTACTGAATTCCTGTCCATGTCATCTATGTTTTTTTTTCCTGCAGCCGCGAGTCTGTTAGATGGCCTACTGTTGGGAGGTACAAAGTAGATATAGCTTCTCTGGAGTCTCTAGCATTGCCGGAGCTGCAGGTAAGCCATTCTGACTAAAGATGTATAAAATAAAGTAAGGGATGCACATTGTTTTAGCACATTCATGCGATACATGTAATATTAATTGTACAATGATCAGAATAGCTGGTTTAAAAATTATTTATCATGTGATCTGGAGTTAATAACTCTTTTTACACATCAGGTCAAGGACGACACTGATCTTTTCATTATTGATGAAGTGGGTAAAATGGAGCTGTTTAGTTCGGCATTCTTCCCTGCTGTAATGAGAGTTATTGAATCGAACATTCCAGTGCTAGCCACAATTCCTGTACCAAGATTGGGCCGAGACATTCCCGGAGGTACCATCACTTAATAATTAACATCTTGACAGAAGCTTCTAATTAATGATTTTACTAACTGTACATTATCTCCTACGAAGTACCATTTACATGGTGGTTTGCTCTAAAATACCAATTCAATTATAGGTGTATTATGAAGTTGCACATTTTTTTTAGACTCTACCTTATATCCAGCTATGCTATGTCAAACATCAAAAGAAGGATAACTCCAATATTCTTACAAGAACAACATTTTTGTGCCACAGCCTTCTTCAGATGTACACATGAGTCATTATTCTGATTTCCTGAACCCACACACTTGCAAAAATAAATAAATAAAGTATTGCTGACTAGATATTCTCCACATAAAATGCAGTTGCGAGGTTGAGGAATCATCCTGGAGCAGTTATTTACACCTTAAATACTGGTAATAGGGATGCCATGAGAGAAGGTGTCTACAATCATTTGAGCAGTCTGTTGCAGAAAAGGTGATTTGCTGCCCCCTGTGTGCTGCTTTTTGTATTTTTTATAATGCATAAAACTGCATTTTTCTTAATGCGAAAGAAGAGTGCTCCTTTAGTGACTGCCCCATAAACTTGTAGCCTTGTAACAGAATGTTTGGTCAAATAAGAAAGTATTGTAGTACCTCAATATTTTTTTCAAGTTCACCGACCTTGGAAAGGTGAGCAGACAGTCATATTGTTGTACTCACTGGATACATCTAAATATATAGCATTTGTTAGTTCTTCGACCATGTATTTAAATTCATTCAGTTAAATTTGTATCCTCAAGACAGCCCTTGCTTCCAAATTGTGATAATGCCTTTAGCATGCAGTGCATTTGCCACTAGTATCACACACTATACACAATTCATTTGCTACTAGGTCATTATTGCTGCACATTTTGTATCCATGATGGCTGTTAGTTTAGTTATGCATCCCCGGTGTGCACTGCATTGGTTATTAATATTTATATTTTTTTTCTCTTTAAACGATGACCAGGTAGCTTAGATGAGCTCATGTTGAATTGTAGAAATGCACAAAACATGACTAGATATAGAGACTTCAAGCAAATTCTTACCCCCCAAAAAAAACTTTTGGTTTCTTTTGGCCAGAGTATATGACTACTAAAATGGTAATGACGAATTGAGTGATAAATCATGTGGGATAGTTCAGTTCTAAATGCATCATATAGTTTCATGGGTCGAGGCATGCTCACTTTTTCGGCATGAATTGGATTTTGTGCTGGCAGATTATTAACCCCATTTTAAAAGCCACTGGTTATAATTCACTAACAAAATAAAACTGATTCTATATGCATATATATCTTCTCTGATCCTGAAGTGTAGTACAAGCAGACCCCAGGCAATGCATTACAAAACTCAAAAGAGAATAGAAGACTTGTTTTATATCTCAAAATCCCATCAGCGGCAGCTATGCAAATGATGTTACCTATTAAAAAAGAGAGAGTATAAAAATAGATTAGGCTTCTCAATCTCGTACTATGATCCATGTAAAAACAATTCATGGACAAAGATGGTCTCTTCTCTGCCATGCATCTAGCATTTTGGACCACTGTTGCCAAGCCACCACCTAATTCAGTAGGGCTTATCCTTCAAGCAAGCAGCAACTTCACATGACACGTTCCTGTGGGGGCACTTGATATGAATGATCACAGGAATTTTTACCCAAAGATGCACTAGCTTTTCATTGAGATGGGCACATAATTAAAGTTTAGTGCACTGATCATGACACCCCTTTACAACCCACTGAGCCCTAGTTCCCCTTAAAACCCTTCCAGAAAGACACCATAAAATGCCAACCCTCTGAGTTTTGGTTATAATTAGCAAATGGCAAGTGAATGAAGGACCATCTTAGTAGAGTTTTTGAGTTTTAACTATTGAAAGCTCCTTTACACTTGTTGACGATGTTTTTGAAGGCAGAAAGTGCAAGGCAATCTCTGAAGAGATACGGTGGTCTATTTTATCTGTAAATTCTGTGCACTACGTGTAATGTAATAATGTTGAGCTGGAAGAAGCAGAGAGGCACAGGGCCGAGTGTAACAGGTTTCTTCATTTGGAAATTTACGTCAATGGGTCTGAGTGGTCATTTGAGGGGAATAATAATAATTCTCAATTGAAGCTCATAAATAGTTGGCCGTTCTTGTGCATACAAATGTGCCTGGTCTGAAATGTTCACACTTCACACTGTTCTACTCTTGAGAAAATGTTTGTGAGTCAGACAGCCCAGCGATTACCCTATTTTCTCTTTGCTTTAGGCAGTGCGTGGAGGAACTGAATGGTATTGATTCGATGGGGAGCCCCACCATGTGATCTGTTCATCTAGGAGGGTCACAGTTTAACTTGTTTATCGGGCAGATATGATTTTTCTTCTGCTTTGCAAGTTTATTTTAGTAGTGAGGAATGATGGCTGTGCATGCATGCATGCACGCCATTTCATAAGCTCACAACTAAGTTTAGTTTAGCCGCAGAAAGAAGATTTACCTCCCTACGGAAGGTGCCATGTTTGCTCTGCAGGAATGCTGTTAGGATCATGTCCCGGAGAAGATCCAACATGAAGAAGCATGTCTCCTTCAAATTAAATAAGCTGTGCTTCAGTGTGCTGTTCATCTTACAGCATCAAGCCCCCACCTCTGGATCTGATCTCCATCTCCATAAGGTAAACTCTCCATTACTGCATGTTCCCTTGGTCTCCAATTCTGCAAGCCGGCCGTTTTATTATCCCTAGATTCAGTCGACATGGATGAAACACCGGAGACAAGGAGGAGAAAACATGGGTCCGTCCAGCCTAATAGCCTGTTTCAGTTGGCAGTTTGGTGAGACATGTAGAGAAAGAATTAAGAGGCAATAATACAGTGGCCAGTGCTGCATACAGATAATAATATGGACCATCAGATCTACATGATGTTTTGTAATATCATTGCTGGTAGCTAGTGGCAGCTAATTAACCTCCCAGTCCCATCTGTACTACACCTTGAACCCCAATTAAGTGTCGTAGCTTTGTTACTAGGTCAAGCTAGCTAGGCGTGCATGTGCATGCGGACGTCACCAACAACATTTTCTGATCAAGCGAGGAGAGATCCTCGCCATCAGATGTCGCCCTCACGCATGGGGTCGATTATCCCGCTGGTGCACGGCGCCTACCCTATCCACTCCTCCTTGAGAGCACTATGATGCTGTTTGGACTTTGGAAATTTTAAGAAGCAGCTAGTGAGTATCAACTTGTGAGAATCAGAAGAAAATGGATCTCCCTTCTTCTGCCTCCTTGTTTAATTTCTGGATTTAGAACTATCCACTCCTCCTTGAGAGCACTATGGTGCTGTTTGGACTTTGGAAAATTTTAAGAAGCAGCTAGTGAGTATCTAACTTGTGAGAATCAGAAGAAAATGGATCTCCCGTCTTCTGTCTCCTTGTTTAATTTCTGGATTTAGAATTTGAGCAAGAAGCTGAATTGTTTTAAAAGCTGGAAAATCTGAGAGTAGCTTAAGCTCCTCTTTTTTTTCGATAATGACTTAAGCTCCCCTAAACAGGGGCTATGTGTGTCTGCTCCTTGGGCAGTATCGTGTTCATGAGTTTGGGCATTTCTCTAGTGAAAAAATGTCTCGCCGATGATAGCCTTGTGTAGTGTAGGCGTATATATTGGGGTCATGGAGAAATTAAATAGATATTGTGTTTGCTTTTAACGTCTAATATATAAATTATGTAGTTCAATTCATCTTCAGTTTTTCTTGTAGGGATTCTTTCAGTCTATTCAGACACTGGTTATTGTAAAATTGTGGTACAACTCTGGGTGTCAACTGTCAAGTGATTCTCCTATGGATTATGTGATTAACTGAATATTTAAAGGGAGAAACATCTCATCCAATTCCCACATGATGCTGACCAGCGCAGGGGGAGATAAGAAAGATACAGATTGCATTGGCGCTGACTGCATCCCACGCCTTCTTCAGAACGGCCGGTGGCAGTTAACAGAATGGCGCCAAATGGAACGGCCTCGTGTGGTTAGGGAAAACGGAAAAGATCAAAGCGTGTGGTGCACCAACTAGAATCCTCGCGTACTTGAGCTGTCATCCCAGCTAAAATAACTCAGCAAAAGCTCTCCTCTTCCGTTACTGAAGCTGGCTTCTGTAGTAAGAGAATCTTCCATGGCTACATACAAGAAAAGCTGTCATTTTGATCTGCAGCCCCCACAAAAAACATAATCTTTTCTCTGATAGGAGGAATTATTATCGCTAAGCATTTCATGGCTTTCTCTTCTTCACCAGCATGTAGGCAAGGCCAGCTGGGTATGCATGCATTCTAGCTAGAATGCCAAGCCAAGAAGAGATTAAGGCATCTCTCCCGGCATCTGTTAAAAATTTGCAAGAGGTAAAGGCTAAAAAAGAGGAGGAGATCAGGGACAAGAGAAGTGGCAAGGAGAAGATGGCGATCAAGAGGGAATATTAAAGGCAAGGAGGGAGACCAAAAGGAGGGTGGTTGTGGGGAAAGAGAGGCAAAGGGAGAAGCTTTCGCTTTCCCGGCTGCTGCTTTCCTCCCTCTTCATGGGCTGTAACTCTTATACCACTACTACCTGCACATGAGCACAGGCTCATTGGCAAGAAGCTTGCAGCTCATTGCAGAGCATCGCAGTGCGGCGTCTCTTCTCTTCTTACCCCAGCGAGACCCCATTTCCACGGTGGGAGAAGCAACAGTTTCGCCGCTGATCGGCGGCGGCCGGCCGGTGGTTGCCGGGGAGCTGCATGCTAACTGCAGAGAGGAGGCACGAGAGGATCCTTGTACGTAGCTTCCTCTCCTCAGTTCTTCTTGCTTGATTGATCAGCTCCCTCTGTTCCGTCCGTTTAGTTCATGCGTTTGGTTCTGGGAGGAATGCGGTTGCTTCTGATCTGTTTGCACGTGGTGGGGTTCAACTGCTCATTATGTTTGACGTTTTTGGATCATCATTTGCTTCTGTTCATGTGCTCAACCGTCTTGATGACTGGATGGTTGCTTCGAAATGAATTGAATTCCAGAAACCATTTCTCAGAAGATTCTCCTCCAGTTCGTCTGATGTTTTTTCCCTCTATGTTTCTGTGGTTTCGGTCATGTTGATTACTGATACGAAATTCCACCTCACACATTGGAAATTTTGGGTTCTTGATCGGGGTATTCTTCGAAGGAATTCAAGCTTGCTGAATATGCATTGACCTGTTGAAATGAGCAAATGTCTTCATGAATTCTGTCTTGTGCGCTATTCCTTTTATTTGCAGGAAAAAAGTCGTAATGGTGATCATAAATTGTGTTCACTACAATATTTTGGTGTGGCTGATTTTCTGTAGAATCTGACATGATACCTCACATAATTTTACAGGATAGTAAGGTCTGTCTCGTTCGTCCTTCAGATATCCTAATATTGCCATCGCAGCGTACTGCTGGATCTCTCTGGCAACAAGTGCCACCATGCTGCAGTACCTGGACTTCTCTCATGCTAGCACCTCAAGGAAGTGGTCACACAAGAAGCAGGGCGAAGGTACGGTGATACACGGTGATTCATTTCTCTCTGTCCAACTTACACATGGTCTTTGCCTTAAGTTCTGAATCACCGAGTCACCAGGACAAGCCCCATCCTTAATGATGGTTGATGCTTAACGAGTTAACGTACACTTGAAATAAAAGAGTTCATTGAGACTTTCTATGTTGTTTTTCCAGCTATTCGGTAATTGAATTTGAAGCAAATTTATAACTGATCAAGGTGCCATCTCTGAATTTGTAGGATTTGAAGCCCCAAGGAATAGCATGGAGTTCACCCTGGAGGCTCCACAAAGCTATGGCGTCTTCCAAGAGGATGTCCCGGTGAGTCTTGTACATTTCCTCACTGTTCTGTAGTAAGAGAGTAATTCCTTTCATGTTTTGTCCCCTCATAAGCATCTAGTGAATTCTTCTGTTTCCAGAAAAGAACCTGTCTTTTCAGTGACTAACAGTTCATTTTCTGCACGAAGGAGCCAAAGTAGTTAGATTTCTCTTGACAGATGAGATGCCTACTTATGATTTCTGTACATCATAGTAACATTGCTGCTAGGTGTATCTGTACCCGAATGTTGCTGTATGAGAAGACATCATGAAACATCCATTAATAATGGTGCCTAACAGTAGACCCCCAGCTACTGTTGGGTACATAAGTTACTATTTGGCATCTAACCCCATGTGGATGAATTATTTCATCGTGAAAACAAAGTTGTATCTTTCATCAATAAATAAGGAGCTGTATAAACCAATGTTTAACTTTACATCCTGTGCAAGAGCTAATTAACTGGCAAGAACTTTTGCAGTGGCCTGATTAAGCTTCCTGTAACTTGTGCAGTACTCCTGCAACATGAGGCAACAATACCCAAAAGCTGGTCTCAACCACAGCTCATCCCCAATCAAGAGGATCATCCATGAGGACGTATCCTTCAGAACAAATGAAGTTCAGAAGAGACCAAGTGTCATTGCCAGGTTGATGGGCATGGACTCACCTCCAATGAGTACAACCGCCGGTGAGCTTGCCGCCGGCCACACGGAGGAGAAAAGGCAAGACATGATAACCTCCACAAGGCCAATGCCAAGAAGAGATCCTTCTGAAATGGTCTCAACCAAGCATGTCTCCTTCGTGCAACACAAGGGCTCCATGAAGCATTCGCCGAAGCAAGCTGAGGTCTGTGCCTACGACGACAGCATGGAGCTCTTTGGTCAGCTGAGCAAGGCGATCAGCAGCAGTGAATGGGCTAAACCGCAGCCGCGAGAGCACCCGCAGGAGGAGGAGCTGCAGAAGTTCAAGAAGGATTTCGAGGCGTGGCAGGCGAGCAGGATGTGGGAGCAGTCGAGAGCTCTGGAATTGGAGAGCCATCTCGACGACGATGACGTCAGGTGCACTGACATCGTGCCTTACAGGTTCCAGCACAGAGGGAAGGATAATGCCGGCAAGAAGCACACGCACTCCAATGGCGACGCACACTGGAGGAGGAGCAAGGAGAGCGGCACCGGCACCGGCACGTCGATCTCCGGCAGCCGGACGTTCTCCCTGACGAGCGCGGACGCCAGCTCGACGCGGCTGCCGCTGTCGAGATTCTACTACGAGGAGGAGAGGCTGCTGTCGCCGAAGAAGATAGTGATCCTGAAGCCCTGTCCCGAGATGAGCACCGACGACATCGAGGAGTCGTCGTTGGGGTCGCCGGAGATGGTGAAGAAGGAGAACAACATGGAGGCCTTCCTCGAGGAGGTGAAGAAGCGGCTCAAGGTCGAGCTCGAAGGGAGGATGGCTTCCGACGACAGGGCGGCGGACAGGTGGGCCGCCGGCGGCGACATTCCGGCTGACCCGAAGCAGATTGCTCGGAGCATCGCCAACCAGATCAGGGAGACCGTCACCAAGGACCTGCACTCGGCGTTGCTCCGGTCGGAGTCGACGCGGTCGTACCGCAGCGACATCCCGCTCAATGGCCAGAGCCAGATGGACTACATCTGCAGAGATGCCAGGAAGCACCTCTCCGACAGGCTGAAGAATGTGCTCCGACGAGAGCCGGAGACCGAGCCGCCGGCACTGTCTCACCGGAGAAGAACCGCCTCGGCGTCGTTCAACGAAGAGCCGAGGCCGAAGCCGAGGCATGAGGTGGCAAGGAAGGGCAAGATAAGGAGCAAGGAGGAGAAGAAGCACGCGATCGAGTTCGACGTCAGGTCTTTCAGACGTGGCCACCACAAGGCGTCACCAACTCCGGCGATCGACTCCGACCCGGTATCGCCGAGGAACCTCATCAGGTCGTTCTCGGCGCCGGTGTCGGGGACCACTTTCGTGAAGCTTCTCTCGGAGGAGCCGCGGGTGCTGACCGGAGCACGGCTGCAGCGCAAGCAGGAAGGCTACGGGAGCAGGCCGCCACCGCCATCGTCGGAGGAGGAGAGGAAGGGGAGGAAGGACACGTTCAACATCAAGGGCAGGGTGTCCAACCTGAGGCAGAATCTGGGGCTGAGAGCGAAGCTGTTCGGCAAGAAGCTCCACTCCGCCGACGAGTCGCCATTCCCCGATGATCTCCCTCCGATCGGAACGCTGGTCACCGCCCCTTCCGTCCTCATCCACCCCGGCGTCCTCCAGGTGAGGCAAATCTGAATTCTTTGAGCACATTCTGCTTCAAGATTCTGTTTTGTGCGTCAGCTCAATCTGACATGAGAATGCTGTTTGTTTTGTGGCAGGAGAACTCCACCGAGGTGCCGCCGAGCCCGGCGTCGTGGTGCAGTAGCCCTCCTGATGAGATGAGCAGGGGAGGTTACCCGAGCCCTGTCTCGCCATTGGAGGCTTCGTTCAGCGAGCACCGATCTCCCTTGAAGATGGCGGCTAGGGACATGAGTTCGAGTGCTTCTGGTAAGTAGCAACTGCAGCTTTGCTCTCTGAATTTGCTTGCAGCCATCAGGCATGGCACTTGCAATGTTGATCTGATGTTTCTGACCAAATAAATTTTCTCAGAACCAGAGCATCCATCGTCGGAGCAAGCTCAAACCGATCAAGAACTCGCAGAAACAAGTCCAATCCAGGACGACGACGACGACGACACAGACGAGATAGATAACCCCATCAAAGCTTACATCAGAGCAATTCTTGTCATCGCCGGTCTGTACGGACAGAGACGAAGCTCTGACCAACTCTTCTCAGACCGCGAGGTGAAACCGATCCCCGCGTGGGTGTTCGAGGAAGTCGAGTCGTCGTCGTCCTCCTCAGCCCCGGCCACCACCGACTGCGACGCTGCGGCCACCGGCGTCGACCACCGCCTCCTCTTCGACCTGATCAACGAGTCGCTGCCGCGGGTCGTCCAGTCGTCGACGACGCTGTGCGCGTTCAGCAGGTGGTACGGCGCGGCGCCGAGGAGATCCCCCGGCGGCAAGAGGCTACTGGACGGGCTGTGGAACACCGTGCAGGCGTGGCTGGCGCCACCGCCGCCGACGGACTCGCCCAACTCCGTGGACGAGCTGATCGGCCGCGACATGAGCATGTCGCCGTGGAACGGCCCGTTCCGCGAGGACGTCGGCGCGGCCGGCGCAGAGATGGAGGCGGAGATACTGGACGAGCTCGTCGACGAGACGCTCTGGGACGTGCTGCTCAACGTCGGCGACTGATTGACTGACTGATCGGTCTCGTGGATCAACTCCTTGAGTATACCTGTACATTTTGGGGCGTGTTTTTTTTTTTCGTTTTGTTTAACTCTGCTTTTCAGAGTGCTTGCTGGGTTTGTGGCAAGGTGGTGTTGGTGAGTGCAAAATGTCCGTAAGCTTTGTGTGTTGAAGGATACTGAATTTGTCATCACAAATGCATAAGGAAGCTTAAAAAGGAGTGAAGAAAAAATAAATCGACTGTAGTTGCATATGCAGCTTCATTTGCATCCGGCAGAGAAGGTTCGTACTAGTTTACAAAAACAATGATTATTAAAAAATATCAAAATATATGAAATATATCACTATACAAATATGTAAGATTAAATTTGATATCTACATATATACAAGAAAAATAACAAATCAAATTGAAAATAGTTAACGTACCTTCGCAGTTATATTTCTTATTTTTTTTACAACTTTATAAAATGTTAAATTTGAATTTGTAGTGTGATATGTTTTATATTAATATACCTTATTATTTTTTAGAAGAAAATAATATTTATTTAGGTGATGTACGAGAAACAAGGGAATACTCTCTAAGGATAAAAATACTTTCCCAATACTACTCTTCATCTTGCCCACAACTCATCTGTTTCCCCTTCTGTTCTCGAGGGCAAAAGATACTGCCATGGATAATTGGACATGGGCCGAATTCTGGAGGCCGGCCGGCCCATTTACAATGAGAAGTCTGGCTTTCCGTTTAAGCCCACCGAGATATCTCTCCCGGCCCGTTCCGCTCAGGCGTTATTTAACGACTAGTGATCGTGCACGTGCAAGGCATGTATAAGCCAATATCAATTAAACCGGATATATCCTCTCCAACTAATATAAATCAAACTCATCATATTGCAAGAGAACATTTTTATTATGCACAAACCATATTAACAGTGGTAGTAAAAATATGATATAAATGTATGATGTTTATTTCAAAATTAAATTCCTTGTGGGTTTCATAATACATTAAGGGACTATATGTCAGCTATTGTAAATAAACCTGTTCAAAACTTAAATGTTCATGATCTAAACAATATATACATCAAATCCCCGATACTTGTGTTTCTAACATGGTTTCTACCTTTTTACCCGGTGAGCCTATCAACCAGTCCAAATATCATTTTTCAGAGTTTTTGCCCCAACAGAGAGAAACAATATGAAAGTATATTTGCAATGACTACTGTTACATATTGGAAAGGAATCGATTGGCAATGCACATGCATATAGCTATATCAAAATCCTTTTTTGCACGGAGATATATCAAAATATTCATACTAAAACCAGCAACGAAAATAATTTATGTGAATTAAAACAAAAAAAAGTGGTTTAGATAGTTAATTGTGGATTGAAGAAATAAATATAAGGATGCAATGGCAACACATATCATTTTATATCTTCTATTATTCAGCATAGGAATGGTTTAAGATTTTTCAGGTTTTACAGATAGAAGCAACAACAAGATTCCAATATAAACACAGGAGGAATTCTCTTACTTGTTGGTGACATCTATAAACGGGAGGCACCAGGGTGTCAATTTAGCTTTCTAGCGTTTATGTCCTGCTTATAAAAATCATCCCATCATTGTTGTTTATTAGCTGTAGAAAAAAATATTATTGAATAGATACATAAATTATATCAAGAAAAAGTCTGCAGTCTGCACTACAAAACATAGAAACATGATGTAGTATATCGATTTTAACATATAGAATCAGTAATCACACTAATCTGCTCTACTTGCTGGGCCTCACAGCTCATAACGACAACACCGCACATTTCTTCGGAAGTCTAATCATTGCAAGCATGTCATATGCTCTCTGTAAATGTAATGTGCATGGATGTCATATCAGGTTGCTATTCAAAATTCATACAAAAAATATTTATACAGCTCCACTGTAAGTTTATGACTTACATATTTATGCTAACTGTATCCAAATGAGATTATAAATCATTTTCAGCTTTACCTCTAATAGTAGTAGAGGCAGACAAATTTATTGCTCCATATGCTTCCTTCTTCCACTACCTGTACTCTCAATTCTTTTGAAGCAGTGAGGGAGGGATACTTCTTTTTTCTAGCATGTTTTCTACTTAATTTGAGTCAACTTGAATTTTAGTTTCTACATAATGATGTTCCATACTTTATTTTTTGGGGAGGAGGAGAGGTGTGGTAAGCAGAACAGAACAGAATAAAACATGACCGAAGAGGGAAAAGATCAGCTATAGGAAAGCATATTACCAGCGACATAGTTGCAGGAGGCTGACTTGACCAAGCACCCATTGATCCAGCAATGCATGCAATAGAAAACAAAATTAAGTACTACTCAAATACAACTGACAACAACAAATCAGCTAGCTGCATATTATATTTTCTAGCTCTTCGGCTCCTGACATTATGTATGAAATGCTTGAGCCCTTGCGCAGAATAAAGCTTACATTTTGCATAGCAGAAAGGCATGATTCTTTGCCTCAGTTATTTTTTCACATCATGATTAGTGGCAATCAATATTAAACAGTAAAGGAAAATATTCACATTGTTCACAGTGACAAATACAGTATCAAGTTTGAAAGAAATACAAAGAAATCACCTAGAGAAAACTCACATACTTACATAAGCAACCTATACCACTAATGAAAACATCCAATAACACTTAGAGCAAAACGTTGGTTATAATTAGCAGTTATTCAGTCAGATTGTCCCAATATTTCTGGATTGGTCTTCAGATGAAAAATCACCTTTTACTCCTAATGTAGCAACTTGACTGCAGCTTCTCCATACATTTCACCATCTCTACAACTTGACTGCCTGGTGATGTTTGACAGCTTCCAACTCTTGGAAGTGTGATATATTTTATATTAATATACCTTATTATTTTTTAGAAGAAAATAATATTTATTTAGGTGATGTACAAGAAACAAGGGAATACTCTCTAAGGATAAAAATACTTTCCCAATACTACTCTTCATCTTGCCCACAACTCATCTGTTTCCCCTTCTGTTCTCGAGGGCAAAAGATACTGCCATGGATAATTGGACATGGGCCGAATTCTGGAGGCCGGCCGGCCCATTTACAATGAGAAGTCTGGCTTTCCGTTTAAGCCCACCGAGATATCTCTCCCGGCCCGTTCCGCTCAGGCGTTTTTTAACGAAATTTGTATCTGTTTAGAATAGAAATCGTGTGTCAATACAAGATAGCAGTCGTAGCCGATTTTGAGTGTGTTTCTCTCCGGAAGCCTTCTGTTATCAGAGTTTGTTTCGGAATACAAATCGCTAGTTTTTCTCCCGAGACGAAACTAACCGTGTCTCTCTCCTCTCTCCCTCTTCGTCGACGCCTCCACTAATGCAAGCCCTAAACCTCGCAAATTACCCCTAATTTTTTTTAACCTAATCGATGCGGAAACCGCGAATTAGTTTTTGCACCTGATCGATGCGGAAACCGACGCCGTACGTCTCCCTCCATGACGTCGTCGCCTTCGATTTCGTCGACGGCGACGTCCCCTTCGACGACCTCGTCGACGGCGAGGGGCTGTGCTGCCCCGACGACCCGTTTGAGGAGGTCATGAGATGCCTCTCGGCGGTGGACGACCCTTTCTTGGCGGCGTTCAAGCTTGATTGCTCGCCGCCGACGCCCGCGGCCGACGCCGACGTGGACTCCAGGAGCGAGGAGCACATGCACGCCGACGTTGGCGGCGGGCTGGACTTGCAGAGAGCAGTAGGCGGCGGCGATGAGAAGGCGGGCACGCCGAGCACCGTCGACGACGTTCCGTGGCTCCAAGCTTCGGCTGTGGCGAGGAAGCCGCGCCGCGCACCCGCCGCCGTACGCAAGAGGGTCTGGTCACTGGTATCCCCCCAGCTGGCCACCGCCGCCGCCGCCGCCGTCGACAACAGCCGCGACGAAGTTTCCAGCGGCGGCGGCGGCGGAGGAGAAGGAGGAGAACACTGCTCGCGCCCCGCCAAGCGGCGGCGCAAATGCGGCGAGGAGAAGAGGTGCGGCCACTGCCAGACGACGGAGACGCCGCAGTGGCGGGTGGGGCCGGACGGGCCGAGCACGCTGTGCAACGCGTGCGGCATCCGGTACAGGATTGACCACCTGCTGCCGGAGTACCGGCCGTCGACGAGCCCCGGCTTCGGGAGCGACGGGTACTCCAACCGCCACAGGAAGGTGGTGAAGCTCAGGGAGAAGAAGAGGAAGAAGGCCATGCTGGCCGCCACCGCAACGGCGCTAACTTCTGGGCCTGTGTGAAACTGTGCATACATCTGGCTAGTTGTGAATTGTTTTTCTAGAGAGAGTTTTTTTTTACCAGCCTTTATATCCAACCACTCATAACCTTAAGTTACTATTCAGTTCACTGTAATTACCGAGTTACATGCCCTTTCGCAGTTGTTGTGAGTTGTGTGACATGCTGTTATAGCGAGGAGATGACAGTCGATTAATTTGCATTGGTTCTGATTTTACAAATCAATGGAGTTTTATTCACTTGTCCCCTCTTTCAAAAAGAATATTGGCCAAAATAGTATTATACTTATTTCCTCCGTTCCAATATAAACCAATCTCGTACTAGAATGTGATACATTTTATCCTAAGATAAACTAACATCTGTACTAAAATGTGATACATCATAGTACAACGAATCTGAACATAGCTTCATACTAGGATGTGACAAAGTCTGGATATACTCTATATACTAATTCATTATACTATAATGTGTGACATGCTAGCACGAGGTTGGTTTATTTTAGTGGAGTACGTGTCTGGTACATGGTATGATATGACGGTACTAAACTTGGATATACCAGGTTGATATAAAGGCACAAGTGGGTACGAAACCTGATACATGTGTGAATGATGAACCTGCTACATATGTAACAGGGTGTCACGTCCGAAAATTCACTAGTAATTTCCAAACTAATTTGTGCATAAAATCCTCGTCCAGAAATCAGCCGAGGTACACAAACTGACAATTTAATATACAAATCCATCATAATAATAACGTTACATACTTACAAAAGAAAAGAAAACAGCAGCGGAATTAACGGTCTAGCAATGGCTTCAGCTCCACTCCCACAGGCAGCTCAACTAGGGTATAAGCCAAACGTCTTCTCCTTCTGGATCCTTTTTCTTTAAAAGAGGTTTGATGATTATTGCAAGGATGAGCATATGACATACTCAACAAGCCACACAGCAAATATGCAAGTGCACAATGATACCAAAGGATGGCATAATATAGGGTTCATTTGCAAAAGCAGCATTTAGCAAACATTTAAGAGTAATAAAACAGTAGAGTACTTTAATCATTAATTTTAATCAATACTGAACAACACGCCCATGCTGCTCAGGCCCAACCATTCTGAACAACCATACCCGGCTGTACAGATCTAACTCCAAACCAGGAGCTAAGCAAATTATTACCAGTTATAACATCCATAATTATTATGAGAGGTGTGAGACTAATCACGAAAAACATTACTCAACCCGCCCATAACCGCGGGCATGGCTATTCGAATAGTTTTACTCTGGCCAGAGGTGCACCACTGTACCCACAAGACACAGCCTCAACATCATGTCTACCATGCGTCGCGATACTGGAAAGTACCCGAATAGAGGCTATGACAATATCCCCTGCACAACACAACTCACCACAGCGCACCATTCCTGGATCATAATCACCCCCTCTATAAATATAACCAGAGGCATGGACTCCCAGCGACCCCCACGGACTTCTCGCCACTTCTCAGTCTGGCACCCCGTAATGAATCATGCTATACAAAAGGTAAAGCCGTTGCCCACGCTGGCTTGTGGTTGGCACGGTTAATGTTTCACAACAGTAGCTCGCGAACCGGTCCTTAATTGTCATGAGCACGACCTTCAAAACCATGTGCTCACAACCCACCATTGTCAAGTTTTAGTTATCAATTAATTATCATAACACGATTAACCATCGTGAGCTACCATTAAATATAACCATAAGTGATAGTGTAACATTAGTTATCCCAATTATGTGATAATGTTTCTAAGCATGGCTAAGCAATTATATATATATATATATATATATATATATATATATATATATATATATATATATATATATATATATATATATATAGCATTTAGCTGAACCAAACCAATATATAAGGTTCAAGCTAATCAATTTATTACCCAAGGTATCAAAGAATAGGGTATTCAATGCAAATTGGTCATAACAAAGGAATAGGTTCACACCACCCGGTGACATTCGAAAATAAATGCACAGTTAAAATAAATAGAGAATTTAAATATAGGATCAACATGCTCAAAGGATTGTGTTTAGAATCTGTGTGACCTGCCTTGCAATAATCGGTCTTCAATTAATCTTCCTGAACACTTCCGACGCACTCACGAACCTTCGCAACGACGGAAACGACAAGCTAACACGCAAAACGAAGAAAAAGACTAATAAAAACCTAATAAACAGTAAAAAACAAGCATAAACAGTACATGTGGATATTTTTAACATGTAGATCTCGATTTTAGATGAATTTAGCAACTTGAACCACTCGAATCCGAGTTATGATGATTTAGTTATGAATTTCCGAAGTTTAATCGATTTTCATCTAATAGAGAAAACTAAGAAAAAGGGATTAATGACGTCATCGCTGACATCATCAATGTCGACTCGACATCAGCGACGACCTCGCCGGCGCTAGAAGACTCGGCCGGACTTTTGGAGGGTACCTACGCGTAGAGGAGAACAACGCGATCTCACCGGTACTAACCACTGCGACGAACGACGACGGATGACGACCGGCGACGAGCTTCTATGGCGGCACGGTTCGGCTTGACGGCGGCGATGGCGCTTCGGTGGTCTTCGGCGGCTGCGAAGGGGCGGACGGGGTTCCTCTCCTCCGTGCGCACCCGACGGCGGCGACGGACGGCAGCGGCGACGGCTACCGCGGCAGCGCAACGCGGCCGGAGGATCGCCGGCAACGGCGGCGGCTCTACGGACGACGGGGGAGCTCGGGACTTGGGGCAAACGGAAGAGGACGACTAGGGGATGCTATTTATAGGCTTGGATTGAAGAGATCGGACTCCAACCGAGAGGATTTGAGCCGGAAAAACCGAGGGTTAGTTGGAGAGATAAACTCGAAAACGAATTCGATTCCGCGTTGATTTCTTCGGGATAAAGTCCGATTCTTGGGGGAAAAGATAGAGGAGGATAAGAGGAATATTTCCCCTCAACTAATTTTGCAAACGGAGCACGGGATGCGGCGGATTTGGTGGAGGAAGCGGCGTCGGCTAGAGCACAGGACGGCAGCTCGGGCTTCTGTCCAAGCTTGAAGATGAACAGTACACGGGGAGGCAAATTAGACTTTTCGTCTTGGGCTGGCTGAAAAACAAAGGAAAGAAAGAAAGAGAAGAGGGAGCTCGGCTAGGCCGACTTGGACTGCACAGCACGCGCGCGAGGGAGAGAGATGTTGGGCTGAAATCAGCCCAACGGCTTAGGAGAGGATTTAACAACTTTTTCCAATTAAAATAATCACTGAAATGGTCTTTGAATTGTTAAAAATACTTCCAATGCTCAAATAGTTTCAAGAAAAATCCTGAAAATACTTGGACACTCAAAGTACTTAAAAAAATTATAATCAGACCATTTAATGATTAATTCAATATGTGGATAATTACTGAAATGTTCTTTGTATGGTTAAAATTAGGAATTGAGCTCCGAAAAATCCGAGAATATTTCAGGGAGTATAATTAACCATGGAGAATTTAATAAAAATTAAATCCATCCATTATTTATATTTAGGAAATTTTATTTCCCACATTTAACTTCACTTGTAAATTAATGAACATTTAATATAAATTCTAATAATAATTTATTAAATAATTTATAAATCCTGAAACGAAAATCAGGATGTGACACAGGGCTAATACCTATCAGTACTACAATACTAGTTTTACCGGCGTCTTGTTGGCACATTTTTGTTGATTATGTTCCAACCATTTGGAGGAAATTCTAAGGGTGACGATAATGCGCGCTATGTATGGTCTGAATATACAGTGATGCCACGCCACCTGTGCACTCTAGTTGTACCCATCACCACCACCACCTTCCAACCCTAGCATGCGTGTGGGATAGGAAAAAAACAAAACAAAAAGCACAGTAATTGAAGTGGTGTGTTTCTCCAATACTATATGCTTGTCCAATCCGACGGGAATCAAAACATAAGAAAAAAGAGGATATGAAACCTTTGAAAGTGCCATAGGAAAAACAATGTAAAGTTTCTAAAGCGGTATATCTTGCTAGTTTTCGTAGAAAGGTGAAGCGTGTACGAATACAATTATATGGAAAGTTTTCTATGAATCAAAAAAGACGCATAGAAAAACTTTCATAGGGATTTGGATCCTATGAAAATTCTCTACCAATCATATGAATCAAAGGACCCTTTAGACTCATAGTGGCGCCCAAGAACTTAGGAATCGAACAGTAAGGCATAAAAAAGGCAACACCTTGGGTAGACTAAGACGGTTGAAGGGGACAATGACGTCTCGTACGATTTAGAGGATGGTGTAGGTCACGGGATCAATAAGAGTCACCATAGCTGCAGAGGTCAGTTGCCAATGTGCGGAAACCACGAGTGATGAGGGCGGCTATCTGGTGGTTCCACGAGAGCCATAACTCTAGGAATCCAAGGATGAGGAGCACCACTAGAGCATCAGCGAGGTCCTGCTCGGGGACATGGAAAGAGATGCTTGTTGGCACATTTCATATGCAAGATTCGAGGAGGCACCAAAAACCAATCCAAGTAGCAACACATGCATTTAGTGGAGCCGAAGGACATGTTGAACGAGAAAGCCATTAGTGACACCATGAAGGAGCACAACATGTTCCACGGCAGGGAACATATACCTCCGACCCAATAAGCTCCTTGCCCCTTAGCATCAAGTCTTGTTGGCGGTTGGAAAGGGAGCTGATGATGAATGTCGCACATGAAGGTGTAACGCGACACTAAACAAGTGTGTGGAGGAGTGGCGAGGTGTCTACAAGCTTGAGCGCTTGACAAGGCCATATAGAAAGAGCATGATGTTCCCAAACGACCAATCAGAGCAGCAATGTGCTAGTTTTGGTGAAGCCAAAGGATAGTCCAGCCGAGAAGACCATCAATAATACATGCGGATGCTATGGATATGATCTAGTTACCTAGCATTCCTGTTATTTTCAACCAAATGAAGTCATAGATGCTTACTTTCTTAAAAACAAAACTAGGCTTCAAATCTTCCTATCCACATATATAATATAGTTGTGTGCATGTGAAGGCCAAAAGAAATATTTGTGTTATCTAATTAAAACATAACCAGGTTTAGATAAAAGCGTGGTAAATCATTGTATCATTTAGCTATGAATTCATTTCACTTAAGTGATGGCAAGGTTATCGATCTATTGTCCGGCAAAGAGTATCAACTCTATCATAAATCCGATGCGAGATCTCACGAATTTAGAAAGTTAGTTTAGTTTCACGCGATTTTCCAGCTAAAGCTGAAACGAATTCAACCAAATTCGAGGAAAAAAAATAATTCCGAACAAATTTTGCTTTTCCTTTTTTATCTAAAGTTGCCCTATTCGAACAAATATGAAAAATTTGAGGGGGCAATTTGCAAGTTGGCACGCTCACCATCTCGACACCCGGAGGAGGAGGACCCCAACCACTGCCCTCGCAGACAGAGAGGAGAAGAGCGCCTCCTGCCTGCCGCTGCAGCCGCCCGCGACACGCTCCCCCCTCCCGAGATCTCCGCCGCTCGCCGCCGCAGATCCGCGCGGCGTGGACTCCGGCCCAGATCCCGGCGATGGCTGGGATGGAGGCCTTCGAGGCCTACTTCCGCCGCGCGGATTTGAACCAGGACGGCCGCATCAGCGGCCAGGAGGCCGTCGCCTTCTTCCAGGGCGCCAACCTGCCGCAGCAAGTCCTCGCCCAGGTTCGTCCCGACGACACCCCCCTCCTCCCTCGCCGCCGCCGCTGCTAATGGCCACTCTCCGATTGGGGAGAGAGTGCGCCCGATTTTAGGCGTGATCTCGGTGGTGGATGGTAGTAGCAGTAGTAGATCTCTCTCGCTCCCGCGAATTCGAATGAGTTGATGGTTGTTGGTGTCGGGACTTCGTGTGTTGCAGGTATGGATGCACGCCGACAAGAACAAGACCGGCTTCCTCGGCCGGCCGGAGTTCTTCAACGCGCTGCGCCTCGTCACCGTGGCGCAGAGCGGGCGTCAGCTCACGCCCGACATAGTGCAGTCGGCGCTGTATGGCCCTGCCGCTGCTAGAATTCCAGCTCCCAAGATAGCCGGCGGCGGGCAAGCTCCCCCGCAGATGGCTGCGGCGGGCGCTCCCAGGCCGCAGGTAAATGCCGCGGTGTCACCTGCTCCAGGGCAGGCTGGAGCTCCGCAGCCGCAGATGAATGTTGCTGGTGCTCCAAGGCCTCAGGGAAGTGGTATGATGCCGGGCTCTGCTCAAATTGGCGGTTCGCAGCAGGTGAACGCCGGAGCCGTGCCAAGACCCCAAGGGGTCAATTCTATGATGCCGGCTGCAAGTCAGGGTGGTGCTCTGCAGCCAACTCAGTTTGCAACGCAGAGGGGAATGCAATCACAGCCGCCTAGCATGGGGTTTAATCAACAGCCTCCTCCTTCGAGTACTGGTTTCATGAGGCCAACTCAGCCAGGAGCTCCAGCAGCATCACTTCAAGGCCAAGGACCCGGGATTAATCAAGTACCACTAGGAGGAGGCAGCATGGGAGCACCTGCTGGTTGGCGAGGAGGCAATGTTGGTTCCGTTGGAGGTCTCCCGCAAGCTACTCCAGGAGCAACTGCTCCACAACAAGCAACACCGGGTGGATTTGGTCTTACATTGTCTAGTACAATGGGCATGGCTCCCGGACAACAGGCACAAGGAACGCCTCCTTCGTCAATGCCACCACAAAGCAACAGTGCTGTATCAGCTCAAGATTCGAAAGCTTTGGTGCTGTCTGGAAATGGCTCTGCCAGTGGCTTAGGAGCAAGCAATGACATCTTCTCTGCTCTTACTCAGCCTAAGTCGAATGTATCCACACTTTCATTTCCGACGAGCATGGCTCCTAATTCATCCAGTTTTATGTCCACACCATCTGGCTCCCAGAACCTGTCGAATCTAGCTCAGTTTGGTTCTCAACAAGGTATTCCGACAGTGAGTTCTGGTGGCAGTCAACCTCAACAGACTCATCCCATCACAAAGCCGAGTGTTCCAGCACCAACTGTATCTGGTGTTTCTGCTGGAGTTTCTAATTCAGCTTCTCAATGGCCAAAAGTTACTCAGTCTGACATCCAGAAGTACACTAAAGTCTTTGCGGATGTTGATAGGGACAGAGATGGCAAAATAACTGGCGCGGAAGCTCGCACCCTGTTCCTCAGTTGGAGACTTCCAAGAGGTGGGATCTCATGACTAGCATTTAATTCTTCTAACTCCTAAGTATGCAAATGCTTGTTTCTGTCTGTAAGATACTCTAATTCCTTTCTTTTGTGAAGTTCTTGTACACATTTTCTGTTTTAGCTTATTGTTTTACGCTGATTTGTTATGTTTACTGCCATAATACTTGTGGTGTAGGTTATAATTTCGACTAATTCTATTTCTATGATAGTTTTCTTAAGATGCCAAACATATCCCCTTGGGATGGAGTTCTGTTGCAAACGTCTAATGCAAGTGATGTTCTTCTATAATTTTCAGAGATTCTGAAGCAAGTGTGGGACCTGTCTGACCAAGATAATGATGGCATGCTTTCTTTGAGAGAGTTTTGCATTGCTCTTTATTTGATGGAGAGGCACCGAGCTGGAACTCCTTTGCCTCCAGCACTTCCTGACTCTCTTAAATATGATGAGGTACTGCTGCGTGCAACAGGCTTGCCTTCAACAGCATACAACGGCCCGTCATGGCAACAAAATCAAGGTAAGTGATAATACTGGCTACCAGATTTCAATTATTATTTCATAACTTTGTCACAACATGATATCTTGTGTCTACCTCTCGTTGTGCTCTCTTCGCTCATAAGGTATTTTATGTTGGGCCAGGACTGCCACACAAGGGTCCTGGAGCAGCTGGGATGCCTGCTACTGGTGTGCGGCAACCTTTGCCACCACATTTGCAGGCACAGATGGATGGTGCTAACAGACCAGGGCAACCAAGACCTCACATGCCTGGTATGGATAACCATGCAGCACCTCAAGCAAATAAAGATGACGGAAGTGGAGCGAACTCAGCTGTGCAGGAGGATGCCCCTAAGAAGGTATTTGACCACTTCCTTAAATCCTGAACTGTCTGTACTGAACTGGTGATCTAAATATCAGTCCTGATCCACTTTGAGCAGGCTAATTCTTCAATGGTAAACAGCAGCTGATGCACATATATAATGGTTAAAGACATCTTATTATTCATTCAAGCAACCGCAACTCTATGATATATCCAAATAATACTTGCATACATAATTTAGCAATAGCTTTGTTGTAGCGGATGGTAGGGTTTGTTCACACGAGGAATCGTCCAATTGTTGAAGAAAGAAGCAAGCAATCTTTACTCTTATGAAAGTGGTGATTGGGGGTTATGGTGTGTTCGACACTCAATCCCCACTTAGATATTTTGTGATTGCAAACATGTAGGCATATGCATACTGTCTCAAAAGATTTTTACAAAGAAAAATGCTTATTTCCACACGAGTACACGCAGATGGTTGATCGGTATCATGTAGTCACATATACAATTTTTAGATTCCAGGATAGTTACTTATTTATTTATTTATTTATTTGCATTTATGCACTCTGAACCATTATGATCTGCTGCGACACATGGGAAAGATGCTAGTTTAACCATAGTAGCTAAATCAAGAGGCAAATACCACATATGATACAGAGTTATGTATGAACTTTCTGTTGGTAGTTGTTTATGAAAGAGTAAAGTGCATGGGCGGTCCCTAAACTTGTGTGGGTGTGTCAACTAGGTCCCTGAACTCTCAACATGAATTTTTGGGTCCCTCAATTTGTCTCGGGTGTCATGTAGGTCCAAATGGGTTCCAACCCACTCCGTGTGCTGACGTGGGATGACATAGTGGCACCTACATGTCAGTGGAACCCATATGTCAGCCACAACAAGAAAAAATTAAGAACATATTTTTTTCTCCTCTCTTTTTTCATTTATTTTTTCAAAATTAAAAACATCCTTTTCTTCTCTCTCTCCTCTCTTTTTAAATTTATTTTTTTCTATATGACTGACATGTGGATCCACTGACACGTAAGTGTCACTGTGACATGCCACATCATCTCATGGAGCGGGTTGGAGCCCGTTTGGACCTATATGACACTCATGACAAGTTTGGGGACCCAAAAAATTCATTTTGATAGTTTAGGGACCTAGATGATACATCCGTACAAGTTTAAGGACCGCCTGTGCACTTCACTCCTTATGAAATTATTTCATCCCCCACTAATGTCTTTATGAAATTCTGACTTTGTGCCATACAAGTTTCCATTCCATGCATTATTAAGTTGACTGATATATGCTGATACTCTGTTTCTTGGCACTCATCGATTGCAAGTTCAGGATAGCTTTTTTCTCTTGATTAAGTGATATTATTATCTTTTTGTACCTTCCATCCCAACTTCCTATAAATGACAGTTAGAGCCGTAAGTATTGCTTAATATATGTTATATTTTGCTCTTTTACGAACTTTGAAACAAATTGTCTTTTGTCTCTTTTGCATTGTGAAGGTTGAGGTGGAGAAGCAAGTCCTAGATTCCAGAGAGAAACTAGAATACTACCGTACAAAGATGCAAGATCTTGTAAGCACACTTGTAATCTCTTACTAGTTTTCATGTGCAAAATGATTTGGTTAATTAAAGTAATTCTGGCTTGTACATGTGCTGATTTTTTAAATGAACATAACTAGGTTGCTGAAAATTGATTTATTAATGTGATTTAGTTATCATTCCTTTATTTGTTTTGTCTTGTCGAAGGTTCTGTACAAAAGTCGGTGTGACAACAGGCTGAATGAAATCACAGAAAGGGCATCCTCTGATAAACGTGAGGTACAGAACATGCTTATTACTTTATCCCCTTTTGGGGCCGTTTGATCTTGCTTTTAAATATTTGGAAGCATGCAGGTGTTAGGAATCATTAATTTGTAACACACTGATGGGCGATTTTTATTTTAATTCAGGTGGAATCATTAGCTAAGAAGTATGAAGAGAAATACAAGCAAGTGGCAGAGTTAGCTTCCAAACTGGCAGTTGAAGAACATGCCTTCCGTGATGTTCAGGTTGCTCTGCGCTGCACCGCATAAAATTACCACTTGAATTTTTTGCTGCAATCTTCTTATCTCTTGTCTCTCTGTGTTGAATCAAAGTTGGTTGGTTTTTGTTCAGGAGAGGAAAGTTGAACTGCATGATGCATTAGTTAAAATGGTACAAGGTGGAAGTGTTGATGGTTTGCTTCAGGTATGTTCTAACTTTGTTAGGTACTTAGGTGTTGTCACCTATCTCTCTTGAATAACACTGTGCACTGTTCCACTGTTCCTAGGTTCGAGCTGATCGAATCCAATACCAATTAGAGGAGATGGAGAAAGCTTTTAGTGAACGGTGCAAGCACTTTGGACTGCAGTTCAAGCCATCTGCATCAGTTGAGCTTCCTTTTGGTACTACACTATCCAACTCCTGGCATGTTATCAGTAGAACAAAATACTGCCCTAGTGCAATTTCACTTCCTGCATTCTTCAGATACATAATCTGCGAGTTTGTCCTTGTTTGTTAGGTTGGGAACCTGGGAAGCAAGAGGGGGCAATTGAGTGGGATGAAGACTGGGACAAATTTGAGGATGAAGGTAAAATAACGCTTTCATGCCATCCTGCTTGATACTGTTATTGCTTAAGAATACTTGAAATGAATTGATTTCCTATTATATTGAAGTTGAAAACTTTGTTTATTCAATCCAAACCAGTAAGTAATTCTTGAATGATTTAAATGTCTGCCATTTATCTTCTCTGAGTTGTTGCTAATGGCAGCTATTTTGCATCTTAAATAATAAAGCATGACTGTGTTTATGACTATTATATAGTGTGTGGTACAACTTTTAAATGTAAATTATGTAGATAAAATTTACTCGGTATTCTTATCATTCTGTTGATTACCCACTGCTCATATTTAGGATAGCAGGGCAATCTGTTCAGTAACAAATGTTTCTCACTAGAACATTGATGGTATGGCAGTAAACATGTTTGGTAGTAAAGATAACACACATCTCAATCACATTAGCTTCATTCGTTCAGATTTAGTGTCTTCTACTTGGTCAACCTAATTCTCTCTTTTTTCAGTTTATCTGACTAAATCATATATTTTAACAGGGTTTGGTTTTGTAAAGGACAATGGTACAATTGTTGAAAACCCAGTTGCTTCTGAAAATGTGAAAGTGCCATCTCTCTGGAATGATATGGATGAGAGCCCTGTTGCATCTTCGAACGGTCACATCAAGGCTGAGAGACATTACAGAGCTGGTGATCATGCAGCTGAGAGTGACTTAGGGTATGATTTTGGTGAGGAATCTGTAAGGAGCCCCAGCAGTGCTGGAAGAAGTGCATCTGGAAGTCCATTTGTGTCTTCAAATTTTGCGATGCATGACTCATCTCCCAGCAAAAAGGAAACCTACAGGTACAAGTTTTCCCATTTTGGATAGTGCACAATTCTTATTCTATAATGTTTGACTTGCTACCTACATGATCACTAGAACTGAGATATGCCAGGCATAGTTTAATTGAACAGAATGGGCTGTATTTACAAATTTGAAACAAGTCAGCATGTTTCTCTGCAGTATAGTGCGGAGCCATCTGGTGCCACAACATGGGTCCACTTTCAGTATCCTATTCTAGTCCACTTGTAAATAGTTCATGTATTGCTCTGGCTATAAGCCTTCCATCTTGCGAGGCTGTGACAGTTTTCTCCAATGGATGGAAGCTTAGGGTTTCCTTAGTTCCATATGTTCCTAGCATGACTGCATGAGTCAAGATTATCCATAGGGTTTCTTTAGCAGCAGTCGATCATGATGGGTAGCTGGATACCATGTCGTTCACACATTAGATTTTCTGTACACCAGATTCCCTCACCTTATTTTAACAAAAGAAAATATAGTAGGAATGCATGATATTCAGCATTGTTTCGTACTTCCTAGAAATGCGTCTCCACGGTCTTTACACTGTATGAGTGCATGTGCTGACCGTTTGTGGAAAAGATTCTGTAGAATGCTCAATTGTGATCATACCTTAGATAGTATTGAACCATGTAATTTTAAATTTTGTCTTGTCACTTATTGTTATTTCTGTCACAGTGACCATGGTGGTTCTGAATCCATTTTTGGTGACAAATATGCCGATGAAACCTCCTGGAACTTTGATGACCAAGACACTGAATCTGTTTGGGGATCTAATGCAATGAACAACGTGAGTTACATAGCTTCTTTCCAGTTGTGGTTTCTGAGCATGTCAACCCCTTTTCTGTTTCTTATGAGCTGCATTGATACAGGAGTCTGACCATCATGGAAGTGCACACAACTCTTTCTTTGGGTCAGATGACTTCGGTGTAAATCCTGTTAGGGTGGGCTCTCCAAGTGGTGCCAGTACCTATGGAAAGAAGAAAAGTTCATTCTTTGATGATTCTGTTCCAAGTTCACCTGCATACACATCTGGATTCTCACCAAAATTCAGTGAAAGCCGCGATGATAGCTCCTCATATAACTTAGGAAGGTTCGATTCCTTCAGATCCCAGGAGAGCGGATTCTTCCCTCAGGAAAGTCGTTTTTCCAGGTTTGACTCCATAAACAACTCCAAAGGTGAGAATGTAACTGGATTCGATTCACCGAAAAGCTCAACAAATTTCGGTCGGTTTGATTCTTTTGATGATGCCGATCCATTTGGTTCAAGTGGACCCTTTAAAGCATCAGGTAGCAGGTCTCCCCCCAAATTCTGATACACCAGGGTACTATTTTTAGTGAATTCATTTGTCGATACAAGGCTGAATTCTTTTGAGGAAACTCCAACGCGTTGATGCAGTGGAACCTTTTTGAGTGGGAGGTTGGTCATTCACCTTGTGCGTTTTTCCTGTCCATTATACGGTACAAAGGGGACAGGTTTTGGTATATCCTTTGTATTTTGTAAAGTACACCGAGTTTGTTTTTGTTCATAGTTATCATATCTCTGGAACGGCTGCTGATCATCTGCTGTTTGCCATTTGTTTCTTGGTTTGTACCATACCAAATGTTACAGTTGGTTTACTAAACTCCCACCATTTTGTAAGAAACTGAGGACGATTTAGCATGTTTGCGATCTGTATGTGTAAAATCATTTTGGGATCAGCTTCGGCGTTTCTGTTGTGTCGAAGTCTGTTTTTTTCCCTGCTGTATTATCACGGCTTGTACACTGGAGTGGTTTCTTAGCATCATCCTAGTATCATTTAAGAGAGCTTGAACAGTTCTGCCTATGGTCAGTCGCAAGGTGGCATTACGACCGTGTTTAGTTCTAAATTTTTTCTTCAAACTTTCAACTTTTTCATCACATCAAAACTTTCCTACATACATAAACTTTCAACTTTTCCGTTACATTGTTCTAATTTCAACCAAACTTCTAATTTTAGTGTGAACTAAACACACCCCAAATCCAACAACAAGACATGCAATTCAAGAATTCAATCTGGCAAGTCCCAGATAAGAACAAACGCACAACAAGCTTTCGTATTTTCAGCACCTTGTATGAATTCTGCCGATTGCTGGCACAGATTTCCAACATTCTCAGCACCTAAATGAATTCCGGCAAACTTGCAACAAGCCCGAATAGTAAAAGACAACAGTACAGTGAAAATGCATTACTACTATATAGTCATAATTGACCAATGTATCTATCATGAATATAGCTCTCGCATCATATCCTGATGAAGTCCTGTTCTCAGCAGGCTAAATCAAAACAAGAAATTAAGATTAACATCTCAACATGACAGTTACAGTGTACCGGCTCATCAAAACACCGGCGAAAATGAATCACTTTTGGTCAAACTTTAATTCTACAAACGCACACATTATGGAATAAGTTTTTGCTCTTTTTTCCATTATTCAAAATTGCGGTGTGTAAATTCATTGGCCCAATGTAAAGCCAGCCCCATGGCCTTACGCAGTGGCCAGCTTCATCTCTTCTTGGTCCTCGAGATTTAGAACATGGAGCAGCTTTGGCCAAGACTCAGGGATTCCTCCAGGCAAATCAAATTCTAAAAGCTTCCCCTGTTGCCGGTAGAAACCCTCAACAGGTTGGCTCTGTAAAGTTCAGAAAAATGACAAGCGTAATTATACAACTCTACAAACTGTGAAAGCAAATCATTACAACAATACCCCTACTGAGCAAATCAACATGGTGCAGGATTTATATCTTCCAAGAACCACGTTAAATACCTAAAAGATAAGAGATAAGATGATCTTAAGACTATGCAGCCTTTTGTATATACAACCGTTGCCACAGTTTTGCACATCTACAACATTGCATTTAAATCTAACAAAAAGGAACCATTTTGAATAGAATTTGGAAGTAGGAACCATTTTGAACAAAAACTGGAAGTAGGAACCATTTTGAACAGAAATTAGAATTCATGAAAAGTAGGGCAACATACCATGTCATTATATATCTGAAGACGATTTCTCACGACCTCTTCGGTATCATCAGCTCTGGTGATAAGCTTTGACATACAGTTATTTGGGGGCAATAGTGGTGCCATGTAGATTGGTGGCAGCCCATTTTCACCCTTCACATCAATGCAGGCCAAATTGAAGTTCTTTCCACATTGGCCACAAATACGTCTGCCAAGGCACTTCTCAACTAGGACATCCTCTCTCAACTTTAGATTGACCACCATATCAATGTCAGTAACTCCATCAAGAATTTCCTGACAAAGGTGGGAATACATAAACCATTAGGGTGGACCATAATCAGGTGGAAGCATCAAAGAAGGATCTGATTACAGCATTTTGCTTAAAATATCATTATCACCAATTAATATATTGCATGCAATATTACAATAACGCAGAAAAACTGGGAAAGCTATTTAAATTCCAATAGAAAAAGTAACACCAGAAAAAAATGCTTCTTTTATAGGAGCAGACAGTGAAGTATCAACAGAAAAGTATCAACCAAGCTAAGCAGTAACTGCTAATGTGATCATGCCTCAACATATAGATTCTTTTAAATACTTGCAGCACACTTTTAACTGACATAAGAGTCCCACTGAATTATTTGAACTATATCATATCACACTACTAACTGCACAGTCAAGTCGAGGAGAAAACAATCAGAGAATAAAGATTAATCAAAACATCAAGATGATTAAGACTTGACTTCTGACATGCAAAAAATCCTCACCGCTTGTTTTACAGTACGTGGAAAACCATCCAGAATAAATCCCGATTCCCCCTGCTCTTCTCCTTTCTTAAGACGTTTAGATAACAGATTGATGATAATTTCATCAGAAACTAATTTCCCCTGATTAACAATTTCAGCAAGCTGCAAAAAGGATAAAAAGCTATATCATTTAGTACACCTGTCAGGATACAAAAGCAGGGAAAAAAAAAGGCAAAATGTGAACGTCACTATGTCAAGATATAAAAGCGAATAAGGGGCCCCTAGCTACATATCGATGAGACCATGAGATAGGCAGCCACATGCATGTTTGCCATCAATTAAAAATTAACGACACATTAATGATCAGCAAATGGCATCTTACAAAGAGGTTAGTAAACGGCTTAGCTGAACTAAGCAGAAGCATTTGCATTAAAATATCTCACTCTTTCAGTCCACTCACCAATGGAGGTAACAGTAGAAGTTTCTTTAATAAACAGTTGCACTTTTCCTTTCAGAATTCAGAGTAAATTTTACACGGCAACATGTACAATTGGCAGAAGTTTATTCTGCTCAGAAACTTCAAGTCAGCACCATGCTAGAAATTTAAGATATAACATCAATTAACTACATCCTTTCTACATCACTAACCAGACATAGCATCTTTCGGCGCCTGTACACGAATTTTGTAGTAATCTCCTAGCTGATTGAAGTTTCACTATCAAACTATGTGAATTTAATTTGCGAGTCAAATCAACACCACAGCCCTATAAAGCCCACAAAACCCAACATTTCCATCAAATTATGAGCTCAAATCTGCGATTCAAGCATATTGGATTGCATTATCGCACTGAAATGTTAAGCTCTAGCCTACTCAAGTTCAAGCAGTAAGGCAGTGTTCACAACAAATTTCACAACATCTCAGTGTTGAGAACTTGTCATCTCGATCTGCTAAAATGTAGTAAATCGTCCAACTCATAAACTGGATCCCACAAAATCAATTCCACCCAATTCAAAGCTTAAACTAAATTTTGCGTGAACCACTTGTAATGAATAAGACCACCTACAATTCAGACAGATCTCGACTGATCCTCGATCTATACGAGCCAAAAATTCCCCCATATCCCCAATTAAAAACTGATAACGCAGCTCACCGATCCACTCGAACGAAAAAACCAAATCCAGATCAGTGACTTGCAGGATGGTCTGATCCGGGCTGAAAAGCGATGGACGGAGGGCCTAACCTGCACAGATAGGGGGCCGGAGGAAGCGAGCTCGTCGCGGACGAGATCCCCGGTGGCGATGTGGGGCACGCCGAGGAGGCGGGAGAGGCGGCTGGCATAAGTCCCCTTGCCCACGCCGGGGCACCCGAGGAACACCCACTGCACGTTCCTCTCCTCCGCCACCCGCTGCCTCGCCCTCCCCGCCGCCGCCGCGAACGGGAACGCCGCGGCCGCAGGCGTCTGCTCCGGCGCCACCGCCGTGGACATGCGCCTCCTCGCCGCCGCCGCCGCCGCCGCCGCGCCACCGGAGGCGGACGCCCGCAGGAGTCGCTGCACGGCCGCCATGGCAGTGGATGCGGGGTTTTAGGGTTTGGTCTCCCTGACTGTTTCTCCTATTTGTAGGAGCTCCCAGATGCGACGACGACGACGACGACGCCGGCGGCTTGGAGAAGAAGGCGCCCGAGGCGAGGTGAGGCGTGGACCCGGTCCATACTGAACCCAATCCCGGTCCCACCTGTCTGTGTGCAACTTCCTGTGGAACGGGTTCACGCTGAGCCGGCTCGTGGCGATGCGGACGCCGGGGCCCACGACTCGCCGTACGGTGCGTGGTCCCACACGTCAGTCACCGTGGGGGTCCGACCGATCCGCATCTCTCGTGCTCGTTCCGAAGCGGGTGCGGGGGAATATTCCACCGCTCGGTGGACCACGCTTTCTTTGGGTTCACGTGGGCGCGTGGCCTTTGCGTCTAGTGCACACTCCGCCTTGCCGGTCCACACGCCGCTGCGGAGTCCGAAGCGAAAGCCCACCAAAAAGAGTAAGGCCCACGCAACGAAGGCCCAACCCTGTGGCCGCAATAGCAATCCTTCTCGAGCACGGCCAGCTCTCGTTTAGTACCACCTCGACAAATCGACGCGATGGGGGTGGGAGCGCTTGCTATATAATAGGCTGGTGGTGCCTCGTTGCAACATACTTACCTGGACGGGGTCGACGGCCGATCAAGAAGGGCCGTGGCCTAGATCAATGGCTCACATTGCACTTGGTGAGCGCGTTGGTTTACCATCTCCCCAAGTGGGAGAGTGGACGTCATAATTTGTGATAGAGGGGGTACGCGTTCGCGCGGCCCCTGTCAATTCCCTTAATTTAAATTTTGGTCCGTGTTTATTACGAACAATCCCTTGTTCACTCTATGAAGGTTAAATTATGTTGGACCTATTTGTTTACGAATAGGTCCATAACAAACCTTTGATGACTTTGGTGCATTTTGCATTGAGGTTGTTTTCGAGTTAAAATGAAGCCCGGCCCATTTTAACAAGAAATGCTTTAGCGTTAAGGGCCAGTCTTCAGCCCCCTCCAATACATACACGCACAACGCCGGGCTTCAGCACGTGTACGCATCATATGCAAGTCAGCAAGTGACACCGGGCAGCATCAATCGCTAGACAACACTTCAACCCAACGGGGGGTAAAAACACATACCCCATCGTGTGTGGTAAAACATCATCTCAGGTAGTAATAATTATTACTTCCGTTTTAAAATATTTGACACCACAACTATTTGTCTTATTAAACAAAATTATGAAACATGTAAAACTATGTAAAACTATATATGTATGTGAAAGTATATTTAACAATGAACGAAATGATATAAAAAAATAAGTAATTATTTAATTTTTGCTTAAAAAATTAACGGTGCAGTATTAATAGACTAGCTGTTAACTGTTGAGCACAATTTGCATCACCTTCTCAAGTAGTAGTATAATCTTAGAACAAGCAGAATGGGAGGATGGATGGATGGTGGATGCACAAAACGATCGAACTTAACACCACAAAAGCCAAAGTTCTCCAAGAGAAAACCACGCATAAGCCACACACTTTTATTCATTCATAGGGCAGCTAGGATCCGATCGATCGACACGATGACACATGCGCGAGGTGGCGGCACAAGCTGCTGCGCTAGCTGCTGGTTCATCGATCAGGGGCAGGGCTTGGTGCACATGCAGCGGCGGCGGACGCCGTGGCAGTAGCCGTCGGGGAAGCCCTCCGTGTTGCATACGCTGGCGCAGTTCGCCTTGCGGGCGCACGGGCCCTTGAACCGGTGGCTCTGCGACTCGCACGTCCGAGCCTCCGCCACCATCACCGGCCCGCCCATCTCACCTGCAATCGACCCAACCACGATCAAAAATGGTACTGAACTCTCACCTGAAAACCCAAGCCATAGGAGCAATCAAACGTACCAGTGGCTGCAAGCAGCAGCACCATGAGAAGCATGGCCGAGAACACCTTGCGTGAAGCCTCCATTTCTTCTTTCCCTTGGAACTAACCGTCAGATGGATCGATGGTGAGTCGACTGGAGCGTGTGACCCTCTCTTATATAGGCTCAAGAACACACTACTTTTTTTGTGGACAGAGGAATGGAAGAAGTGAAAGAAAGCATTTTGGAAAGCAGCTGCAAAGCACTGTGAGCATGTTCCACGTGGGGTCCATTTGGATTACATGCAAACATGCAAGAGTCGACAGTGCGGTTAGCAAGGTAAGTACGTGTAAAGACGATGGATGGATGGATCGATCCCCAGCTGCTTTATCACCGTATGTTGCTAAATGCTAACGTTCATCACGAGGAGTGTCTGTCTGTATCTAGCATCGAGTGTTCCAGATCGAGTTACAATGAGCTAACACGTCAGGTATGCTTCGCTTACTATGCTGTCTTGTCTGTACTGATGAATATGGAAAAACTAGCTTTTAATTTCCGGAAGAATTAATTATGCCGGCCAGGATAAAAGTCACAAAAATTATCTAAGTTAGCGGCGACATCTTCTTTATACATGCACTGGAAGATTTATTGAGATAACATGCGTATCTTGTGCTTTAATTAGTTGATGCTTTAATATAAAAAATGTTGCTGTTAACAAAGTTTACTCCCTCCATCTCATAATATATGAACATGGGATTGGGTGTGGATAAGCAGTATATGTAAAGCAGCATAAAAAGAACATGTTATTAGTGTCGGCGAATGCAATTTGTCCAAAAGTTACTACGGTGCTGAGATCCAAAGCACGATGAAGAATATGTGCGTGACTCAAATTGGAACCCCGAAAGCAAACGAAAGTGGAAATCGCAGATTTAAATAACGTATAAACCGGTGATCACCGGCGATTTCCATGTCAACTTTCAGAAACCGTCAGGCCCATTGATTTGATCCCTCTTCACTTATTTGTCCTGTCTTTCCACTGTCTTCTGCCTTCTGTTCACATCTCACATGCATGGCTTGTTCATCTTGAAACGGGATGAAATCTCACAGTTGAAGAGAACATAAGTTTTTTTTTCAACACTACTGCTTGATAAAATGGTATTAGTATCAATGATCAACATCGTGTCAGTGCGATCTGTCTAAAACGGATTTGGCCGCTCACCCACTCGGCCACTCCAGTGCTCAGATTCGATATGTCTAAAGCTCCAAGGACGTGCCATGTGTCACGTCGTGACTCACATTGGATTCACAAAGCGAAACCATGTTTAAACCGGTCTTACGCCGATATGATCATCCAGTAACCTTAAAGCGTTTAAAGGCCTATTTCGCAGGGCTTCAGCTTCAGAAGAGATATAGCTATAACCTGAAGTGATCTGAAATATGATGCATTGATGCAGAGCAGTGGATCGAGATCAGAACGATCCACAACTGCACTCTAAAGTTAATTTTCTTCTCCCTCTCCTTTTCTTTTTTTCATGTGTTAATTTTCTTCTCCCTTTTTCTTTTTTTCATGTGAGATATAGCAAAATCGTTTTTTCATGAAATAAGTTCATCTGAGGTCCCTTAACTTGTTAACGAATCTAATTTTCGTCCTTCAACCGGAAAACCAGATATAACGGATCCCTCAACTATCAAAACCAGTGCAGATTAGATCCCTCGGCTGTTTTGAGGGCGGTTTTTGCTGACGTGGCGCTTACGTGGCTAATTTGACTCAGTCTTTATCCGACGTGGCAATGGCGTGGCGCTTACGTGGCAACTCGATCTGGAAAAATAATAAACCCCGTGAGACCCACATGTCAGTTTCACACAAATTAATAAAAAATGGTGGGACCCATGTGGTCCCCACATGTCATTCTCACCCCTCTTCTTCTTCCTCCTCTCTCCCCATTTCCCCTCTCTTCATCTCTCTCTCCTCTCTCCGGACACGATCGAGAGTCAGCGGTGCGCGGCGGCCAGCGGGAGAGGAGGGAGTGGCGCGCAGCCGCGGAGGCACGTCTCCAGCGGTTGTGGGCGGAAGAGGAAGGGGCAGCGGGAGGTGGCGGGAGGCGGCTTTGTCCTGAAGTACTAAGCAGGAGCAGAGGACACGACATGTCAGAGATCCATGCGAGCGTGGAGGAGAGGAGAGGGGGGGGGGGGGAGAAGGTGTGCATGCTTACGTCGCTGTCGAGGGCTACGGCGGCGGTGGCGCGGTGCCCTGGTCGGACGGCTTGATGGCGAGCAGCGTGTCGAGGAGGTCGAGCGCTGGCGGCGAGAAGTCCCTGAATGTTTTGGCGATCTTCCGCCGGTACGGCCGCTACGGCTTGAGTAGCGTCATGTCCGGCAGCTTCGCCTTCGCCCAATACTATTCCGACGGCGACCCGCACAGCTTGAAGATCTTCTGCAGTTGCTCGATCTGCGTCGATCAGCAATGGCAAATCAGATGCCGATCCATTTCATCCACGCATAATGATATCATGATACATAGATGGAGAGTTGAGAGGTTATACTACCTCCATATTTTAATGTATAACGCCGTTGACTTTTTATCCTATGTTTGACCATTCGACTTATTAAAAAAATTCATGTAATTATCATTTATTTTATTATGACTTAATTTGTCATCAAATGTTATTTAAGGATGACATAAATATTTTCATATTTGCACAAAAATTTTGAATAAAACGAATGGTCAAACGTTGGTCGAAAAGTCAACGACGTACTCGCTCCGTATTTTAATGTATGATACCGTTGACTTTTCGACCAACATTTGACCATTCGTTTTATTCAAAAATTTTATACAAATATGAAAATATTTATGTCATGCTTAAAAGAATATGTGATGACAAATCAAGTCATAATAAAATAAATAATAATTTACATATTTTTTTAATAAGACGAATGATCAAACGTTGGACAAAAAGTTAACGGCGTCATATATTAAAATATAGATGTAGTATTTATTTACCTTGGTTTGGCTGGGCAAGATGGGCTTGCCGGCGAGAAGCTCGGCGAGGATGCAGGCATGCAGCTGGTGCTCCAGAGGTCAACGACGACGCCGTACTCGGACGCGTCGAGGAGGAGCTCCGGTGGGTGGTACCAGAGCGTGACGACGCGGCTGGTGAGCGGCTGCGGCCTGGCGGCGTCGAAGAAGGTGGCGATGTCGAAATTGGCGATCTTGAGCATGCCCGTCGCCGTCGATGAGCGGGTTGGCGCCCTTGATGTCCCGATGCAGCACGCCCTGTTCATGGCAGTTGCGGAGCCCGACGAAGATCTGCGCCCTGAAGCACTTGACCTGCGGCTCCGTGAAGTGCAGCCCCGGCGTGGCGGCGAGGTCGGTGAGGTTGTGGTCCATGTACTCGAAGACGAGGTAGAAGGGTGAGAATGACATGCGGGGCCCACGTGGGCCCCACCATTTTTATTAATTTCTGTGAAACTGATATGTGGGTCCTATGGGGTTTATTATTTTTCTTGATTGAATTGCCACGTAATCGCCACGTCAAGACCGAGTCAAATTAGCCACGTAAGCACCACGTCAGCTAAAACCGCTCTCAAAACCGCTGAGGGACCTAATCTGCACCTTCAACTTTTGATAGTTGAAGGACCTGTTGTGTCTGGTTTTTCGGTTGAGGGAAGAAAATCGGATTCGTTGACAAGTTAAGGGACCTTAGATGAACTTATTCCTTTTTTCATCAACTCGACCCAGCAAAGAAAACTCGTCGGTTCCGGCTGAAGCGTGAGTCCCAATTCCAATGGGCCGAGGAGCGGAAGACCCACACATACATGAAGCCCAACTCAACCATATGCATGCAGTTGATAGTCATCTCGAAACGAAAATTGAGGGTGCATTTAATTATTCGTCACTTTTAAAATGTGATAATTAAGAATTTGTCATCCACAGTGTATGATATGTGAACCCTCATATATCTATTACATGTGTATCTAGTGGCAATTTTTTAATTATCACATGTGAGTGACAAATAGTTAGTTAAATATCTCAAAATTGTGACCAACATCACATGGCACGTACGCTTCTTGACGAACACAGCGGTTTGGTCTTGGTCTTGCCTCTGATTGTCGCATCAAAAGCTTGTCACGATGTTACAGCTTTCAACTTCTCCTATGCTCTCGCTGACCTTGCAAAATTCACGAAATTTCAACAGAATTGCGACGCGGTACGAAAACCGATCGACTGGCTGGTGGCCGGATACCAGCGTCGCTACCACGAAAGCGAGAGCCCCAGTAGTGTGTCGTCCAATGCGATATTGCGATGCATAAACAGAGGCAACTTCTTGTCCTTGACTCCTTGTGGAGATATTCTTTTGCAGGGCTCGATCTGCACTTGGGTCGTCTACTCGTCTCCACAAACTTGCGTCGTTCTCTCAGAGCTTTCCCTGCATCGATCGATCGCCATAAGTTATAGAGGTTGTTCAGTTTAATTTAGGGGTTATATCTTACTAAAATTTGATAGTGTTTGTATGGGAAGAAACTTCTATAAATACTAAATTTTGATAGAGTGGTAATGACAAAGTATGTTCAGTTTGTTACCCTATTAAAATTTAAGAAAACATAAAATGAACCGTTGGAAGTGATAGCAAAATGAACCGAGTCTTTTTTTTTTTCGGTTCTTGGTTTTCATTGTTTGGCATGTTTGACAGGGAAGTTGGAAACATTCGTTCTGGTTTCCAGGAATGCCGCATTGATTATTCTTTAGTCGTTCCGTGTGAAAAAAATGTTGGAGAATTTTCACTCTTACTCGCTCGTTGATGACGAATTGACAATTCGTACGTAGGTGCTTGCTTTGTGAGTGACGGAGAGTGTATAACGTGTTTAGCTCACGCAATTGGTGAGGTGTTCCATGGTGGTCGCCATCATCGTGTAAAGCGCATTACAGGTGCAAAGATTTTCGGAATGAGAATCACGACAGGGAATTATTTCAGCAGGGATTAATTCACCGAGTTTATAGGGCTACTAGTTTGTTTGGTAGCCCGAAAAGAGGAAAAAAAAACATCCAGCAAAGACTATTTTTATCATGATTTAGCAAACATTCAGCTCCCATCTTACATTATTTTATCATGGTATTGATCCACTCCAAAAACATGTCCTGCATATCTACTGTACCGAAATTTGACTATGCATTATTTTTAGCACTAAACTTTTTCTATAACAAAGATATAAGCCGAGAAAGGATAAACAAATCAAACCTTTCCGGGGCAATGCTTTTTATAGTTCTAGTCTTAGCACTAGTAGCGAGTTAGAAACTGAGGCTGACATATATAGTAATGAAAAAAACACCTTAATTAATTTGAAATTAAAATTTAAGATTTAAGTTTTGGTTGCAGCTTATGGTCCTATTATGGGGAATCTTACATTATTTTATAATGGTATTGATCCACGTCAAAAACATGTCCTGCATATCTACTGTACCGAAATTTGACAATGCATTAGTTTTAGCACTAAACTTTTTCTAGAACAAAGATATAAGCCGAGAAAGGATAAACAAATCAAACCTTTCCGGGGCAATGCTTTTTATAGTTATAGTCTTAGCACTTAGCGGTTTAGAAACTGAGGCTGAAATATATAGTAATGAAAAAAACACCTAAATTATTTTGGAATTAAAATTTAAGATTTAAGTTTTGGTTGCAGCTTATGGTCCTATTATGGCGAATTCGAGATTATGAGGAAAACTGTTTTTTCCTAGTTCTTAAAATACGGTAAAATTTTAGTTCTGAAAATACGGTGAAATTTCAGCCAAAGTAGCCTTTACTTTATACAACATCAACTGAAAAATTAGATGCCATTATTTTACGATGAAATCGACTAGAAAAGAAAGATTTCTTAGTTACATTTTCATGCATTTTCATGCTCGTTTCATGTAAAAAGGTTAATCAAAAGTGATATGGTTGAAGAGACAAGATCTTAAAAGTTGATTCCACTATTGCTGGACTAATAAGGTAGTGCACTAGTGCTAATGGCCACATATACCATATCTTAATTAGGTCAGGAGGGGCGGATCGAGCACGGGGGCGGCGGGGTCTCGAGGCCCCACTACTGCCGTAAAGACTATGAGAGCCCCCACGAAGACCTCACTAAATTTTTTTTAGTATATGTAGATGGTAGGGGGGACTGTAACTCTATCTAGTTTACTCAGACCCTACTTCTATTTCTTTCTGGATCCGCCACTCAGGATGTCACATCCAACCTCCCTATATGTGCTATGAATTTATAAGATTTTGCCATTGGTTTTCCTTCGAACGGGGCAAATCCGTTCTTTTACTCATTTGGAGCGAAGGGAGCAAAGAACAACCTGCACATGTGCACTGAAGTGGAAAAACAACTTAATTCATGGGAGCTTGAGAAGAACAACTTCCTCCACATTTCAACACTGTTATTTTACAATGTACACAAGTGCGAAATCTGAACAAACAAAAAAGGAGGTTAAAAAAAAGTACACCGGAGTGGTCACTGCCCAGCAATACACCAAGTTCGCTCTTACACCTGGACAGACCAAAACTCTTCCAAACACACGCCATGCTTATTTTTTGTAAATTTTTGGCAGGCGTAGTGCCAAATTCCTACGTGCAAAAGGTGATATCACCGGTTCACCGATAAAGATTGGTGACATTTTGGTGATTGCCCTAAAGCCTTGACACGGCCATGACATGCGCCACCGGGTGCTCGCCGCGGCGGCCGCCGACCGTCGTCGTCGTCGTCTTCACCTTCGTCTTCTGCGCCGGCACGGCCGCCGGCGCCAGCTTCTTGGCCGCCTCCCGGAGCAAGTTCTTCTCGACCTTGCCGTTGCCGTTCCTCGGGATGGCGTCGTAGACGACCACCTTCTTGGGCACCATGAACCGCGCCATGTGCTTGCGGCAGAACGCGACGACGTCGTCCTCGCACACCCCGGCCGCCTTGTCCCTCGCCACGACGAACGCGCACGGCGTCTCGCCCCAGTGCGGGTGCGGCATGGCGACCACCGCCGCGTCGGCGACGGCGGGGTGCTGGAACAGCACCTCCTCCACCTCCTTGCTGCAGATGTTCTCGCCGCCGCTGATGATCACGTCCTTGGACCTGTCCTTGATCTCGATGTAGCCGTCGGCGTGCACGACGCCGACGTCGCCGGTCAGGAACCACTCGCCCTTGAAGGCGTCGCTGTTCGCCTCCGGGTTGTTGAGGTAGCCCTTCATGATGCTGCTGCCGCGGAGCACGATCTCGCCGACGGTCTTGCCGTCGCGCGGCACTCTCGCCATCGTCTTGGCGTCCTTGACGTCGGCGTCGGCGAGGGACAGGACGCTGACGCCCTGCCGGGACTTGAGCCGCGCGCGCTCCGGCAGCGGCAGGCGGTCCCACTGCGCGCGCCACTCGCACGCCAGCGCCGGGCCGGTGGCCTCGGTGAGCCCGTACGCGTGCGTCACGCGGAAGCCGATCCGCTCGACGCGCTCGAGGAGGGCGGCCGGCGGTGGCGCCCCGCCGGTGAGCACGTGGACCGGGGCCGCGAGCTGCTTCGCCGCCGCCTCGCCGCCCTCGAGCAGGATGTTGAACACCACCGGCGCGCAGCACAGGTGGGTGACGCCGTGGCGCGCGATGGCGCGGTAGATGTCCGCGGCGCGCGCGTCGCGGATGCAGACGTTGACGCCGCCGCGCGCTGCCATGCCCCAGGTGAAGGTCCACCCGTTGCAGTGGAACATGGGCAGCGTCCACAGGTACACCGGCTCGTCGCCGACGACCCACGACATGAGCAAGCTCATGGTGCTCAGGTACGCGCCGCGGTGGCTGTACACCACGCCCTTGGGCGCCGACGTGGTGCCCGACGTGTAGTTGAGCGTGACGGCGTCCCACTCGTCGGCGAGGCTGGGCAGCTCGGCGGCGGGGTCGCCACGGGCGACCAGCCCCTCGTACTCGAGCTCGCCGAGGCGGACGCCGGTGGGCACGTCAATGTCGTCGATGACGGCGACGAGCGGGACGTGCCTCCCCTCGTCGGCGACGATCTGGAGCGCGTCGCTGGCGAGGCGCACGTACTGGTAGTCGACGAAGAACACCTTGGCCTCGGAGTGCCGCAGGATGCCCGCCACCGCCCTCGCGTCGAGCCGCGTGTTGATGGTGTTGAGCACCGCCCCGGCCATCGGCACCGCGAAGTGCATCTCGTACATTGCCGGCACGTTCGGCGCCAAAACCGACACCTACACACACAACACACAGATTCCAAACAATCACACACGTGTTTGACACGCAAGAAACGAAACCAACTTCCGGCTACGAATCTGAACTTACGCTATGTATGTTCATATTCGTAGCTAGGATTCGATCTACTTACGACGTCGTGGTTGCGGACGCCGAGGGAGAGGAGGGAGGAGGCGAGGCGGCGGCAGCGGGCGTAGGTCTGGCTCCAGGTGAAGCGGACGCGGCCGTAGATGACGGAGGTGCGGTCGCCGTAGACGGCATTGGCGCGCGGCAGGAACCCCACAGGGCTCAGTGGCACGTAGTTCGCCGGGCGCTTGGGAAGCTGCTCCATCACAAAACTCTCTGTCACGACGCTCTACACACGTAGATGGATGTGATTGATCCTAACAAAGCTAGTGGCAGCTGCAATTAAGCAAAGCCAACAAGAGCTTGAAGGATTATGGATGATATGATCGAGGTGAGGCGATTCGGCGATTCGTGGATGGGGTTCATATAGGAGTTGGGGAGTGGTTTGCAACGTGATGTGCGTTCGATGTGTGTGTGTGTGGGGGGGGGGGGGGGGGGGGGGGAGTGGGGCCAACGAAACAGTGTGAGAGGTGTCAAAGAAAAGGAAATAAGTTGGGGTTGGGTCGGACAGGGGGTGTTGCAAGGAAAATGAAGTGAAAACACGGGGTTCTTGACCCAAAACCTGCTGGTTCGCTCGGCGATTTTCACACCGCGCACGGAACGGACGACCAGGCCGGAGTGAGTGACCAGATGCTGACTGCTGCTGCTGCTGCTGCTGCTTCTGCTTCTGCTTGCGAGACTAGCTGGCCTCCGGTTCGTCGTGGAGGATGAGGTGGTGGTGGGACCCGGTGACCACGCCCCATGGTATGAGTCGCAGTAGCAGCATTGTGGTGGCAATTGGGCATGTAGGCATGGCATGGATCAGGATCGTGAGGTAGACTGTGTGCTGCAGTAGACTTCTAGAATGCACGGCCGTTGGTTAATTAATTAATCTGTGATTATTTTTATCATGGTCTTTTACTGGTAGTACTACCTCCGTTCTAAATTAGTGGTCGCTTCGACTTTTTTACTTATAATATTTGACCATTCATCTTATTTAAAAAAATAACAAAAATATAAAAAATGATAAGTCATATTTTATGTACTTTTGATAATAAAGCAAATCACAAATGAAATAAATAATAATATCATAATTTTTTAAATAAGATAAAAGATTAAACGTTAAAAAAAATTAAAATGATGAGTATTCTGGGGCGGAGGTAGTAGTATTCTATCAGCAGTATTATTATGATCTTCATGGTGATTTCTAATGATACTAGTAGAATGGACGGTCGTTGGTTAGTCTTTGACTTAATGTCAATCACATTTGATAGTTGTGATCACCTTAAGATTACTGCGAGAATCTAGTCTGTTCTAAAAACACGAGCCCTTGCACCCAACATTGCTCCCACAGATCAACATGCTATTAACCTCTCGGTTTTGTCATCGTCCACGCCCATCGCTCTCCTCCATGTAGGTTGAGTAGCCTTGTCAATTGTTCAGGGTGCATATTCTTAGCCAAATCTCTCTCCCTCTGTGCCCTTCCTTCCACATCAGCACTTGATTGCCTAATTTAGACACTTGCATCTTCGTCCATATTAATTGGTGAGCAGTGGCGAAGCCACAATTTAGAGGCAGGGGTGTCATCTATGAGACGTGGGAACTCACTTACGGTTCAGTGAATAGTGATTTGTAACGTTTATGCATGGTCGGCAACTAGGCATCATGCATGTTACAACGATTAGCTACAAGAGAAAGCTAGCACCCGTAGATCATGATTCGCCAATTTATAGTTCAGTAATATTTTTAAAATATGAATAATTGAACGTTCCATGATTTTAATTGGTGTCTTGCAATCACTTATTAAATTATGAATCAGTTAGTTAAGTCATTCCAGAAATCGCAGCTGTCCTATATAGTTAGTTTCATTTGCAACTAATGATGTAATTAATGGCTAGATTATACGAGCTAATCACCCTTAAGAGAGGAGAGGGGAGGGGAGGGGAGGTCGCACAGGGGTTGGGGGGTGTTGACACTCCCTGGCCCCCACGATGGCTTCGCCACTGTTGGTGAGTACATCGTCCCTTTTTTTTCTCCTATTCCCATTGCCTCACTAGAGAATACTATACATGATTAGTATTATAAAATTTACTAAATGTGATATTACATTGTTTATATATTCATACATTACTGGACATGGTACTATTAGTTATTTAAGATTTGTGTATGCAATATTCGACATACAAACCAATTTCTTGTTAATAACATTGTAATTTTGAAGTCCATAATAAATTTAGCCTACTTATCTATAGTTCCAAAATTCAAAATTTGTAGTTGGGTTCTAAACTATTTATAGAATCGGTCGTGATTTTTTCATATACTTTTACTTAAAATATTCAAAATAACACTTACAAGGTTGTACAAGCAGGAGTCTTTCTTATGATCTAAACTATTATGATTTCATTAATTTGGTCATGTAGCAGATATATATATTTTCCTTGTATTAATATGAGGTTTCTTAAAAATGGCCTAGCTGAGATGGGCAGAGAGGAACAGAGAGATAATTAAATAGTTAATAGACTTCCTTGGGTCATGCTTTATAACATTGTTGTATTGGATATGATTGGACAATAAGATTTTCGATAAGAAATATTGACCTTACTAAGCTAGCAAAATTTCCTGGTGGCCAGCCATCGATCTAAGAATATGTCGAAAGTTGATTACGCTTTGCGAGGCCTGATCGTGCCCTTCCTTTTTTATTGGCTTTTAGGCAACACAAATGACCCAGGTCAAGTCAATTCGTTATGGTTTATCTGCTCTATACTACTCCTTCATACTTACTCCGTCCCAAACTAAATATACACTATGTTTAGATTTATCTTAAACATTATATTTTTTAAGGACGGAGGAAATAATGTTCAGGTGTATATATATAGCTAGACATAATTAAGATCTCTATTTTTTTTTAAACATAGAGGGTACCTAATTTTACAACATCCTGATTTATCAGAACTAATTAATCAATACCTAGCTATATGTTCGCTCTTCTTTCTCAGGGCCAAGAAACATATTCCTTACATATCAGAGTTGACGTATAAATGGACTAGTATATCTCTACTATTATAAAAATTGAAGGTGTTTTTATCAGTATTTTGATACGTCATCCGTGTATAAGTTGTTTTTTAAAGTTCGTTTGCTTTTGGAAATGCATATCTGTATTTGAGTCGGTTTTCAAGATCGTTTACTTTTGTTAATACATAAGTAATTATATAAGAAATCTGTTTAAAAAAACTCGCATGCTAACTTGAGACGATCGGACTCCTAACTGCAGCTCATGATTTTCTAAAAAAAAAATATATCCAAGCGAACTCTTACAGTGAATTTCATCTTAACTAAACCATATAACAATAATCACCCGTTGCAATGCACGGACATTTTTTCTAGTATAATAGTAGGTCTAAAAGAAAAGACTCACTCCGTTTCTGATTATAAGTCATTTTAACTTTAATAAAAATCAAATTATTTCAAGTTTCACAAAGTTTGTAAACAAATATAGTAATAATTACAACACCAAATTAGTTTCATTAAATCGATAATTAAATAAATTTGTATAATATATTTGTCTTGGGTTGAAAATATTGCTATTTTTTCTACAAACTGAATTAAAATTGAAGTAGTTTGACTTCGACCAAAGACAAAGCGACTTATAATCTAATAAAGCGGATGGAGTACCACGTTTTTCCTCTTGGAGATTAAGACCGTGTTTAGTTTCAAAGTTTTTCTTCAAACTTTCAACTTTTCTATCACATCAAAACTTTTCTACACACACAAACTTCTAACTTTTCGTCACATCGTTTCAATTTTAACCAAACTTCCAATTTTAGCGTGAATACAGCCTAACTAGAAGTTACTGTGCATGTATCCATGCCAGATTAACATATGAAGTATAAAGATTAAAGTATTTGTAAAATTAACTTCATTTTTTTTAGATAATGGAAATGTGTTACATCTCCGGCCTCTGCCCGTAGGCACACAGCCAAAAAATTCAGACGTGAACAGAAAAGTTAAAAAAGACGAGATGGGACAAACCCCCAACTTCTGCCGGTAATATGATCTACTAAAATAATTTTTTTTTCAAAATCACGTAGATTCTATCACGAAATTCTGTAGGTACTACGTCATCCAAAATGGAATAAAAGTTCCTTGGCTACTAATTCCAAGCGTGTAGCACCATTGCGCATAGTATCCTGTTGTTCCTGTGAAAGCATCATACACCAAGAGTGGAGCCAATTGGAACACATGAAGATAACCTGCATAATGTTAGGCATTTTTTTATGGTTAAAAACTATATCATCACGGCAACACCAAATTGACCAACATAAAGCACTAGCTCCAAACAAAATCATTTTTTTTTGGGTCTAGCCACTCCCCTTAGCCAGTCACTAAAAATATCTTTTGCATTGTGGGGAAAATTAACTTCATCATTATAACAAATAAAAATATGCTTTCGGACAAACTTAATCTGTGCAATTGAACAGAAATTCGGCTGGCTATTTTTAAAAAAAGAGAAGAAAAAACTCCGTACCACTCTAATTTAGTGTGAAGGCCTTGTTTAGTTGGTTCATTAAATAGCTAGACCGACTAGGACTAGCGCTTTTGTGGTCAAGTCCTCAGTCCAGACTCCATAAGGCCAAACATGCTACACGTGAAAGAATCTTACTCTAACGACCTGCCACTTATGCAGTTATGTTCCCTTGTGTCCTACCGGTGCAGCACATTTGCCGTTATGTACTTACTATGTACTAGTAGTACTACAAAAGGAGAGTTGGGTGGGTACAACATGCAAGCATAAGTGCATAACACATGATTTTTAAGTGTTGCTGTAAAAGATCATTTCAATATTTATGGTTTAAAAGAAACAAATTCGAATCCTATTGACATCTGTCATTTGATTTTATACAGCACGCCAGAAAAAATATGTACGGTACTGTGTGATTGTCACCAACATAACTCTTTATATGTAATTTTCTGCTTGAAATTAATAGCGTCCATTCTATGCAGAAAAGTAATGTCTTTAAAATATCAAATGTCACTGTGAGGTTATATTTTTTTAGTTTGAGTTATCAAATATCGCCCCATAACGTTAGTACATCTATATTACTAACATACTAGTACTACAAAAGGATAGTTGGGTACAACGTACAGGCATAATCACTTCGCGATGAAACTAAATATCTATATGAATGTGGATAATGTTGGAAAGTCTTACATTATAAAACGGAGAAAGTACTACTAGAGGACACAGTTTCTTCAGCTACAATCTGCTATTAGAGCATCTGCAGCGTTGGGTTCAATCGACGCGTGCGGCAAAAACATCGAACCTAACGCACTGTGAGATACAATTGTTATTTGTCTGAGAGAAAATCGACCTCAGT